AGTATGTAAGCTGCATTCATGCAGGACAGTATCGGTACTCACAGGCTTCAGCTCCTTGATGATAGAAGGACTGAAGCCCGCAGAACGAGCGAAGCGGGTGAAAAGTCTTACGGGCGCTAATGCCTGATAAGTACATAAAAGGAAATACCAACTGATAAGTCCATACTTAAGTATAGCTAGGCTTGATATTCCAACATCATTGCCAGCTCTCTCTTTTTTTAAATCATTGATTAAACTACAGCACTGCATCCACCATGTCTCGTCATCATGCGAAATTTTGCGACGTGTAATGTCATCATCACTGCTTTCGCCTGAGAGAATGCGCTTACTGTTCGCGTGCGTCAAGGAAATCAAGTCAAGCCACAGTCCACGATTGCAAAAGCGTTCCTGATTGCGCTGTGTCAGTGAGTGGTTCAACTGTCCCTGTCTGTCAAATTGATGGTACGATGTTCAAGTTGCACGAACATGTCTGAGTTGAGCTACCTTCCAACATTTCTTGCCAAGAACATGCAAGTGACTCCCCTTCATCGATGCTGCGTCAAGGTGATTTGACTGGAGCGCTTCGGCTACCTCATGGGCTCCAAACCCCTTATTCTGATTCACTATCAATAGGTGATTCTCGCCACTGACGACACTGTGGAGAGTGTGCTAGCAAAGACTAATCAATTGATGATGACCCCGTTTCTGAAATTCTGATCAGCTCCATTGTAGTGCTGGGCACCTCGCATAAACGTTCACTGAAAGGCAAGAAACGCAAAACATTTCCTCAAGGCAGCCTATCATCTGGACTGTCACTGGCTGCTCAGACATAGCTCTAGTAACGTTATCAGCACTGATGTCTGATATCATCCAACCGAATTCTGAACCTTCCTTTTCTTGAGGTCAGCTATAGGGTGTCTTCTCGTTACCGCCATCTTCTGTAAACATTTGGTGCCTGAACGCGCAGTGGCAACTTCGATCTGTATCCTGTAGCCAAATCTTCAAACAGTATCCGATGTACGAGCATACGAGCAACTGGCCAGGACCCCCCTGAAAATCCCTATTGGAGGCCGGTCCAAAAATCACTGATTTTTGGACTTCCTGTCCGGACAACTTTTTCGGAGTTCATGTCCGGATAGCTGTCCAGCCTCCAGATCACAGAGTTTTTATGGTGGCCCCTCCCCTTTGGTTCTGCTTGTATCTATTTGTTCTGTGGCTTAAAGTAGTTACTCGGCCTCCCCTTGATCCATGTCTGGACAGCTCAGGACTGGCCTACCAGAACATATGGAGGACTTTTGACCGGCCTTTCGGACATTGGGGGGTCATTTTGTCCGGACTGAGGACTGGCCGAGGGCCTCATAAGTGTCTATTCATGTCCGGACGGCCGACCGGCCTCTCATAGGGATTTTCAGGGGTCCTAACTGGCCGTGGTGCCTGTCGATCCTTTGCAAGCCAACGCACCAGTCTGAACTACTTAATTCTTCTGCTTGGATGATAATGTTGGTTGCCACGCTCATATCTTCGACCGCATGCCCCCAACATGTAATAATACCTCTTTGGGCGAGAAGTCCGGGTTGACGAAACGAACCGACTATCTCATTCATTCTGTACACGCTGCGACATGCACAGGTCGTCCAAATCTTCAGACGTGCCATACACGAATACTGTGTCTAGACGGGCATTGGACAACGTCGTCAATCCTATGATCATGGCAGCACCCGCACCTGATCGCCTATTGTTTCGATATCTATGAAACAAAAATACCTAAACATCTCCCACGCACACCTTATGAATGCAATTCACTAACCCTGGTCCAGCCGGCTCCCCCTCAATGTTCAACTGGTCACCATGCCCCGCACGCCACTTTGCCTCTGCGGTGAACGAGGACTGTTTGGTGGGAGTATCTTGGGGGTTCGATTCCCCTTAAACAGTGTTTCTAACGAGTCAACGGACTGACCGCGGCACGGTTTTCGAGTTTGGTTAGGCATATGCATTTTGTTAGGTTATCGGCGCTTGCGTGGTCCATGACACAGCTTACCGGGCTTCGTGCCCTTCTACTATACGCCTGCTCTGTTGCGTCCGTGGGGACCTGGTGTCCGTACGTTAAGCTTCTTCGCCCCCAGATGCGTCTGGTCCTCCGTTGTTACAAGACATGTATTTACACACCTCCGACCGCCCCTTCGGGGCGGGATATAAATTGTATATAAAAAAAAATAAAAAAAAAAAAAAAACCTTATGAATGCCTGTCATCGTCTGCTGATGGCAATTCAATGGTCGGACAGGGCGCGCTCGTTTTTTGAATACAACACTCGTATTGCTGGTTCTCGCAGTACGCTGCTTGACGGATGTGCCTAAGCTGCATCACTTGTGACCTCAAAAATAACCTTCACGTCTCCTTGGATAAAGGATGGAAATTCTAAGCCGTAAGCCGTCATCTCGTCCGCCGTTGCTCAGTTCACATGTGTGCACGTTTATTATGTTTATGCGGGAAGTCGATGAACTTCCATCGCTAGTGCGATCTTGAATGCGTTCTTTCCTCTAGAAGATGGCGGACCATTCACGAGCAACGAGGGGCGCATTCACATGCTACAGCATCATGATCATATATATGCCGCGTACTCGACAGGATTTGGGCCAGCTCTTGCTTCACTCCTGAAAAAGGCCGGAATCAATCCATGCGGTGAGCCCAGCTTTCCCCTGACGACAGGCGGCGACGAACATCCGCATTGATGACTGACACACGTGGGTAGCAAAGCCCTCCGCGTGATGCCTATATCTATGTCCGGCTCGCAGCACTCGCACGGTTCTCCCGGAAACCTCCCCTGGCGGCACATTGAGCGCGGACTTGGCCCCTTGGCTATAAACTGCTCGGAGGATCGACAATGCGGTCCCTTGCGCCGCACTGCCCCTGGTACTTATGAGGTACTCCGTGATATTTCTTCTGTCTGTGTTATGCCGCCATCCTCTGCTTGCAGCAGGCCAGTCAAAAGCTGCAGCGGCATACGCTCCGGAACTGATACCATGTCCTTCTGGTGTTTCACTCGTCCGGGATGCAGGGAGCGCCGACCAGTCTCTGAGTGACGGGGAGGCTGCTTATGTCTCTGCGAAGCAAAAGAAAGTGCTTCCCCAAGCTTGGCTGTCTTATCTCCAGACAGTACTGGAAGCCAAGAATGCCGATTCACTCCCGGCGTACGTTTCCGAAATCCTAGCCGGGCAGTATGGCGAAGAGGCATACCCGCGCTTCGCAATCGCGACAAGCGGAGGAGGATACAGGGCAGCGACATTTGGAGCGGGCGTCCTGAATGCTCTGGACGGCCGTAACAGCACATCCGTGCTCGCAGGCACCGGCGGGCTCCTGCAAGCCGCAACTTACCTGGCCGCTTTGTCGGGTGGAAATTGGCTCGTCAGTTCCCTTGCACAAGCAGACTTTCCGACTCTCCCGAATCTTGTCTTCGGCCCCGATCAGACATCGGCCAATGGCTACGGGGGATGGCTTGCTGATTTCGACCTGTTGAGCCCGAGCAGTAACGTGACGCTGGACGATGAATACGTTCTTGACATTTTGAAGGAGATCGAGGGGAAGTATGAGAAGGGGTTTCCCGTTACGGTGACCGACGTGTGGGCTCGCGCCCTTTCGCGACATTTTGTGAACGGCACCACCGCTACAAACTTCTGGGACCCCGATGATACGCACGGTGCTGGACTGACATTTTCATCCATTTCCACGTTGTAAGTGTCATGGTCGTTGAACTTAATCAAGACTCACCACAGCTCAGGGACACATTTACGAACTATACCCAGCCGTTCCCAATTCTCGTTATTGATACGCTGTCACCGAATGGCAATAATTCGAATATACTCAGCGGTGGCAATTTCGTCCCGCTCACGAACCCTATATACGAAGTCAATGTTTGTACGTCGATACAGTCAGCGGCATGCTCTCTGGCAATCACTCACGATGACTCTCGCGCAGATGAGTTTGGCTCGTTTGACCCCATGCTAGCCGCCTTCACGCCGACAGAATACCTTGGTTCTCCGAACAATAGTATTTGCGCAACTGGCTTCGATCAGATCGCGTTCATTGAGGGCCTTTCATCGAACCTGTTCAACGAGTACAATACCTCAGTGAGAAATCACGTCAACCGGTCGTACAGTCATGGGAACTAAAGAATATAACTTTTCAGGCCACTACCCTGAAGAATTCATCCATATACGAAGTAGTCGAATTGCTCGCTGAGTACTTGCCAGAATCCGACGTCGAACTGGCGGTTGGGCTGGTGCCGAACGCATTTTACGGCTATTCGCCCGAAACCTTCATTGACAGCAATGAGACTCTACTCCAACTTGTAGATGGCGGCGAAGACGGTGAAGTGGTGCCTTTCATGCCTCTTCTGGTGAAGGCCCGTGAAGTGGATGTGATCTTCGCAATTGATGCTGTAAGGTTTAATAACAAAATTCAAAATATGGGGTTGCACCTTCAGCTGAATGATATAACAGGCCTCAGACACTGATGACCATTGGGCAGATGGTAGCTCAATAATCGTGAGGCTTCCATTGTCCCTGTGTTTTCACGAAGTCCACCAACCTCTGGCTACATTCAGGCGACCCAAGACCGCGTAGCATTCTTCCCCGGGACATATTCATTCCCATCGGTGCCAACCTCGGCGTCAGAATTCACAGCGCATGATCTCACCAAACGGCCCACTTTCTTCGGTTGCAACAGTTCGGAGGAGTCAGATGAACCGCTCGTTATCTACCTCGCGAACGGTGGCGCACCTCTCGGGCAGATGCCTGTCACAAATACGAGCACGGAACAGATGCAGTACACGGCCGACGAGCTCCAGGCAATGCTCTCGCAGACATTCGACGTCGCCACGAAAGGCATCGCTATCCCAGTAGATGAGGGAAAGAGCTGGGAGAAGGATTCAGAGTGGCCCGCCTGTCTGGCTTGTGCGATCGTTGACCGCTCTAGACAGCAGCAGGGCATTGAGCGAAGCGGGCTCTGCCACGGATGCCTCGAGAAGTACTGCTGGAGTTAAGGAGTGAGGTCGTGGACTTACACTTCCGGACTAATTGGACCGCTATCATATCCTATGATCGATGATTTTTGCCCGTCATCACAACAGATCAATCCTGTCAGTTCATATTGTTGGGTTTTTGGAGACACATCCTTCATTTTTGATGAACTAGATAAGCAACATACCAGCGAGGTCCTTGACCGCCACTGCAAGATGTCAAAGGACACATTGGTGTATTCCGTAAGTCAATAGATCCTGATTCACGACCAGCCTCGAGTGAGTCCATCAAGCGATCGTAACGGCAGGAATACACTGTAATGGACACCCACCTCTATAACGGTCTCGACTTGATCCATATATATATCACGACAATGAGTCTACCTTCCATCCGAAAACATTCTCGCTCTCAGCCAGTCGTTCACAAACCAACTTGACCTTCTCGTCGTTCACATTCGCGACCGAAAACCGGATCCACCGCTCCAGCTCAGCACCTGGCTCCCTCTTAGGCTCAAAGAATGTCGCAGGCAAACACACGACGCCCATCTCGCGTGCGAGCCGCTTGCAGACATCGGTGGAATCCATGCCGACGAAAGGATGGCGCACGAATGCATAGTATCCGCCCTGCGAGCCGATCTTCCAGTTCTTCGGGAGCACTGCGCGGAACAGCGTGTGGCGATGTGCGATGGCGTGTGCGGTCTCTTGCACAAAAGGACGCAGCGTGGGCAGAAGCGGCGCGAGTGCGAGTTGTGGCGGACGCGGGGCACAGATTTGTAGGGAGTCGAGCGCGGTGCATATGTGCGGAATGAGTACTGGTGAGGCACAGAGCATGCCAAGGCGGTGGCCTGGGATGCAGTATGCCTTAGAGAAAGAGTATAAATGTATGAACGTAGTACGCCAGTCCCAGTTGGGCGTGTGCTGGAAGAGGAAGTGAGGAACCCCAGTGGTGATGAAATCGCGGTACGTTTCGTCGATCACGAGGGCGACGTTGTGCTTTCGGGCTAATTGCGCGAACTCATATATGCGAGCTGGAGAATACACCGCTCCGGTCTAGAAAGTCTGAATTTCAATGCGTATGGAATATGTAGAGCATTGCTTACTGGGTTGTTCGGTGAGACGAGGATAATTGCTTTCGTCTTTGGCGTAATGAGGGATGCGCATCGTTCTGGGGACGGCATGAAACCTTCCTCGGAACGGGTTGGAAGGATTACTGGCTTGATATTCAACGTGGTGAGGGTCATCCTATCCTGATGTCATTGAAGCCATCGACCCATAAATAATGGAGACATACTCATGATTGAAATACCTGCCACCTAATCAGCCTTGCTCAATGCAACGCACGAACGCCAGGCACGAACCAAGGTATCGGAAGAATGATCTCGTCGCCCGCGTCTGCCAGCGTCATGGCCACCGCAACAAACGCAAGGTTGCATCCAGCAGTGATTGCAATATCATCTGGAGTAACGTCTGTGTCTTCGCCGTAGCCATGCTTCATCTCCTCGACTACGGCTTTCCTGAGAGAGAGCTCGCCAACATTAGGTACATATCCGCAGCTGGCAGGATCAGAGGAAGCCGTCGCAAGAGCGTCCAGAACAGGTTTTGGCGGAGGAGTGCCAGGCACTCCTTGAGACATATCTAGCAAAGGACGGCCCGGGGTAGGAACATATTCTGCTGCCCACTTGTACGCTTGAGGAATGCTATAGATTCTCTACCTCAATATCATCCAGAATCATCCATAATCAAAGAGGGTTAACAATACACTCACGGAGGACAGCTAGTGTTCTCGATACCCCGGGAGAGCCGAAATGCGAGCGACGACATTGATCTTGTCGATACTCCTCAGCAGTTCGAGAGAATGGATCAGGTGTATATGAATTACTTTCTGTCTTTCTGATTGCAGGAGAGTATCTGCACCACAGCTGAAGAGGTATTGGAGGCCGCTTTAAGTCGTGAGTGTAGGCCGAAGAGATTCAAACGCAAGTTCGGCATCGTCGTCCTCGTTGACTCGATAGCGAGCGCGAGCAAGGCGTCTCTCTTCTATCGGATCCGCCGCCGACTTTGTTTTTGGCTTCCTCTCTCGCTCATCAAGCGGCAGGCCAACAGCTCGGCCTACTAACTCTCAGGTGAATCGACATTGGTAGTAGACTGGTGAGTGTGACATATTGGCGTTCATGCCCACATCCGTTCATGTCTAACCGACTTCCATCACTGAGAGCTAGTGTGCGGATGGCCAGCCACATCGGTCGTATTGCACGGCTGACCTTGTTCTCTGGTCCTAACTGCTCACTCTGTGATGTATGTAGTATCATTACAACCAACCCACACCGTTCATCTAATCATGCCCCTTCCAGATCGCCAAGGCAGAGCTCGCCAAAGTCAAACAACGACGCTCTTTCGAACTCGAGACGGTCAACATCCAGGACGCTGGGCAGGAGCGGTGGAAGAAGAAGTATATATACTGGATCCCGGCCCTGCATCTCGAGGGCAAGGAGATCGCCAAGGGCCGCTGGGACGCGCAGACGGTGAACGACGCGCTTGACGTCTGGGAACGGACACCATGGACCAAGGATGGGCAGGCCAAGCCCTGATCATGCAGTTGGCCCCGCTGTTTCTGGAGGACACGCTGCCTGACCATCCGTCATCTGCGTACGTCAACTGCAAACCTGTTTATCTATACAACCAATACGGCGATCGTGTGCTTGGCTTGGATGAAGAAGTTGAGATGGACTCGGACGACACTAGATGCTGTTTCAACTGTGGCTCCACTGGGCACATGCTCTCATCCTGTCCCGAGCCTCGTAACCATGCTCTTATAGCGCTCTCCAGGCAAATGTTCAACTTCCACAATGACGATTCAGCCGGCGTCCCACAGCGTATACATGAAGTGGAAGGATGGCGATGGCAGCGATTGCAATGGCTTAAGGACTTCGAGCCTGGGCAGGTCAGAGGGCCTGCATTACGGGAGGCACTGGGTCTGCAAGAAGGAGACGTCGGAGAACGTGCGCCTTGGTTACAAAACATGGCATGTTGGGGCTATCCAAAAGGATGGGTCGGTACCTCTGATCCAAGAGAACGTATCTGGACATTCATCTCTGGCGAACGAATGGACGAGATTGAGGAAGATCCGCTTGAAATGGAATTTATCATCGTAGGCGAGAACGAAGATGAAAGGATAGACCTCTCCGCCGGTTTGGATATTTCTGGCGTGCAAGACGCATCCTCCGAGAAAACCGGCTCCGTTTATGTTGGCGACTCTGTTGCGTCTTTTGACCTGTCGCGAAGGTCCGTTGAGCGATTATCGACAGAAAAAGATGGTGACGATGACCAAGAAGGAGTCCTCGCTCCTGAAGGCACCTCGACTCGTTCTGATCCATCGCAACAAGAACCGGTCTCGACCCGGCGATGGGCTGAATATCCTGATACCTATTTCCTATGGTCCGGCTTGCCAGTCTACAACGGATTTGCTCTTCCAATGGTGAAACCTCCCTAGGCAGCCCACATCTCAGGACTCATAAACAAAGAGCCTCAAAAGATCATAACACTTCATGATTTCTACGATCGCGTCCTCTGCGAAAACAACCTCTTTCGGTCGGTCGCCCATTCCGCCCTCAAAGGCTTACTCTCATCATCAGCACGGACTATACCTGTCACGCAACTCATAACATCTGCTTGACCCCAGCACAAAGACGATCCAGACGTGGATCTCTCACGCTAGCCCAACATTTATTCTTTTCATATATTCTGATCTGTGCACACTGTCCCTCATAAAGGATACAAACGTTTGCGAAGTTTGCCTTGGATCAGGTCTCATGCATTGAATGAAAGAATTTATTGTATCAATAGTACAATCAAATCTGCCGACGAACTATGGCTACACTATGGTCATGCCACTCCCGGTGGTCTTCATCTGCATTATAGCTGGCAGTGTCTAAAGTATGCGAATGTCCCAAGGTCCGGCGTCTGACGTGACGTTTCATGAATGATTGTTGCTAACAAAACAATGTACGTGCATCATCATCAAATCGCGTACTTGCTGGACTTGAATTGGGGTTCTGGCGAGCCTGCGCGAGAACTACCGTGAGAACTACTGCGAGAGCTTGCTGGTCGTTGAGTTTGTGGTGCAGGCGCAGGTGCATAGCGCGGTAATGTCTCCAGCGGTCTGGATATCAGAAATCCTGCAGCGCAAATGTAAGGCTTGTGGGATGCATTTGGAGATTCTCAAACTATTCACCCTTCAGTTGAGCCTTCTTCTCACCCTGCCTTCCAAATCCGAATCCAGCCTTCAGCCCCTGAAGGTTGATCTCGTGTGTCTTCTCTCCTTCGCCTTTGCTGCTGAAGACGTTCTCAACGAAGCCCTCAACCGGCCGAGCCAGCTGTGGCGGGAGCTTGTGCGTAGGGAGGATGTCCTTCGCCCGTTCGCGCCACGCAAGAATCGACCGTCTGATCCTGACCTTCTCGCGGAAGATCAACCCCGCTAGCATATTCACGCAGCCCACGGCGAACATGAAGAACGCGGCGACGAGCGTGAAGTCGTCGACGTGGTGCGAGAGGATCATCGCGCCAATGAGGCACTGGAAGAGCCCGAGCGGGCCAACGCCGAAATCGCAGCCTAGCACGGGGAAGAACCGGTCGAAGAAGACGGCGGGCCAGCCAACCTCTGAGAGGATGAGCATGTTGACCTCAAAGATGATGAGAATCCGGTTGATCACTGCGAAGAAGATGCCGAACGTCTGGTTGGGGACGTCGCTGTCTCTGTGGCGCAATGCATCCGTGGATATGAGCGATGGCAATCCGCTTCGATGTCAAATAAACGTACGGGATATAGTCGCAGTCTGTCGCACTGGTGCTGTTGCCCGATTGGAAGTCATTATATGCCTCCACATCCTTCACCATCACGAATATGCTGCTTGCGAAGACAAGTAGCATCGCAAGAATACTGGTGATGCGGAGCACATTGAGGCCGATGAAGACATCTGCGAAACGCCCATATCAGTATCGATCACTACGCAGAGCTGCTTGTATACGTACATGCTCGTGGATTCAACAGCATGCTCGTTTAAGAATATCGTTATTGAAAGTCAAAATGATGGAGGTGGCCAGCAGGGTATCAATACAAGGAGAGTAAGAAGCGTATGCAGCCCAGTGTATACGAGATAATACGACGAGGAAAGACAGGTGTCCCAGCACCGCAGAAATCCAGCTAGTAGTGGTGAGCCCGGACCAGGAGAAGGCTGCGGGCCACGAACCGCGTGTTCCTCTTATAAGAGCAAAATTTTTATCTGCGAAGCGTCCGACGCAGCAGATCTGAACACGAGGCATGGAGTCTATTTGCAACCCCGGTTAGAGTGGTTCTCGGTGATTAACAGGGTATCTTACCGTCTCTACTATCTCTATAGAAAGCATCGCTTCTTTGCTATTGTTCACTGTTATTGTTGCGCTTGTGTCACTTTGTGGCGAGAACAATAACCATGTCCGAACGACAACAGCTGCCTTACTTGTTTGCTTACGTAATATGGGGGTTGCCTTGGCGGTTTCCGGTGGCTTCAGTCGTGGATCAGAGACAAGCATGCGCAATCTGGAGCTTCGGAAATCCTGCTTATCCACATTGCTTGTAGTTGTGTAGAAACGCCATGGCAATGATCCTCGAGCGGCACCACAAATTGACCGCGCAATGATATTTGCCAAGTGGGACATCCGCAGCGGGTGGATTAGTAGCAGTAGGCAGCAGTGCATTCTATATTCACAACAAGGTTCCCGCAATGCAGGCGAATCTCCCGGGATGCTGCCGCGCGTATTCAAAGCCGTACAGTCGGTGGAAACCGTACTGATGCAAGCGGTGCCTGATAGAATGCACGTTCCGAACAGGGAATGACTGGGTATCTTGTGAGGATTGATGCTCATTGAGAGATTTGGAGAAGTCAAGTTTGTTTTGGAGGCTTGGTCTTCAACTCGACGATTTGATGTGAAAGTATTTTCCGTTCGAAGTCCAGAACACGAACGAAAAGCTAGGTCGACCGCAATACGCGTCGGAAATCTGCATGAAACGCCGTGGGAACGCACATCCAGTAAGGAAAAGCGAGAGCAAGACAAGCGATGACTGTGGGACTGCGGCGTGAGATGAGTTCGACCACTGTTTACGAAATCAGCAACGGCGCGATAGCGCAGGGGTCATCGATTCATCGTGGTACATATTGATTACGCTGTAGTTTGACATGTAGTCACCGGATCCGCATCTCATCTGTTTATCCTGTAAGCATACTGGTGGACACCCTACCGTAACGAACATGATCAAAGGCCTAAGAATACTATCCGTCAAGGACGTCTTCAGCTGGCTGCGGACCAAAGATGTCGCAAGGCCGTCCGCTGAAGCCGTTCCGGCATTATGTGCTGTTGTCCCGAAGCTGTGCGAGCCAGCGCTGTCATGGGCGGCTAAATGGTGTAATTCAACCAGACGACGCGAGCGCAGCCTGGCAATCATCACTACACTATGAGATCGAGTGCCTGGTGAAGAGATATCAGCATGACAGGCAGCAGAAAATGACTGAAGCACAGCTGACCATTTGCTCGACTGTAACGCATGGCCCATGTTGTCAGAGCATAGAGTGGCATCAAATGTTATGCAGCTCACGGAGTTGACTCTGTTCTTCTGTCACCGGGCTACCCTGAGTGCTGAGCTTGCGCGAGAGGTTGGCGAGTGCGGATATTTCCTGTGCCTCCGGACAGTGCTTCGCGTGCTCGAGCAGCTCGTCCTCCAGGTACATGCGGTACTGCCGACACATAAGCTCGGGGACCAACGCCACGTCAATGCCCTGCTTCAGCCGCCTCATAACCCGCAACTGGCACCCCCGGCACGCATACCCGGCGTACGTCGTGCGCGTCACGGTGTCGAACCAGGGGATGGAGATGCCCGCCATGAACCGCGCGGACGTGATGAACTTTGAGCCATTCCGGGCGGGCTCCCACAGGCGGCGCCAGGACTGGTTTCTCGCCGATAGTCCCTCCTTGTTCAAGTACCGCAGCACAACGTCGGCGTCCCCGTGAAGCTCGACCATCCTATAGCTGTATAACCGGAAGCGCTTGCGATGGGCGAGGGACTCGAACGTGTAGGTTCCGGGGAGAGACAGCATGCTCGGGACGTCCACCAGTGCGCGCCTGGTGAGCCCGTACACGGCTTTTGCGTCGCTCTCGGTCATGGGCATCATCCACGACACATTCTGCAAGCAGCTGAAGCAGCAGCGCAGGCACTCGGGGATGAAGAGCACGGAACCGAACTTATCGCACTGGACGCATCTGTTGCTGCAAAGCACCTGGAAGACCTGATCCACCGTGAAGAATGACGAGATCCCTGTCTGCGCGAGCGCGGCGACGATGTGAGGCGCGTGTCGGAGGAGGTACTTGTACGGCGCGGAGGCGTCAACGCTCGTACGTGCACGCCTGTTTACGAGACGCAGTGCCGCGACTGTGCGCAAGTCGGAATCCTGCACTACAAAGTCGAACAGCTCCGTGGGTAACGGGCTCAGAGCGCCGAGCGTGGCTTTAGGGGCAGCAGCCTCGACGTCTCCAAGGTCGAGGCGATCCTTTGTGCTGATAGAGATGGAGAGCATGGACTCGTCGACGTGCTCCGGGTGATTACCGATGACTTGCAGATCCATGGGTTCAAACGGGAGGTCATCGTGGACTACGCGTCGGCTTGCCATTTTTCGACTGGTGGATATTCCTCCTATACAGCCACGCGATAGACGGAAACTCAAGTAGGAGACAACGTCGTGAAAGTGCTCATTGAAAGGCAAGAAGTCGAGCTCAAAGTCGTGAGACAAAGTTCAAGCTTGTGTTGAACGCGCTCTTCGACCACACGCGATGTAAGCGCTCAGAGATCCGTTCACTCTCCAAATTACCGCAAAACTGCTTCGCATCTTGTCTCCCCTAGGCAGACCTATAAAATCGTCTTTTCTGAACGACAGACGATATTAAGCTTCGCATCCTGCTTCGACTCAACAGCACCAACAACTCTGCTTTACGACATCAACTAACCAACAGCAACAACTAACTAAATGGCCACATTAATTCGATTATACCGAAAGTAAAACCGGGTATAGAACATAAATTACATGCTATCTACGCGCACCTCTATGCCATGATTGCGGGAATCGGGACGGGAACATTGATTGCAGCGAGGTAGACAGATGGATGGGGGTCAGACCAGGCAACGATGGATGGACGGATGGGATGTATGAACGACGAAAGTTCAGAGTCTGTGAAGGAATGGACAGAGAGAACGAGAAAGAGAACGGAAGGCATCTATGCAGCAGCACGCTTTGACTTTGCGCGGATCGCTTTGCCGTATCGGTAGAACAGGAACGGTACAGGAATCTGCAGGGACACGGACGCGTTATTCGATAGAACGAAAAATGATGATATGAGTCGGACGTACCATGGCAATAGAGATGAACGCCCATGTAGACGCAGCCCAGCCGTTGCCGAGATTGTGGTACATCGCCTCGATGAACAGCGGCATCGCAGCACCAGAGCCGGAACGAACAACGGTCTTCGCGGCCAACGCAGACGCGACATAACCGGGGAACGCATCAATAAGGTACGCGTTGGCAGAAAAGTACAGAATAACCACTACACACGCCAGCGGTGAGCCACGCACGCACACTCACAACGAGAAACGAGACTTACTGCCAAAGCCGAACGGGATACCCGACGAGCAGGGTCCAACCCAATTGCCACCTCCGGGCATGACAGCCGGAGGCGACGTCCAACCGAAGATGAACAGGGAAACTGGAATAAACCAACAGCCGATCATCATGCCGACGAGACGATCCTCAGGATCCGCCCTCCCGCCCTTCGCCTCCGCGCGCTTCCGATAATCGGCCTCAATGCGCGGGGTGACGAACAGCGCGATGAACAAGCCGATCAAGACGGAGCTGAACACGAGACCGGAGTGACCGTCATCAAAGTGGTACGCTTCGGTAAAGACGACAGGGAAAGCGAAGAAGAAGGCGTACTACGGTCGAAGTCAGAATACGCCGATTGGCTAGAACAAAGGTAGCGCTTACAAGAAGACCGTAGATCAAGGCAACATACAAGGACATGAGCAGCAGGATGGGCTCAGTAGCAAGCATCTCTGAATTGGCCGTAAATATGGTGGACCACAGTAAGAATAAGAAGATCGGATACTCACGGAACGGACGAATAAGGGTCTCAATGATGATCTGGGTCAGAGAAGCCTGGAACAGCTCCTGCTCAGTAGTAATGTTCGGGTTTCCAGTCTCCTTCCGTAGACGCGCCGCACGCTTCTTCAGCAGAGTAGGAGCAAATGTCTCTGGGAGCGTGCACGTGAGGCCGAACGAAAGGCCGGAGAAGATCATGTTGATCCAAATGATCCAACGCCAGCCGATGTTCTCGCCGATGAAACCACCGACGATGGGACCCAATACGGGTCCACCGTAGGGAGCTGCGGCGAACAAAGCAATGGCAAATCCACGCTCGTTGTTGTCCCAAAGATCGGAGATCGTACCGCCAGCGAGGGCGAGAGGACTCGAGGCGAAGATACCGCAGAAGAATCGACAGATACAAAGCGTCTGAATATTCTTCGCAACAGCACATGGAATGTTGAATACTGGAGATCAATGAGAATCGGCACCTCCTGACCGGGTAGAATGCACACTTACTAACATAGAGGAAAGCGGGGCCAATCCAAATCGGTCTCCGTCCCATCAGCTCACTCTAAATCCTTGTAAGCCGACATGAGATAGCTGGCAAAGCAAAAGTGAACTCACCAATGGCGCCCATATCAGCGGACCGATACCGAAACCAACCACCATCAACGATACCGTCAACGCGATAACGACCTCCCCAACGTGAAATTCATCCTCTATGTCTTTGAAATCACCGGTAACGACGGCGCTACCGAACGCAGCGCAAACGACAGTAAGCGCACAAACGCCGGTAAGATCTAGTCATAAAGAATCAGCGGCCCGTAAGCAGTAAAATGAACGAAACGGACATACACCAGCGGTAGAGATCTGACCAATTCCGCGGATCCTCCGGGTCGTTTGGAAGCCAGGTCACCAACTTCATATCCTTTAGTTGTGCGGCCTTTTCTGGATCCCGAAGAGCACCGGGAAGCTCTGAGACATGAGTGGGGATCGGTCGCAGGGCGAGATCGGCCTGCATATAACCGGTTTTGGAGGTGGTACGGTATTCATCGGTGAATCCTCCGCGTTCGACATCGGTAGTGGTGAAGGGGAAACTCAGATCTGCCCGAGTGCGATCGTGAGTCATGGGTTGGCTCAGTTCATTGTCGTCGCCGTCTGCCGGTATATACTGGGGGGCCTCATCGGGAACTATTGTGGCGGTTTCGCTGGGAGAGGAGTTGACAGTCATGATGGAATATGATAGGTCGTAAGGAGAAGAAAAAAGAAATGCAGACGGACGGGGACCGTCGAATGCGGCGAAGGGGAGAAGAGAAAGTGGAAACCTTGGGTGGCTGAGGAACCATTATATAGAGCCAAGGCGGGTAGAGGCGGGCGATGGGCGGAGGCTCGGAGCTACAATCCATTCACTGTGAGAAAGTCTGACATATTTGGAAAACGCCTCGCACCATTCGTCCGACAAAAAAACGCAGACCAGGTCGAGTGCGAGATGCGAGAAGTGCTCTCCACCTCGGAGCATGCTCGTTAACGACGCCAACCTCGCGAAATGCTCGCTTGCTAGCCAAGCCTGAGGACATGTGAACAACGCTATGGAATTATGGAGCGGTGTATGCGCGACAGGTGATCCAGGCAGTCATCATAGGTCGACGCAGGCGGGGACTGGATGAGAGGAGCACGCAGGGAAAGCCCAGAACCGACCAGTCCGACTTCAGCCACAACCCTCTCCGACAGCCCGGCTGGGCGCAGGCCGGTCAATCCGCATATGGAAATCCGCCCGTTCCGCCGTTCACCAGCATATTGTCTGTCTCGGCGACGCTGGACTCTTCCCTGTGCTCATCCTCGACTCTGTACGTAGACTCGCACCTTGCCCATCCCTCCGGAGCGCGCGCACAGACTACACCCGGTTCCGATACATCAAACGATGACATCGATCGCCATCAAACCTAGAACGCTGCTTTCGCTCGATTCGAATCGCGGAAACAGGCTTCCAGAAAGAACCCCTTGGCCGCAGTTGCGTTGCGCTCGGGTCATTTCGTGCTAATTACCCCCTTTATTTGCAGCTCGGAATCTGTGAGCACGCACATGCGCCTGCGACGACGAATCTCTCGCTTTCTCACCACAACGTGCAGCAGTACTCGACGACTAGAACTACCCATCCGACTCCCGGTCTCGTCTCATACCGCTCGCATGGCTTGCGCGCTCGGTCTCCCTGTCGCCCAAACGCGTCTCCACCACCGGTCTGCTATTACCCGTCGACCTTCGCGGCGACAATCGCGCTAATCACGCAAAGATTGAGCAGATAACGCCGCTTCACCGTGCGCTCCATTGTGATGCTTGTTCAGCCAGCTCGGATACACGTCCATTCTGAGCACATGTGGACACGGCCTATCGCCCAGGAGATGCAGCACCCCTGGATTTGCGCTGCGCGGCTGTAAAGCAGTGCGGAACATCCGCATGACGGATACCCGTTGAAGGCCGCAGAGCCGACATCGACCGACCAGGAAACTTGCCTTTCAGGTGAGCCCGACTGACACTGCGCGCTCTTACTTTAATGCTGTGCGTCGGGGTCGGGTGCTGGCGGATCTGTCGCAGCGTTTCCCACCCAATCACTTCCACGTTGAGTGGTTTCCATCCATTAGATAGCGACTTCCGGCGATCGGTTTACCGTACATCCGCGAGCGTTTCGCCGAGTAGACTCTGGCTGATGTCGATGAGCCATAATGCATGATACATGGAGGCTATCGAAGCTGATGGTTATGCGTGAGGAAGCATGCAAGGAGAGTTGCCTGGCGGAAGGATGAGCATGAGCGAATCTAATTCTGAGACGGGCACTCCAGGTGCGGCTAGAGTGCAAGAGGCGTTGTTCCTCCTTCCAAATTCGGATTAGCCGTGCCAAGAGATTTCGCAACATCCCGAGGTGCCCGATTCCAACTCGTTCATTGGCTCTCACGATGCCCGTCCGGGATCGTACCTTCGGCGTTGTAGGCTATTCCCGACCCTGGTCCTTGCTTTTCGGTGTTGAACGGAGCAACGAAAGACAACAAGTCCGAGACGCCGGGTAGATGGTTCCTGCACCCTTCATGCCCATGTCGCTGCCTAAGATGTCACCGGAACGTAATCTGAGGGATGTTCACGCACCCATGGGGTTCCAGTCGTCCACGATGTGCCAGAGAACGTACGCACGAAAACCGCTCACCTGAGGGACTGCGCCTGCAGACGTTGTACCCGGCAATCTCGGATTCCGGTACTCTCGGGCAGGCGAAAAACCGTCAATCTGTCAGCGCGCCATATGGTTGGATCAGGTGCGCACGAATCTGCTCACTGGAGACACCCCTCCCCCCAACACTGAACGTTTTGGCAAGGGAGAAGCTGTGGTACTCATTTCGAGTGGAAGCCTGCTACTTGATGAGACTATCAAAGGAAGCGATCCATCGTTTCACGCGTGCACATTCGCGTTAGGACTCGAACGCACGAACCCGCTCATTCAACACAAACCTCAATCTGCCGACAATCTCATCGACGCTGACAGCTCAAACCGCCGGCCTGGTCACCAGGAAGAAACCCGACCTCACCGGACACTGGCATCCTCATCACACAAACGTTGTACACCGAGCGGCGTCCAACAGCCAATGGCAGCCACACAGCGCTTGCACGAGCCAGGGCTCCGTCCATGGCTTCTCAGACTTGGCGGGATCCGACGCGCGCGCACTGTACGCGCGCGTACCTTCTGCTAGCCGGCTTGTAGTCTGTGAAGCGGAGGCGCGGTTGGTGTTTGTGGGTGTACCTGATAGATGCCCGGAGAGTGCGTGTTGAACGTTTCCGATCGGGCGCGGTGCGTGCTGATCAGTTGGTGTTCTATACTTAGAGATCCAGGAATATGTTGGGCTATGTCTGGAGGTCGAGCAGGGGCGGGGCCCCGCGTTGTGCGAAGGCTATTCCGGTGATATTTCTGTGATGCTTCGTGGTGCTTCGCGATTTTGATGTGAAGGTAGAAGGAGCGTAGGTCGACAGTATTGACACTGTCGGTCGGACGCGACTTTTTGGTGTCGCGTGACCGCGTTCACACATCACGTGGGGCGCCACACACGCGTATCGACGTCTGTGACGCACATCTCCTTCAGTTCTAAACTAATTGAAACACTATATCAGCTGTTGTGGTGTTTGCGACTGAAGAGTGGGTGTAGACAGAGGGCTAAGCACTAAGTTCTACAACCCAGTACCGTGAGGATTGTTGCCTAAACTTGAAGTGACCATCGATGGATGGTTGGCCTCACTGGTAATCACATCATTCTATGCATCGTCTACCCATCAGGCATGCATCAGGCCCAGGACTGGAATAACGCTACTTCCTAGCATTAGTTGAGGTCCACGGATGATCTACGCACACACTTTGGCACCGGCGTCAAACGCGTCATAACGCGTCTGTGGCTGTAAGTACCCGTGCCGCTCTAACAGCTCTGAGGCGGCTCACCCGTGTCATTCAACGTCTATGAGAGATTGTTCAGAGTATCTACAGTCTTTCCAAAGAGATTTGCAGAAATGTCCTCTTTGCAGAGATAGAAGGAACTTACGGCTATCGTAGCGGGATCAAATAGGTACAAACACATCACGGCACGCGCAGGCGTTAACGTTCAACGTTGAACTTAAGTTCTTAGTCTGCAATATCAATTTTGTCCACATGCGCTGTCACTCTTTAGCTTAGCCCTCATCATATGTGCATCCAGTTGAGCTCTCGAGTGCAGTCGCGACACTTCCAATGGGTATGACAAAGTTGAACGCGAACGGCAGGATCGTCCATCGATCGACGCGTCCGATGGTGTCCAGGCTCTCACATGGTGCCCTGCTTCAAAGCAGCACCTGCAGAACATCCAATTTGGCTTACTTTCATCAAACTGGTGCGATTAATAAACCCAAGTTCTTCTATGCTGTGGCGAAGGGGCGCGTTCCTGGTGTATACATCTCATGGTATCAACTTCACCTCGGAGGAATGGCTGTGGCCACTCACGCGGTCTATCGATAGGGACGAGTGCAAGCAACATACGCTCGGTTTCTCCGGCGCTCAATATAAGAAGTTTGAGAGCAATGCTGAGGCGAATGCCTACGTCGCATCCTTCAGTGTCGAACGAGAGACCTCCACGAACGCCGCAGCTGTATCGCTGTCTATCAAGGGCCAGAGCAACACCGTCAAATTCGGATACTATGCTGTAGCGGTAGGCCGTACTCCCGGTGTCTACTCGTCATGGTATATCATCTCTCGCTTTTGATGTTACTCGCTGAGCGTGTCGCCCCAGGGATGAGTGCAAGAAGCATACTTCAGGCTTTTTCGGCGCACGATACAAGAAGGTCGCGACCGCGGCAGAAGCAGTTGTCTACCTCGTCACGTTTGGTGTCCAATGGAAGATTCCAGCCGGGGGGCAACGGCCGTGCCGCTGCCTAAGCTGGACCCCTTCAATAGCACGTCCAACCGTGATGAGCTATGGTTCTACGCTGTTGCTGAGGGACGCGGGCCTGGTGTTTATGGATCATGGTCTGTTATCTCCCCGTACAGGGATCACCGTCTAATGAAACTGCCACTGGCAGGCGCGAGTGTAGTGACCATGTCTTAGGCTTTCCCGGCGCGAGATGGAAGAAGTTCCGGAGCGAGGAGCAAGCGCGTGCATATGTCGATGCTTTCGATGCCGAGCATGATGTTATCTATGTGGATGGCTCCTGTACGAAGAACCAGCAAGGGCAAGATCGCGCGGGGATCGGCGTATGGTGGGGTGAGAACGATCCGAGGTGAGTTGGGACTCAGATGAGAAGCAATTCTGTGCGATGGTCTGACCGGCTTCGTCAGAAATCTCGCAGAGAGATGCCCAGGCGAAGCGACAAGCACTCGTGCTGAGCTCTACGTGAGTTTACGTGCTTCAAACGGCTTTCGGCTCAATGCAAGGTCTGAATGCAGGCGATAGTGCGCGTCCTCGAGACGGCACCTCACACCCGCAAGCCATTCATCATAAAGACCGATTCTCGGTCTTGTATCCAATGTGGGCCTTTCATAATCTCCAGCGTCTTCTTGCAGCTATGGCTGAGGGGAGGTCTTTGTCTTTGCAGGTTTACGACTGTGGCTACCGAGATGGGATAGCGAAGGTCCCCGGCTCAAGCCCGTCAAAGATGCCGATATGATGCGCTATCTCGACGGTTTGCTTACTCAACGCGCTCTGGAAGGACAAAAGGTGTGTTTCCATACTCTGAACGAACTACCATCTGACCCTGTCAACTGTGTGTGATCAGGTGCATTTGCGACACGTCCCCGGTCATTCTGGCATCGAAGGCAATTTGGGTGCCGATAAGCTGGCCAAACAGGGTGCGATGGAGTCCGATGTCCCGGTGCGTGACTGGGGGGCGCTGATGGCGCGTGTGGATGTTGAGGCGAGTGACGCCGCGCTGCAGGCAGCTGCGCGAAGTGTGAACCGTGGAAGGGCTGGGCTTAGACTGCTTGATGGTTGGAGTGAGTCTTGACAGGAAGCAGCCGTCTCATCGAGAGTTGATCGTTTGCTGATGTGTATTGCCCTGCAGTGATGCCGTGGATCGCGGATCATGAAGCGGGGAAGACCTAGGTTTTGAAATGTTTGGCAAGTCTGAGGGTTGTCTGTTCAACGGTCACTTTGTTGTCTTCGGAATAGGATCGGGTGCATTGCTGAACGGCATGTCGAGATATCATTGTATAGTATAGAGATTGGTCATTTCGCTGTTCTCAACCAGTATTGAGAGATAGATTGAATGACGTGTACGCTGATCATGTGAAAGACTAATTCGTATTGTTTTTGCCCCATGGGTTTGAAAGCACACTTTGAGAAGCAACAATCATTGAAAGCGAAGCTGGAAGGACAGGCGAACGTCCTGTTCAGGATCTTCCCCAGGCTGATGTGGCCTACAAATACTCAATCAACCATCGCAAATGCGAGAAACTTGACAAGGTTGCAAATCAGCTAGTGAGACGTCGCATGCATCATCTGAGATGTACCACTTGGTGGCAAAATAGATCACGAAAGCCTCTTTGTATTCGCTTCTTCAGTCTGAAGCTGAAGTCCAGCAACAGCCTGTTGGAGGCGCGTTTCTGCAGTGCGTGACCGCGTCAATATATCACGTGACTCGCCGCACTCCTTACTATGGGCAGAGCAGCGATGTTTGCAGCGATGTCAGAAACTGATCTCAAGCGAAAACTTGCCTTCACGACGTTGGATGTACTTCAGGCTGCACTATAAGCTCGCCAATTGAGCTCCACCGCCGCAGGTGTGTGTACGAGCCAACTAACAACCAATCCTAGTCAAGACTCAGATGGCCTTATCGCGGGCCATCTAGCATCGAAGGTGCCTTCTATATGCAAATCTCTCGTTGCGCATTTCATCGATTCGCACTCAAGACGTTGTGCGAACCACGCCCTAGAACACAATCTCAATCGTTTGCTACAGTCATCTCAGCGACGGTCATGTCGAACAAGGTCGCCTTCTACGCCGTAGCGAAGGGCCGCGCCCCCGGTGTCTACATGACATGGTATGTAATGTGCGCGGTCTATGGTATGCACTGAACTAGCCACCAGGGACGAGTGCCGGGAGCAGACTACAGGGTTCCCTGCTGCACGTTTCAAAAAGCTCAGGTCTGCGGCGGAGGCGGAGGAGTACCTTGCGAGGTTCGGTATCAAGTGGACTCTGCCTGAGGAGACAACCCCTACGCCTGCACCATTTCAACGAGCTATCGAGAATAAGGTAGAGTCGCCTGCGGATGACGGCGGATGTACGATTGTCTACTGCGATGGTGCGTGCAAGGGAAATGGGCAGGCGGAGTCCGTTGCTGGAATAGGCGTATGGTGGGGAAGGAGTGATCCCAGGTTTTTCGCCATCTCCAGTCCTTTCAAACTATTTGATTGACCATGCTGCTATGTCTAGAAACCTTGCAGAGCGATGTCCGGGCTCTCAGACGAACAATCGTGCAGAGCTCATCGTGAGTATCCAACACATGTCTCGTATTCGCGCGTTGTACGTCTTGACTCGAGCATTGAGAATCATTAAATGCAGGCCATTGTGCGCGTTTTGGAGACGGCCCCTCATAACAAGAATCCGCTCATAATCAAGACGGACTCGCAGTATTCTATCAAATGTTAGTCTTCAATCTGATTCTGTCCTGTTCTCACTTTGACATCGGCATGGCCAGGTCTACGAACATGGTTACCAAAGTGGCTCGATAATGGCTTTAAAACGGCAAAAGGCGATCCTGTCAAGAACGTACAATTAATATACTACCTCAACGCGCTTCTCGCCCAGCGCGCGTTAGAAGGACAAAAAGTAAACCATCCCGTCTTAAGCACACAAAGCAAAGTCGACATCCTGACAAACACTTGAATGATCAGGTGCATCTGGAGTATGTGCGCGGTCACGCGGGTGAAGAGGGCAACGAAGGCGCAGACGCCCTCGCAAATATTGGCGCTTATAAGCCAACGGTGCCAGAGCGCGATTGGGAGGCACTGCAAGCTCAACTTTCGAATACAGACCATGCGGATAGCAATGCGATGAAAGCGGCGGTGCAGGACGTGGTCTCAGCCGAGACGAGTGCAGAGGTTCCGATGGATGAAGAGGAGCTGCAGGTGAGTAAAGATGTGCAGATCTGGGTGAACGGAAGCTTCAAGGAGGATGAATGGTTGTTGACACCGGCTTCATAGGCGTACGCGAATTGTTTGTTACCGGATGAGGATATCGAATTGGATCTTTTGGACGACTACAACTAGGCTGTCTGCACACTGATCTCGCGCAATTTGGTGCGGCCTGCTCGGACATTCGATTTTTTCGACGGCCGTTGCATGTATACCTGGTGTGTTGAGGTATGGTATCCATGAGGTTATGATAGTCTGCACGTATGGAGTCCCCAGTTGGTACTGCGGGTTCTCGTACAGATAATGCTGCAGCATGTTTGAGATACTTCACTGATGATTGATGAAGACGCGATATTTCAGTAACTTCACTAACCGATACTGTGCATTGTTATATGTTAGGGACCCACATTACCTTGCGACGGTGACGCGCACCCTTATTAAGCGGTCCACGCGCAAGACGCGTGTCTTCTAGTTCTTAAAGCACACGTTGTTAGCTAGACGTCCCCCAACCCTCCTCCAAGGGCCATTCTCATAAAGCGTTTCACCTGCACAGGTCTCTGACTTGCGAATGATGTCGAAAATGCTTTTGATTTTTTGCGACGGCGCTGGTACGGACGGCAACCTCTCTGATGGTGTAGGTGAGTGTCACTTCCGAGTGGGTAATTCCTGCACCCTACTGCCCAGAATAAATTCGCATTCCCGTTTCTTTTCAACCTCAGAGGATGGACTCAAAGATGGTAGATCTGGGAAACAATATGCAACAAATGTCTTGAGGCTCTGTACGTGGACCTTTATGTCCTCTTCGGTTTCTCGGTTAACAGGCGAAACGCAGCACGTGCGATCAAAAACCGAACGGGGTAAATGGACCTCCTTTGAACTTATCGCCATATTCAATATAGCCCGTAGGTATGGCCGTCGTCAGATCGTGTTTTATCAAGCTGGTGTTGGAAGTGACGCAAATTTCAAGGGTGATCCTGTCATGGGAACCACTGCAATCCGTAGGTTTTGACTGCTGTCTGCATTAATACTACCTTAATGATGCAATACTTCTTATCGCTGGCCGTAGAGGTCTTTGCCACAGCTGTCGGTAAGTAAGATTCGATAATATTTTCATGTGTTCCTATGATAATGCCGAATCTTCAGCGAATAAAGTCAGGGATGCATATGCTTTCATTGCACAGAACTTTGATGAAGGCGACGAGATTTGCATTTTTGGGTAATGGTGCGATTTTTGAGAGCATGTGACATTTACTAAGAATCCCCACATTATCCAGGTTCTCGACGTAGGTCTACACTCTCGAGTACATGGTAGAACATTCATAAAGGGACGTAGGGGCGCATACATTGCTCGAAAGTTGTCGGGCCTCATAGTAAGATTCTTCCAACGATGATTTGTTTCAGCAGTCTCATTATATGCACACGTCAAACGTTTTCAGGATAAGATCGGGCTGCTGGACCACGAGCAACTTGGGTACTTCTTTGAGATATGGAAGGAGCTTGTTGACGGCAAAACACCCCGCATCCCGATCGGTACTCGAACAAATGTCCATATAAAGTAAGCCCCGCGACCCACCTCTTCCATCACTGATTTATGAACTACTTCTCACATCTTACAGATGTGTTGGTGTCTGGGACACAGCCAGTCCGGTCTTGGGAACCATAGATGCCTTGAAAATCAAAGACACTTCCCTGCCGAGCAGGATCGACATTGCTCTTCATGCGTTGTCCCTGCACGAGAATCGAGACAAGTTCCTTCCCATACTGTGGACTGTGCCTGGTGGTGATCTTGTATCCGACGCCGGTCGAAACAAGAATCAGGTTCTCAAGCAAGTGAGTTATTAATGCTTCGGACGATTGAGAGCACATGTTCCGACACACTGGTCTCTCCTTGTGACTCTGTCATTAGATCTGGTTCCCGGGCGCTCATTCTGACGTCGGCGGCGGGTACGAACGCCATGAGCTAGCCGATATTGCCCTATTTTGGATGGCGGTGCGTATTTAAGTTTCATGCGTTCTTGTTAACACTTTCTCATACGATGCTAGGGAGAGATCAAGCAATTTATAGACCTTGACCTCGATTTCCTTCGGCAGAGCGCTCAAAAGAAGCCTGAAACCTGGGGCATGTCTCAGCCTCACAATGCGTATGGGGAGCAAAACGAGGCCAAGAAGGAATTGATTGGGCCAAAGACACGTCTTGATAATGGGCAGATCACGAGTGACTCTGTGTTTCACAGCAGCCTCTATGCATCGCCGAAACTGCTACGAGATCCAAAGTCTGCGGTCACACTGGATACACTAAATGAAATGTTTGGTGAAGGGTGGAGACCGCGATGCCCCGAGTTGAATGAGTTTGAAACGTTTTGCAAGACTGAATGGGGTACAGTTCCGGTAAGTCATTTTTTAACAAGATGGTCAACGTTTTCCTTTTTTTTCCCTTTAGACTGAAGGCATGGGACCGGTCAAGTTTGAGAGCGCGTCGGATCTGTTTAACAACAGTCTGACTGCGCTTATTTGGGTGAATATATCTTGTCGTGCGCGACGATGATGAATACTTATGACTGCTGCTATCACAGGTTGCGGCATCAAAAGATGTGCTACCCAAGAATTGCATTCGACATGCTGTCCATACGAGAGATGGTTCAAGTACCTATGTTGCGCGTGCTTTCTACCAGGTCAGTTGTTGTAGCCGTTCCTAACGACTTTATCGTGATATTATCTACTTTCACAGGGCGGTCTTCGTACGTTTTATCGTGTACTTTCTGAGCCCGATCTTGCTCAAAGACACTGTGATTAAGATCCGGGCAAAGGTATCGACACGCAGTGTTGGATCTCCTATGATGGCAAGGAAATCTGGGTGCGTCGAGCATGTTCGAAAGCCCATTGTTGTTCATCATCCCTCGATAACTACTCCGCCATTTGCAGAAGGAAAACAACTTCGAGCTTCTCACTGGTCACAGCGCTGCTGTGAAGTGGGTGCATGTGAGAGGAGCTTTCGACCCTGTTCTTTTGGGCGACAGTGTTCCAGTGCAGTGCGTCAGTTTCATTATCGCAAATGAATATGTCGCACTGAACTGCGTAGAGCGGGATATGAAGCAAATGGAGAACATCTTTACGTTGCCCAGGCCCATTTCGGAAAGGGTGTCTCGTGGCAATGTGGCAAGGTCAAATTGGGCTCGCCTGGTGAGTTCCGCTCTTTTTTATGTGCATTCATTCCTCAAAAGTGTGATGCAGCGATGATCCCGTGCTTCGGAAAAGAGCATCTGTTTCAAGAGTATCTCGTGATGGTGTACGGTTGATGTACCTATGAGATCCTGGCAATTGGAATCGTGGTCTACGCTGGCGGAAGCCATACATGTAGCTCTGTATCTCAGCCAATTCTATCGCGTAGTACAGTTACGAGCATAGGTTGACTGTAAGGAATGCCGTTGGTCTGTCCATCGCCACAAACATTCTCCTTGGTCATGGTCAGCACCAGTTGTCGCCGATAGAAAGGAAGTGCCGCGATATCCACAAGCCAGCAATCCAGCTGACTGAAGTTTATTCAGAACGCAAGTGACCGACGGTGAGACGTGATTAACGAAAAATAACATTCACAGTCTACAATACAACAGATCCTTTCCGCAAACGCAATTTGAGGTACGATATATAACAGTACATGTGCTCACAATCAGCCATGCCCACGTCCGCCGGAGCTCTCACACCGACTCTTCATCCTCGCTGTCTTCCTCCTCCTCCCCCTCCTCCAACTTCTTCGCATTCCGCTTCCGCGTCTTCCTCTTCCCGGTGCTCACCTTCCGCCCCTTTGCATCCGTTGCCACGCTCGCCTTCTTGACCACCGCCGCGATCTCCGCCGTCCACCCCTCCAGGTCCGCGTCCTTCTCTTTCGCAAGGGTTGAGAAACGGTTGAGGACTTCGATTTCCTTTCTCCACACGTCGCCGCCCGGAGTGGTGGTGGTGTCGAACGCGGGCGTCTCGAGGATGAGCGGAATGTCCTTGGTACGCGGGTCCGAGAGGATGTGGGCGAAGGTAGTGAGGCCGAGCTCACCGCTGTAGAGCGCATTGCATGGTCAGTTCTGGTTCTGATTTGTCTAACGAGACGTTGTTATGAAGTGCAACCACGTACAGCCCGATGTTTTGGTGCCGGTCCTTTTTGCTTCCCAGAGCAGCCTTCGAGTCGTTGATGTGCATGCCGCGGAGGTACTGTGGGCCGATTTCGCGCTCAAACTCGGTCACTGAGACGCGCACTCTTTAGAGATACAAGTAAGAGTGGTCCAGGTTGGCCACTCACTCGTGTCGCTAGAAAAACGGGGTCGTCAATTGAGTTTGACACCTTTGAGGACCCGCGGTAGCGCAACTTACTTCCATCCATCTTTCGTTCTGATGTCGTAGCCCTTCACGGCCGGTAGAGATGAGACGTTGCCTCTGTGTGAAATCCGATACTACGTACCGCAGCAAACGTATGACCTAAAGTTCATAATCAGACAATTCATGCCGATGATAAGTCGAGACTTGAGCCACGCACATGTATCCAGGCAGACTCCGACTCTGCTCTTGTTCTCTACCTGCTTGATAATCTCTCCCAGCTCTGAGAAGTGCGAGCCAACTACGCTGCCTGCACCGGCCTTATGGTCATCCGCTCGCTCAATTACGTGCATAGAAAAGGCAGGAAATCACGGACCATGTTCTCCAGAATGATCACCACCGCCTTAGTCTCCTCATGGGCTCTGTTGATACACTCGGCAATGAAGGAGAGAGACTCTTCTGTTGTCGCTCGGCCGACCGAGGAGCCCGGGCTAACAATTTGTCAGATGTATAAGCTACGGGATGTGACAGTCGGCGACGGAGGAGTCTCACTGAAAGTTGTACAGATGCAGACCAAGCTCTTCACATCTCTTCAGGTCATCCAGGAAACACTGGTACGACTTCTCTCGTTTCTCTCTGCAGGTAGGAATCAGATCTCACTTGTCACGGGGAAAACAATCAGAAGTGCACACTCGTCGGGGTTGCCAAGATTTATGAGATAGCTTCCATGTGGTAATATATGAGATGGGCTATATCCAAACGCCTTCATCCGTGACTTGAACGAGGCGATAGACTCGCTGGTAAGGGGCGATGAAACCCATTTCCGCTGCGACTTGACGAACACTGCAAACGCATTCGCACTAGCGACGAGTCAGTTACCACAATAGCTTCATCACATTTGCTCTCACCCAACTGCCGCGGCATTTACGATGGTATTCTCAACTCCTCCTGCACCCGAGACATGTGGGCCGATCTTCCACGCGTTTACAGCTCTCGGAGCGAAATCCGTAGGAACGGGCTCAACAAGCACAGCTTTCGGACGGACCCGCTTCGGTTTCGGTACCTCATCCTCAACATCGTCGACCAGCTTTTTTCCTGAGTCCTCCGATGCTACTTTGACTTGTGTTCGCGTCTTTGCCTTTCGAGCACGTTTGGCTGGTCTGGGGCTATCTATCGCCGCTGCTTCTGTGTCCTCAGTGTGTTTTACGGAATTGCGAGCAGCCTTTCCAGCTGTTAGGACCCGAGCTGCAGAGGCCAGACGGGTACTCCGGCGCAGAGGAAGTGCAGACATTATCGCGAGTCGGACGCCGGGTGAAGTCCATTAGCGCTCGTCGCTGTTCGCCACCAAACGCGACCACGTGATCTTGGTGGCCCGTTCTCTCGAATGGGGAAGTGGCGCGTCGTCCTACGACATGATGTGATGTCAGTCACGCACCTTCGCCCAACACCGCGCATATATAAACCCTATGGTCGCTCATTACACTTTTCTTTACACCACATCCTCCCATCCCACTTGAACGACTTCCACGCACAACTTCTCGTTTATCATGAGCCATCTCGTTCCGCAGCAGGAAGAGAAATCAACCGCAAATCAGTGGAAAGGGAGGCTCCCCGTTGACCATGAGATGCCTCCACAATCTCAGAGCACAAACACGACATCGGAAGGCGCAGCATTCCTCGTACCTCCCCAACAGGAGAAAAGGAGAGATCCTAATGTAAACGAGGGTGAGTTTACTTCGTGAGAATCTGATGGTATGTGTTCTGACGACAGGATATCAGCTCCCCTGTACAAGGGTATGTAGTTTGCAGTCTGGACGAAACGAATATGGTGTAATGACTCAAAGTATATCATTCAGGTGTCGAACGTCTCGAAAAGAAGATCCACGCTCATGCATTCGTCGATGATCCGGACACCAGCAGCGACGCCGCTCAACGCCGGCAGATGGCGGCGGCTGTCTTATCTGGTTCTGCGGGAGTGACGGGTGAGGATCTGGGAATTGCTGAAGATAAAAAACTGGTTTGAGAAAGGACTTCTGTGTGGGCTTCATGCGTAGTCATTGGGGCTTATTGGTAAATGAAGGGAGCGTATTCACCATGTATTTGTAGGTAACGTTATGGACAAATACGTTTTTCTCGTCTGAGGTATCTGACCTGAGAATGGACGCCGGGACGTACTGATCAAGCGCACTCATGTGCTCGCACTCAGCGCTGTTCAGGTTAGGAGATGACTTTCTTAGCGACCCACCTATCATGCTTGCAGAGCGGATATGCCATAGTTAACTCCTTATACTTCGTTACTCTATTGAACACACTTGCAGAGCGTTTATACGCTGATCAACTTCCGAGAATTCCCAGATTTATGGTTGATAGCGTCCATGATGTATGCAGACTCCTGACTGCTCTAGATAACATTCTGCTTCCCTAGTCCATGTGTGGAAGATGCAGATAGATCGCGTACCGCCGTCATGCATGCCAGGAGGCCGCAAGGAAGACCTACAGATTAGTACGTGTGAGGTGTTGAACGACATCCATCTGGAACTGAAATATACTATGAGCGGCTATAATGCGCTATAGAGCACTACGTGGCCTACATATTCCCTCATAGTATAATCATGGTTGCAGATGTCATACAGTTTTTGTTTAAGGACTCGCACGTTGATGAAGGTCAGTCAAAGAAAGCCAATTACGCATCTATGCTGATCCCTTGATGCCGCACACCAGCTCGTGCACGTACTGACTTACCTCCCGGTGTCCGCGCGACACAAGCAGGGTGATACGAGGCATGGATTGATATTGTGAATACAAGAGAGCAAGCCATTTTCACGTACAATACATAAACCGGTAGAATCAGGGGATGCAGCGAGAGCTAGCATTAATACTGATCGCAGTCAACAAGATGGGGGAATGTCAATACACGAGGAAATCGAGAGAGGTTCATCAACGATAAGGAGGACGGATCTGTAGCGCAAGAAGTCGCAAGGAGCCCAGTGAGAGACGGCAGCTCTGCCTGTGAGCCGGAAGGCGCGGCCATCAAGATAGACCTTTCCATGGGGACGTCATCGAGGAAAGACGTCTCGCAACTCAGGCATGGCCACCTGCCAATCAGGAAAGTAACTGCTAATCTCGTCGAGGTATTTTTGAACCAGAGGCCTGGCTCGGCTGACGAGATTATTGCGAAGGAGGTCCACAATCAACGGTATTTCGTCAATGGCATTTTCCAACGAGTCATCCTTCTGCGTACGGTCTTCTTGAGGCATATGCTTTTGTGGGTTGATCAAACCAACCAAGACGTCCTTGTCCACAAGATAGCATCGCTGCTCCTTGAGCTCAGCCCTGGCCAGGATTTGCTTGACATTTTTGCGTGTATCTTCAACATACTTCGTACGAGCCTTCTTCCACTGTCTGGCTTCGTTACACTTCGATCCACCGTCGCATGGCATGTCCCCCATAACGTTCCGGATGTGTTGTAACGACTTGGAACGCACAATGTATGTAGGAATATTGAATCTCGCGCTGTTACGGAGGATCTCAACGTCGATCTGTGTGAAGCGTATGTCGAACAAGACGATGATGCCATCAAACGCGTACAATCCCTGGTCATGGAAATAACGCTCCCCGGGAGTGTTGAGAGTACCTGCGCCGGGGACGTCATACCAGACATATGGTTTGTCGGGATCGGGATCGGGATAGCGAGTGATATTCATCGTCGTCTCTACCGTTCCGGTGGGAGCCGCACCTGCGTCCCCGTTCCGGAGGCCGCGGAATGCATTGATCAGAGATGATTTACCGCTGCCAGCGGTGCCCACTACGGCCATATGAAACATGCCATCTTGGAATTCCAGCCGTGTCTTTATAGCTTTCAGATCTTCTGGAGTAGGAGCGATGATGGGCTTCGGCCACGATGGAGAGCTCCATGAGTCACTGTGTCCTCCCTGCTTGATCCAACTATGAACCGGGTTTTCGCCAATGTTTTCAGGCTGTGCGAACTTCCACAGCTCCCTGACGCACTCCGTCCCCAATGAAGCCCCCACCGGTAGCAAGAAAGGGCCCGCAGGTGTTAGTGCGCCTGCCAAGATGAAGCCCAATGACCCAAAGCATTTAACTAGAGCTAGCACTGATAGCATAGCGTCTCGTAATGGAGCCTACAAAAGTGGAAGACGAAGGCGTCCCGGTCGGTCACTCAAGAGATGATGAATATTCGAATCTCACAGACCTGTAGGACGTGTATGGCAATCACAGCTGCGATGATTGACACTGCTTTAAGTTAACAAGGTTGGAGACTTGCGCTACTGTCAATCTATAATGAATGAAAGAGCGTCTCGTCAGCTTTGAAGAAACGAGCAGTGTTGTGCTCATACATTATACGCCCGACGACTACTTCTCGCTATGACCTCTGTCCCTCCTGTGACGCCTCTTCTCCTGGTGAGAATAGCTTCGTGGGTATGAGATGTAGAGAAGGTGTGCTTGTTTGACCTCACAAAAGCTAGAAGGATGTCTACGTCAGCCTTAAACAAGCGATGGACGAAAATTTCCAAAAGTCTGTCTTACACCTAAATATTGTGGGAACCCCCTGAAATACTCCGTCTATCCTAAGATGACTATGCTCGCAACAAGGAGCCGTTCGTCGAGGAGGCAGACGTGGCGAGAGGTTAGTCGTAGAGAGCTGCAAAGTTGTATGATGGAGACGCGTCACCGTCCACACACAGGCGTCTAGGTCTCCTCACGTTTCGTGCATCGCGCTGTGTGACCTTGAGCATTCAAATATTCAATATTCAGCACGACTGAGGTTCACATCAGCTTGCAGGATTTTACAACGAACGGGCTGTAGGTCATCTTACCTCGCAAGCTGGCGATAATGAGCCGAAACCACGATATATATACTCTAGCCGACGTGAATGCGGACAGGCATCATGCATGTCCGCAAACACGCACGCCAGGGGATACACGAGTAAAAAAAAACACCTTTGGTTGCACAACGTATCCGACGGAAATACAGGAAACATACTAATATTCGAGCAGAAAGCGACGCAATGACGAACAGAGGAAGATAGCGGATACCAGGAGGTATGCTCACTACGCATACGGTGAGCTGGAAGAGGCCGACAAGGAGCGGCGGGAGCGCGCCTTCGTAAAGGGGTCCGTCAAAAGTTGCACTTCGTCAAGCACCTTCGTCTGATTCGACACGGAGTTTCCGTATACACGCGTCATGGTGTCCTTGTCGACAAGGTACAAGTTCTGATCGGGCAGCCCAGCCTGCTGAAGGTTCTGCGCGACGTTCTCGCGGCTCTGGCGTTCATACCTTCCTCGTACGTCATTCCACCGCTCGGCTCGCTCCTCGGCGGTCAGACTGTTGTCATCGTTGTCGGTGCCATATACATCGTTCATGATATTGGTGATGTGTTGGAGCGACTTGGATCGGACAATGTACGCGGGAATGCAAAACCGTGCACAATGACGTAGGATGGCAACATCGGTGTCCATGAAGCGATTATCGATCAGGACGATGATGCAGTCAAAAATGTAGAGACCGTGGTCGTTGAAGTACTGAGAGTCAGGGATATTGAGGGTTCCTGCTCCTGGGACGTCGTACCACACCCATGGATTAGCAGCGTTGGGATCAGGGTAGCGAGTGATCCGTTTGGTCATCTCCGTGACGCCGGTCGGTGCCGCTCTTGTGTCGTTGTTCATCAAGCCCCGGAGGGCGTTGATCAGAGATGATTTGCCGCTGCCTGCTATGCCAGCGACGGCGATATGGAATATGCCCTCCCGATATTCGAGACGCGCTTTCGCCGAGGCGATTTCTCGTCGCGTGGGCATGATGATGGGCGACATGCTCTCTGCAATGCTCTTCTGCAGCTCGGCGTACAATCATTCTCTAAAACTTCTTCCTCCTTCTCGCGTGCGTTCTCCTTCGTCGTCTTCTTCTCCTTTTGCGGCGTTTTTCTTGCTTCAAGCTTGATGCGATCCGCTTTTTGCCTCGCCTCCTCTTTCGTGTACGTCTTCTTCTCCACCTTACGCTCGACTTCCTCCACTCGTTTCGTGTCCCCATTGTCCTGTTTCTTTTCTTGCATGGCCCGCTCCTCGAGCACCTTCACAACTGGGTTAGGAGCAATTCTGCCGGACTGAGCATCAGAGCAGAGTCCTTTAACTAGCAGGACGAAAACGAGGGCGCCGCTTGCGACGACACCGCCTGCGACGAAGTCGCCTGCGATGGAACCACCTGCGGCGAGGGCACCTGCGACAACAATGCCTGGGGAAGCGTCCGAGGCTGCTTGTACTATTGACTGTACGACCCCCATGTATGTATCTGGAAAGATCCTTCCAGTCATTCAGAAAAGCGCCCGCGGGACGTGGAATGCCCACCTGCGACGGTCACTGTATGAGAGTGATGCAAGCAGTTTTTTTGTATTTTTGGTTTGAATTTTGGGAGGGAAGAATGGAGGGATGTCGAAGGGAACGAGGGTTTCATGGTACCGAGACGCCCGTGTGCAGTGCTGGAAGCACGTTGTGATAAACGCGAGTGCGAGGATAAATGTGGTCCGTGTGCCGAAGAAACCGCAGGGCGTATTCCAATATTAGGGCAGAAAAAGTCTTTCACTCATGAAGTCGAGTTGGAAGCCTGAGCGCACCGTCACAAGTCTCCGTCATAGCCAAATTGCACAGTCTTTCGCCGAAACGCTTGTCACTGCTTGCACTCTTCTGCAGGATTGTGAACGAAGTGATACAAGTTATGGGTAGAATAGATGTCTGCTTCCTGGAAAACAAATGCTCTCCCATGATGGAATGCCACTCGATCTGTTACCGTGATACTGTTGGGGACAAGTTACTCTGTTGTTCTTTTGTGTCACGAGAGCACTGCATTATGCATCACTGGGGATCTGATACCTCGGGAGATGTACGGGAGATGCGGCGGAAGATTGGTTTGGTGGCGGGATCGACGGGTCCAAAAAAAAGTGATTGACATTACATTTGGGAGTATCGAGTATTGCAGCAATAGAATAATTAGCCCAACCCGCAAGCAAAGTATACAGACGATAAGCAGCAGTTCAAATGATCAAGCTATCAATATATCAAGCTTCAAGAGAGTTTGTTGAGAGCACGTGTGCGATGCAACGTCGCTGAGTCTCCCGCCGTCGTGAGCGTCTTCCAACGTCCTTCCTCGCAGGGCAGGCATCCCGCTCATCACTGCCCACGGATACCGCGGGTCCCTTCACCTCCCGCACCCGTTCATGCCCACGCTCATTTCCGTCTCCGTCGTTCTTCCCCGCGCTCGTTGCCTCCTTCTCTGATACCTCCATACCGCCGTAGTTGAGGCCACTGCTCTTCTGACACCATGTCAGATGCCACAGCCATGCGCACCAAGCGCGAATTCGAACCCGAGCTAGAGGAGGAGCGCAAGCCTATGGTCATCGTAACCATCGACCCGCCGACCGACTGCTCACGCTCGTCCTCCATCAGCTCCTCGGCCGAGTCTTCCCTCTCACCCACCGCGTCCTCAATGACCACGACAACGACCACGACTGCCACCTCGCTCTCCACGTCGCTCTCTCTCCCCGCCTCTACCTCCCCACACCCCCCGCACAAGTCCATCCTCCGCACCGCCGCCTCCTTCACCCTCCCCTCCGGCTCGCGGCCATCCGCCTCCGCCTCCGCACCGGGCCTATCGACAAACGTGACCTTCGCGCCACTCCCCGCTACCGAACCGCGCCGCCGCAAGTCCTCCGTGCAGCTCGGCGTCGCCGCGCGCTCGCGCATGCTGCACCGCCGCCGCATGCTCCGCGAACAGGGCATCGAATCCTACGAGGACGAGGAGTGGGACGACGAGCACACTCTCCAGGATGGAAATCCGGAGGTGGTGGAGGACGACCTTGGCGTGGACCCTGCGGAGGAGGCTATTGCTGCCATCGGGCGATTTGTTAAGGGAGCGACGCGCTCGCTCTTCCGGAGGATATCTAGCCGCCGTAAGCAGGGCAGGGACCCTTCGCCTATGCCGCCGCCTTTGCCTACTGCTGAGACCCAGGCTGGCATGGAGGGCTCCCAATTACCAGACGAGCGAACGCCGGACCATGACGGTGAGGAGGAAGAGGCGAGGAAGATACCTCCAGCGGGCATAAAGAGCGACGACGATGAGACAGGGATGGGAGAGGCCGGCGAGGATACGTCGAAACGAATACAAGAGAGGACGCTCTCGGAGATGCAGGATCAGCCAGAAGGAGAATCAGCAGCAGACGAGAAGGAGAAAAGGGACGAAGAAGAAGTGACCCGAATGATACGGGAACAAACTGAGGAAACCACATCCGTCGCAGACAAAAGCGCGGCAGCGAGTGTTGAAGCACCCCCAGGTGAGCAACAGCAGTCTCGCACGGCAGCGATATTGGATGACAAGCCGCACAAAGGCTCGCAGGTCATCGTGGAGAAGCACAGCGAGCGCATCAGCATGATGGAGGTGGTCCAGCTGGAGCCATGCGAGCTCGACGCGGAGAAGGCACCGGCACCAGCGGTGGTCATGACGGTCGGTTAGGATGACGGCCCTGTCCTGCGCGATCGTGCGCGTCCGTACGACGATTTCGAATGCGGCGCGAAGATGGAGGGTCTGTCGCTTGTGAATATCGACGCTGGCGCGGTGCACCCGGTCGCTCCGTCTCTGCATCAATGGTACATTATTACGTGATATAATCTCGGGACTTCCTGCACAAGCCCGTGGACGTGCCTGTCGCCCGACCATTCGTGATCATTATTTACGCCGCCCTCCGCCTTGCCTCGCCTTCCCTTGACGGCTAGTCTCTGTTCCCGCGAGGTCTTCTCGCCCACATCCCACATCCGCTGCTTTCTTTCTTTACTGCAGCAGGGCTCCTTCACACCTCATTTCTTATTCATCCGACCCCCATCTGCCTTTTCTTGGTTTAGTAGTCTCCCTCGTCGTCTCATCTCCTCGCCTCGCATATTCAATTTCCGCCGCAGGCGCCATACTCCATATTTATACTCTACGTATCGCATTTTCCCTGTTTCCCCCTTCCCCGAAGGTGAAAGTCTATCACCGGTCTCCTTTCGCCACCGGTTTCTTAATCTCATCGTGGATCGTTGGTACCTACCGGAGTTATTAGTCGAGTCGAGTCAAACGCTGTTTGTCGTGTACCATTAGGAAAGTACGTTACGATACCGGGCCTTCGTTCAGGCCGTCTTAGAATCCTATCTACATACGGATGCATCGCATATATGCGAATCTCTCTGTCCTGGTTCTGAAGTACGGTGCGGCAGCGTGGCGCATGTGACGTCGCTGTCGCCACCGCTCTACCTTCCGCCCGCGCTCTCCACACCCAGCTGGCCCTGCAGGATCTGCGATAGTCATGACCGGTACATCAAAGCAATGGCGAGGATAATATGCATATTGGCGCGCTTTGTTGAATGTTATTGGCCATTCAGATGAGCCTGATCGAGCCGGCGTACGGCACGCAAACATTCATTGTCTATCGGTGTGAATGCACTGCCACAAAAATCATTAATCACCGAGCTTCGCAGTAGAGACAAAGGCTCAATGATGAAACATTCCTATGTGTAGAAATCTATCCCCCCTTGGAAACGTTTAGGCCGACCGATGCAGAATCAGATACACGTCAGTCAACTTCAAACTCAAGTCATCCAACTTGCATGATCATAATCGCGCTCCGCGATTGACAGCGGGCGACTTCCGCATTGCCTCTTCTCGATAAAAGCATTTCAGTCATAAATTTCCATATGCAGCAAGTTCTGCGACGCAACGAGGGACGCACTGTGGCGCAGTCGCAGCATCGCCTCGCGATGCGATCGATCAGCGCCATCAGCGGCATTCGTGTACGCGTCATCCACGTGACCGCGTCTCCCGGACTTCTCACGGTTGGTTACTCCTGCTTTCGTCGTAACTCACATCTGCAATTGCTGCTTCAAGCTTCATATGCTCTTCTAGGACATCATGGTGCGTCGTGGCGTTAGCCAGCTATCACCTTCCCACCTCGTGGGTATGAGGAGTAAGATCTAAGAGCTCCCATCTCGTGGGTACAAGGCCCAGTAAGATCTAAGAGGCCGGTTGAGGCGACAAACGACTGGGGAGTATGGTACTACAGGTGTGCGGCATTTATATACCTTTTTCACCTTTTCGTACTTGCCCGCTCCATTTTCAGGTACCGCCATGTGATGTGTTTCCGCCATCACTTGGCGCTCATTCCTCCCGACACATTGAGTGCATTCTGCCACAAGTGCCGTCGGTCGGCCACTTCCACCAACAATTTGTTGGAAGTGGCAACCGACGGCACTTTCGGTGTAAGCACTCAATTCATCGGGTGAAACACGTCGCGGGGTGGTGCCTAGAAACACAGCGGGCGAGTACGGAAGGGTGGGATATCATAAAAATACGCACCTGTGGTACTGTGCTTCTCAGTCATTTGGGCCCCAACCGGCCTCTCACTTCCTTGCACCCATGAGACGAAAAGGTGATGGCTGGGTAACACCGGAGCTGCACCAGGATTTCCTAGACAATTCTCACCATCCTAGCACAGCTGAAACCAAGCTACCATGTCATGGGTCATTGAGGTGAACATTCGATACTTGGGGAGTAGGAGACGTGCTATGCTTCTGCTGAGACCGAGTGATGGCTTGAAGAGTTCTCGCGTAGAGCAAGTCGCGAACGATCATAGCGGTCAGAACGATGTTGTACCTGGACCATCAATAGAGACGCGCGAGCCGAAGAAGGCCAGGTGAGAGAGCGACGCTTGACGGCATTCTAGGATTCGCATGAACCGGGTCTTGCGTGGAGCTTCTCTAACCGCGAGTCATACACTGCCGTCGGAGTGAGCGTTCATTTTCCCTCTTGTTGCTACAATGTTGAATGCTTACAACTCTATGCGAGTGGTAAATCAGTACCATGGTGAACACGGAAACGATTATTTACGGCCATGATCCAGTTGTACGGAGGATTTTCAGAGCAGCCGGCGATGTCGAGTCTTCACCCATGAACGTATCCAATGTGTACTATAACATGAAAAGAATCCCAAATTGATACATTTGCTCTTAAACTGAGCATCATAGTGACGTATTGGCCTGTGCAAGTCAATTTGGCTCAGCTTCTCAACTGGAGTATTTGAATTGCTTCAAGATTGCGCTGCCGAGGTTATCATGTCACCATTTTCCAACAAACAGTCTGCACGTCTTTTCTGATGTTGACGTGCAAGGCTCAACCATTGGCCGTAACGAACTTATCAGCACTACTCCAAACAAGCTTCAAGAGCCGCATATATCGCGCCGTTCCGAATAGTGTCATCTTGAGCGTTCACGTTTAGAAGAGACGCAAAAGTTTTACAGACAGTTCAAGGGGCTTGATATGCGTTAGACTCGAGCTTACACCAGCGAGTGGCACAAGTTACATAAGAAGACACGGATGATAACTGACACTAGCCTCATTGATATACAGTATTTCCGATGCGCAGCCAAATGCCCGCGCCAACAGAAGGTTAAACCTCTATCGGCCAAAGCCGCACAAGACCCACTCGGACCTATATGTGCGGTTCGTGCTGCGGTCAGGATCAGCCAGGCGTCAGATTTAGATATAGAGTTGAGCGGCATACCGACATATCCCGCTAAGGCCGTGAGCTGTGCTTGAGTTTGATCGCCGCGTCGAAAGGCAAATTAGCATTCTCCGAAAATTGACGAGGACTGAAGTTGTTGACTCGGTGATCATCTTTGAGCTGCACCGTTGAGCAGGAAAGGTTGCAGGCCACATCCTCCCAGTAAGTTCAAATAACTGACATAAAGTGATTGCGCGATCGGTGTTTCGCAGCAATTCGCATCCACTGGATGCGACCAGCTGCGAGACATCTCAAATAGCGATCACACTGGATGCTCGCCCGTCGGTGTCCGACGCACACCGCAGAAGAATAAGGAACGGGTCCGCGGAGGCCGACTTTGAACGCAAAGTAATAAGAACGGACTTGCGCTGTGCATCATGAAAGGGATACTTACCGATGTAGGCAAGCCCAAAAGACCATTGCCGGTCTTTCCGCTGCTAACCATCGTCAAACATTTTGAGAGGCTGGATGGCGAACTCTGCGGGGAGAGGGACCAGTGACGATGCTGCCGCCGGTGCGACAGGTCGGGCCTGAACGCAAAAGACGACACCCTCCCCCAAAGACTCTAACAATCACCCACCGCTCCATTCACACATGTCTCCGCAACGCCATGTAACAATACACAGCAGCAATCAGCAAATATGGCGTGCTGACCCCCGGCGAAGTCACGTCACGAGCACATATATGCATCCACCCCATCGTCGAACCGCACAGCTGAGCGAGCCAGGCACGGCTGACGGACGCGCTATGATATCAGCGATCGACCGCGTCGAGATTCGGAGCGCACAGCACATCGCAACGGGCCTAGTAGGGAGGAGCATCATAGGCTGGGAGTTGCCGTGCGTGCGGGCCCGAGAGGCCTGGACGATGCCTGAAAATTGAATATCGAGAAGCGAGGGCTAATCGATACACATCAGCGTTGCCGTGCATCGGGGACATGATGCACACCGAGAAGTGCGGAGTTGGCTTACCCAAGTGCAACCATTTTTGTGGAGCTGAGTGATACGGTTACAGCGAGAGGCTCGGAGGGGATTTGCAAGGCCGAAGCAGGAGCAGGAGACGAGGCCGGAGAGCGCGTGTGCGATGCTCGTAGCGAGACGCAGGAGAGGAGCAGAAAGACCACGGATGGATGTAACGCCAGAAGGCCTGTGACGATATGGATCGAGTGGTACGGCTTAGGGGCATGAGCGTGCTGTTCCTGACTTTAACACATGTCGGGGTACGACAAGCGAGATAGCAGAGATCGCGGACAGCAATTAGTCTGTTTCGCTTACAGCGATCGACCTGCCCTGCCGAACCAGCGTCGAGTCGTCCGCGTCCCCACCAAGCAAGACTGACGTTGCTGATGAAAGACTGAAGGTGTCACAGCCACCTTGATAGACATTCCACGTCGTTCGCAAAAATCGGCCCAACCGAGCGCCCAGCGGAACAACACGGAGTCCGACCAATGAGAGCACGTACGGCCGTCATAGCAGAACTCCGTGATCACAATCACAATCACATCCCGCACTCCGAGAATAACACCGCACACTGCCCACTTCTGCTGACGCGATTGTGGAAGTATACCGGCGTGAGAACTCGTGCTGATCCCGCTCGCGGGTTGGCAAGGGCATGTTGGGTGGCGGACCAAAGTTTGAGTCTGTTGTGAGTCCGCGTAGCACTCAATCAGCGGGATCAATATTTGTCGAATATTGAATGATGGCGATGATCTGTCAGTGGTCCCAGCGTGCTGATGCGACAACAACTTCCATTCTCCCCGTCGATGAGATGTAGAACCCGCAACAAACATAGGGCGGTGATCCGGAGGCGCGAAGGCGGTCGTTTGAGCGGCGGTAGAGATCTTCAAGGAAAACTTCATGATAAATTGGGGCAGTGAGGCAGTGAGGCAGTGGCGCAGGCTCCATTTGCAGCGCAGCGCTCGGGCACGTGAGTTGCTGAAGTAACGCGGTGCTCGATGTGTACGTATCTGATGGCGACGGTAACGCGCCGTAATTCTTCTGTGGCTTTCTGATCATCGATCCTCCCACCGTACGTTGAGCTTTGTGTGAGCGCCCGAGCCTTTCCGGTAACAATGGACGGCGCAGAATCACACGCCAGAGTGCAATGCGGTCAGTGGGGCGGTCGTCGGACAGGACCCGAGGCCGAAAGAGAGCAGTGCAGGTGAGCTGAGGGGAGGACGCAATGAGGCTTCGGAAGTTCTACAGACGAGTGATGTCAAGGTACCAGAGTGCAGGAAAGGGGGGGCGGCTTCATGGGGAAGAGACACCTCAATAGCGTCGAACGTCCCACTCAGCAGATAGACTGCGCTGCCCGATCCTGGAACCAACCATCCCCACCGCCAGCAAATGAAACTCTCCACCCACCGGGGCTGGAGACAAATGCGCAAAGTCTCACTTGAGCAGACGTCAGGATGAAACGGCACATGACCCAACGATGTCGTGTGAGTAAGTCGGGAGTGCGTGACAGGCTGGCTGGCTAGCTTTGCAGGACCATTGGTCGGTGTTGGTGGCAATCGGGATTGGATCCCGCGCCTCGCAATTCCGAATCGACTCGGCATGCCATGAGAGGCCTGGGAAGATTGAAGCTGGGATTTTCGAGCGTGCGAGATCCGAAGCGGGCGGCTCGGGGCGTACGCGGCCTCGGGATGAGTGATCTTTGCAAACTCAACCTATCCCGGCTGCAAGTCTGAGTAATGGAGGGAAAGCTGCTGGGTAATTTCGAATTCTGGATTGATTGGCGTGCATCGCAATTTGAGGCATCTCTGCGTGCGCTAGCAAAGTTACGCGCTGAGCGGTGAATATTGATCACGAGAGGATTCAAGGATGTGAGCATCAGTAGGCCAAGACGAGGAGACATGACATTGCAGGCGAGACGACACAGTCAGGAGTCGGGGTCACGGCTCCCAATAGTACTTTGGGGCGTCAGGTTAGGGACGGCAGCTGCAGACACTGTCACACTGACTGGCAGCGGGTCGCGTAGAAGCCGATGGGCCAGGCACATGATGAACGATAATTGTAAAGGCAGTACCATGCACACGAGCCAATCATGGCTTGCTATATTGTGTACTCCACCACTCTATACAAAATTTAGCGTTGAGTTGTCACCAGGCATGCACAGAGCGAGGTTTAGCAGGCTTACCGTAATGACAGCGTCGCCAAAATCGGGCATCATCCGAGCTTGGCCTGAAACTAGAACAAAGCACGCTCGAAACAGCAGACACATGACCCTTTAAACGCGGGTACGCAGGGTCCTGATCCTGAACTTTCGATGCACCTGCAGGCTATGCCAAATCGCGCTTCTTGAGTGAGGCAATGTCGGGCGCCTGCTGGGCAAGTCACCGGTCAGGGGAGTGGTCCAGGTATGATCATAGTAGGATTCTCGAGCTAGCGAAGCCTTGCCGTCACGAAAAACAAAATCGAAGCTTCGCAGGCCGCCTTGGTTGACGGATTCTTTAGGGGTCGCTACTCAGGATGACTTCCGGTGATATTATGTTGGCGCGCCGCTAATTGTGCTGCATATTATTTGAGGACGCTCACTGCCATGGAGACGGCGCAATCAGATTTTAGGGGAAAGCGAAGTTTCATTAGGACAAGGGACGTACGTTTCTGAACTGATTCCGAGAACTCGAGCTTTACAGGATGGAACGAGGGTGGACATGATGCAGCCAATATGCAACGCATAGTAACGAATTTGCAGGAGGCTTTCGTGATTTTCCATCCCTTACGGGGCGGGTCGGGTGCAGGCTCTGAGAAGAGTGCACAGGATTAGGTGAGTGGGCAGACCAGGCTTGGCACGTGAATCGCGGGTGGTGGGGTGGGAAGGCGGCAGCCGGTGTCAGATGCGCTCGGCGATGATCAGGACGCTGGACAGGACGAGCAGGACGGCGCTGAGGCGTGGCGGGGATCAGACTGGGAAGAGTGGTTTGTGTTGATCTCACCGGAGAAGGCGGGCTAGGCCATACCGGTGGGGGTGCGCCTGCGAGCTATGCCTGGCGCAGATCAGCAAAAACGGGGTGAATATCAAAATGGGCGCAGAGAAGCACAGGAAGAATGAACTCGTGGCCCCGCTGTATGAGAGGCAAGGTGCGAATCTGTACTGGACTGGAGGGAGATTCCCTGCATCGGCTGGCCAGGACGATCAGCCTCAGGCTTAGGATCAGTGTGGATCCCATCGTTGCCGCGGAGGTGGATGCTAGGCGCGATCACGCTGGGACCATCTCAGGCGGCGGGAAGGGTGATATTGCTCTGGTGATTGGCGAGCCATCACACTCGCTCGGAGGCCGGTAGCCTCACGCTTACTATCACGTCTGTAGGATACGGCTGCGGCCTGGGTCAGCGGGAGATAGAGGGTTATCTATAGACGCAAGTGAACCTAGTAGCAATACATAAGCGTAGTTCTGACAATGCACGTCAAGCACAGCGAGATCCGTCCAGATTGCGATATGTCCGATACATGAGATAGCAGGCGCAAGTGAGAGGAAACCGCTGTAGCACGTCATGGCTGCGAAAAGGGGAAATGCGATCCGGGCTGAACGGTCTCGCCAAAACGAGCAGTATTACGAGCTAAGTGATGGTGACGGAGGTTATGCGAGAGCGGTGTTCGGGGGAGACTCGGTCGGTAGCAGACCTGCCTCGACGGCGGCGATGATTTATCGTCGCGATAGCACGCCCGCCTCAATAGCTCCGGACGACGCTATAGAGATCGTCCGGCGACATGCTGCATTTCAGGGAGAGAATGTTGCGGCGGAGACAGTACTTGGCGGGGGAGGGGCAAACGGAGCTTGAGTCGGAGGGGATGATGGGGCATTGGAGCCGGGGACTCGCGACAGAAATGAGCGGGAATTGATGGTCCAAGAAAGGCAGTCATGACCGGAACATGCCGAGCGCAGATATATGCATTCGAGACAGTAGACGCGGCGGAACGTCTTCCCTTCTCATCCCCGTCGTATATGGTTCTCGCCTGAGGCCGTCCCGCCCACTCGCCCCCCTTGCATCCTTCCTCCCGCCCTGCCCTGCCGTAACAAGGATACCGCCTGGAGTGCGTCCATGTTTGCAGCGTCGTTTTGCCCGCTCTCTATGCTGATCCATCGCTCGTCTGCCCTTTTCCGCTAGATCTCGCGACCCTTGCCGGCTTCTCACATCCGCCCATTCTCCTGCAAGTGTTTCTGCACAACCGACGCCTCTAGCAAGCAGCATCGTACGCTGAGCCCCGCTCGCGACAGCTACCAAGAACCCTGCTCCGCATAACCAGCGACAGTCCCGCTCCCCTCCTCGTCACACCGGATTCCGCTGAGCAATCGCGTTTCCGCCTGTCTGTCCTCAAATCCACCATCCTCACGACCTCTCCGAAAAGCAACGCTCTGAACCTGGCTGTTTTGTCACTGGAGTTCTCGCCTCTAGAACTATCTGCATATCTTGCTACCACGGCTCAGACAGCCCTCCGTCCTCAGCATATCCTGTAAATACAATCATATAACACGACTACATCGCAATGGCTCTTCCGATTACCATCCCTTCTTCCCCTACCGGAGCCGCCTCTCCCACCTCGACGGATGGTTCCAATGGTCCTCGTACCCCTGCCTCTCCTTCGAACCCAACCACTTTGTCTCTTCCCCCGCCTGCTGAAGGCTCTTCTGCCTCTCCTCCTCCAGCAGCGAATAACGGCCCGGCAAACGGTGCCCCGAACAAGCGCAAGGCAAGCAGGCGCGCCAATACCGCCGAACGCAGGGCCACCCACAACGCCGTAGAGAGACAGCGCCGAGAGACGTTGAACGGTCGCTTCTTGGTATGTTTAAGTGACTCGCACAGTCTGACTGTGAACTCATGTTGGACACAGGATCTCGCCGCTCTTTTGCCCAACCTTTCGCAGATTCGTCGTCCCTCAAAGTCGTCCATTGTCAACTCGTCCATTGCGCATATACACGCTTCCCGTCGTCACCGCATGCTCGCGGCACGTGAGCTGCGTCTTATCAAGCTCGAGGCCGATGCACTCCGCCGCGAGCTCAACGAATGGCGCGATCGTTCGGGTCTCCCACGCGTTGAAGAGCCTGTGCGTGGTGAGGCCTTCCAAATGATCATGAGTGGGGAGGTGGAGCTGCTGAGCGCTGTGCCGGTTGAAGAGGAAGATGGCGACGAATACGGTGATGACGAGTTCGTTGGCAACGGACACAGCAACGGTGCTACCCGTGGCAACATCGCTGACGACATCGACCAGGAGATGCGCGGCCCCATGGCTCACACCGCCGCTGTCCCACTCCTCAAGAACAGCCCAGATGTCGGATCCTTCTCTCACGGTACGCCGACGAGCGACCTGCGGTTGCAGACTATGCTGTCACGCTCCGGCGCGCCTGGCAACGGCACGCCCATGATCGTCTCGAGTCCAACCGGAGTGTCGTTCGAAAACCCTGCGATGGTGTCCATGTACGAGCCGCATCACGGACCGCTGGGCGCGGGCCAGTTCGCAGGTCAGTTCTTTGGCAATCACGGCATCGGCAACGCGGGCGAAGATAAGATCAACTGGCACTATGCGTCGCTCTCCGGGCCGGGCCAGCAGCCGTTCACGTCGCCGCCGTCGCAGGGCAACGCGCAGCAGGCGGCATACTACATGGGCATGCAGCGGCAGCAGGCGATGATGCAGCAGCAGCGCAGCATGGGTCGTGCGTACGGCGGCGCAGCGGACGGGGACGACGCGTCCTCTCAAGGCTCCGCGCCGAGCATGCGGCGGGAGCGCAGCGGGAGCATGGGCAGCACACAGAGTGGATTCGGCTCGCCGGGTGCGGGCAGCTACGATATGCCGGGCGCGGTGCCGCGGCGGATGGGCACTGGAGGGGCTGGGTTTGGTGAGGGCATGGGGATGGGTCTCGGTGGGATGGGAATGGGCGTGGGGATGATGAAAAACGCGCCGATCAGCGTTGGCGGTGGGAATGGCCACGGATATGCATCTATGATGCTGTGAGCGCATTCACCGCTCTCTGCGCCGGACCCTCCTCCCGCTGTTCTTCCCACTCTGGCTGCTTCGTCTTCCCGCTCGTAATCGGCCACCACTCATCGTCTCTTGGACCGCATATTTATACGCCCGCCCGTCGCTCGCGTGCCGTTCGTTCGCGTTGTATGTCTGAGGTTATTAGCTTACACCCCCCTACTTGTTCTGTTTCTCATCCGGTCTGCGTGTTGTTGCTTGCTTGTGTCCCCGCTCCGTCATGATACCTCCCAAGTGTACCATCATTACCGTCGCTGAGCGCTGACTGCCGGCCCGTCCAGTCGTTCGTGTATTGCACACTCGTTATCGCTAGCTGGTGAGCTGCGTGCTGCGCTCGGATCGTTGCGACTCGGTCCACACGCCGTCGTCGGTCGTCGCTGGATTGGTTCTGGTGTTGACTTTGTCACTCAGTTGTTAATTCACGCGCCCTCATCCGGCTAGCTATAGCGTGTACCGTCATTCCTTTGTACCCGTCTGGGCTGTGCGTTGTGCGTCTTTGCTGGACAGAGGCTCGCTGTAGTGGTTATTTTAGTACAGCTGCTCGTCGCCGCTGATTGCATTTGGATGCTATGGATCTACGACTCGGAGCCCAGAGACGAGGTACCGCTGCATTCCATGCAGCAACTCGAGATTGAGGCCCTCCCTGCAGGCAGCCACATCGCTCGCGTCATGCCAAATTCACAGGAAAGGATTCGTTATCTATCACCTAGAACTCCGCTTTTGCGTTAGTGCTGTTGGATCGATTCCGGGCCTCATGCGTCGCCGTACGACCTAGGACTCCGCTTACACGTCAGAAGGGCTGTCTGAGCTGGGGCCGGAGATTCGGCAGGGGCACATCAGAGATGGGGGAAGGCCCAAGGGGCCGCCCGGCCAGAAGGATGACGGACGCGCGGAGATGCGTTCGCGAATATCAGAAGATGCTCGGTGAGCCCGGCCATGCGTGTCGTTGTTAGTCGCTGGACGTGCAGAGATGTTGATTTCTTCTGCTTCTGGATAGGTGCCGGGACCGAGCGCAGATTGGTGGGGAAGCGCGGGAGCCGGTAGGGATGGGAGAAGGAAGCGGGTGGGTGGGTGTCAGGGTGGTGAGTAACGCGTGGTTCGGCGCTGGGCGATGTGTGGACGTGATTGTGGTCCTGGCGGGGAATGCGAAGACGAAGAGGAAGACGAAGGCTTGGCCTGGCCGAAGAATCTCATGCATCATTGACAAAATGGCGAAGTTCCGAAGCGGTGGGCCGCCCTGGAGGCTGGTGGGCAGATAGAGCGCATTTGGCATCGCTGAGCCTGTGAGTGAGGCACCGGCTGCAGCAAATTTTGTGTGGGAGTGCGAGTGCGAGCCCCTGCAGATCATGGTTCTATTCCAGTTTGGATGGGTGATTGGTGACGCTTGTCGATTATCTATCTGCATCGTGTCGTAATGCTTTGCAGTGCGTTAATTTTGTTCATCCGTGCATTCGTACGCTCTACCGCCGCCGCTTAGCGAGGGACGCGCAGCAATGGCAAGTATCGTGCATGCGGCGGGAGACGGGTCAATGTCAAGATAATGTTATTTATCATGGGATGTTGACGGTGTCTACGTATTAGTGCAGATTGACCACAACTTCTTGTCTCGCAAATTTCTGATGGATAATGCTGATCAATTCCCGCATTCATAGGGAACGGAGCATGTCTCACTAACGAGATGTAGGGCGAACTGAGCCTTTACCCTTCTTTTTGATCCTCAGCCATTGGAGATGGTGAGTTCTCGTATTTCTGATCGGAATATATGTCCAAAACGCCCGGAGGGGTAATATCAATCGACACCTCCAGCGACTACCAGGATGCATATTACGACGAGCGGCCGCACATCTGTACAGCAGTACTGACTTGAACCCCTCGTCTTGACAGACATCGGTGTTGTCGGGCTATCATTAGACCTAGTACGTATCAACACCGACTATCAGTGCGCGTAATCTGGATATATGCGCTTTTTTTGACATCTCTATGGCGGCGTTATTGGATGTGCCCGCCGCCGCAGCGGTGATGGTGGCGCATCGGCCCCATATAGGGAAGCCTACGCCCCTGGTTGCACTGTGCGAGCCGTTTCACGTTTCGGCTATTCGTTTGCGTTGGATGTGGCAACAAGTCCTTGATGGTCGCTGATATCCAGGGCCTCACAGATCTGTTCCTGGAGCATATATGCGTACAAATCGCACATCCGAGGCACACATAACGTCTTCAAATTCCAGCTTGGAGCCCTGGGGGTTTTGGGGCTTTTATGTGCACGCATCTCACGCCCGTCGGCTTATATGAAGGCATATGCAATTCCGTCTCGCAATCCGCAGTCAGGATGACTGTAGCCGACTCTCGCGGCGGGCACTGTGGAACGGGATGGGATCCTGCTCGAGTAATCCCGTCTTTGTCGCTGTCTCAGGATCCACTAATTTCCAATACCTTTGACTGCCAACTGTCCTGCAATGCCACAATTCCGACATCCGCTGACTCAAGAGCTGGACAAGCTTAGTCTTATGTGGACAGTGGCCGTCAGAACGACTGCACGTGCTCTGACCGCAGGATATGCCGATGCCTTCTGTTGATCTGGCTATTCTCCGTCTGGTCTATCACCGCGCTTCAACGCTTATCGGACGTCTTGATCTGCTTCATGACCGACCTATTCTCGAGATCTTGTCTTCTGCTGGCATCTCATATGCCTGCCTCGACTTCCTACTGCTGATTTCCCAAGACCGAGCGTGGATCGGCCTAGTTTCCTCTCGAGACGGCGAGGGCCACCCCCCGTGAGGTCGCCCGAAGGCTTGCTCTGTCAGCGGTGCCATTCACATGTCATTCCACGTGCATGATCGCGGTGGAGGCGGATGTGGGGAAGCATGGGAGTAGCATGTCTCCGTCGCTCGAACCGATGTGGACAGCCACATACAGCTCTTGTCGTCATACAGCAAAATGACGCATCAACGACAGCGTTATTCAAATGCTGAACATCAAATAAATCCGGATGGAGTGATGTCTGCGGCTGACGCGCGCCTTCACCTTGTCAGGTCGAACGTATTAGAAGACGCCCCGAGATACTATTTCTGCCTTGGACTGCACCTTCGTGGAACGCAAGTTTTGTCAGCTGATGCCTGGACATGAAGGGAATGTCCTAACTTTTGACGGTACATCTGAGATGAAGTCAGCTGCAAGATCTCGATGCTTCAAACTGCCTATTCATGCGACATGCACTGCTATGATGATCAAACTACGGTGCGTTCGTCAGCTTTCTCGATGGACCGAGCCAACTGTCTATGATCATCATGCGCTGGTTTTTCTTGAGTCTTGACAGCAGGTTCTGTTACTAGTCTCGCTTGTGGCGGTTAGTCACTGTCACATGTGGACAGCCACTCTCACAGGCCACATCTTCATGTGCACGCATTGTGCACATGGATAAACGCATGTACCATCTTCAGCCTTTCCCGATTATCATGACTGGCTCGCTATTGTCACAAGGAACTGCTATTGATGGAGTTGATCTGACTGGCGACTTTCTTTTTGTCACTCTTTCAATCGCGGTGATATAGCTTGTCTGCAGCTGACATAGTAACATCCTGAGTTGAGGCGCATAGCGACCTTCAGGTCTTACGGGAGTGTCGAGAGTTCTGGTGCTGTTATGTGCCCATCTCACATTTATCTCGTTACATCTTTCAACAGAGAAGGTATGTGAATTCACATCTCGCAATCCTCAAATTTTAGCCGGGATGACCTCAGTTGGCTCTCGTGTCGCTCAACGCTAGATGATATGCTACTCAGCTCGAAAGTTCTCATTTCCGTCGCTGGTCTGCTGTTGAGCAAAGCCTTTACTATCAGCACTTTCACTGTCCTGCAATGCAGCAAGAATGTCGTTTGCTGATTTTGACCGCCTCTGTGCGATGTGGCAATGGTCACAATATGGCCACTTGCCTGAAGGTCTGGACACGCTCTCGTTAAAGGACATGCCGATGCCTTCCGCTGATGTTCACCTTCCGGTTACTCACTCCCAGCTATTACGACAACAGGCTACTTGGTTTGCTCTGCAGCTGACTGCACTCGTTGTCGGAACGCGGACTGGGGAGTGTCTCGTGCTTCTTTCGTCTATTTCTCGCCATCGTTATCTCAAGATGATCATATGGCGTCGATTAGCTTGATGTCCTCTTGAATGTACATCGTTGCTCCGAAGAGCGAGTGCCGGGATGTATGAGATGATATGTTTGCGCTATACGTGGACAGCTTCGTCTATACACAGTTGGTCGCCTGCAGCTTCGCGGTATCTACATTCTGGAGTCTTCCGCTCCATATCCAAAACGATTCTTAATGCTGCCGTCTTTGCATTCTAACGCCCTTAGATCGGAGAGAATGCGGCATTGTCTGCTGTTTTGCTGCACATCTGATCCAGCACCGTATTTGCGGTTGTTCGTTAATTTGGAAGTCTCTGATCATGCGGTCAATGCGTAATGCAATTGAACGAAGCGTCTCCTCGGGCTCGGAGAAACTTGTTCGTCGAAGGAAGGGGCTAGCTATTTTTGCCTGCGTATCTGCGATTTCTCGGAAACTGGCAACAACATTCGGTCCATCTCGAAAGAAACAGCATCTACCGACATTGGTCGGGTATTTAGAAGAGCCCGTGGGCATTGCATGTAGGTCAGGGCAGTTGACCTTAGGAGTCTCGTGAATGATAATGGATAATTGTACGGCGCCGCTCTGATCCTACAGGTGCCCACAAAGACACGAGAAGCATGACAACTTAACATCTTAGACCGTATTGAGTGATCATATGTTGGTAGCAGTTCCTCCAAGAACTCACAAGGCCTTCCAGTTCAACGAGGGCTTGGGCGCCTTTGCTTCAGTCGCGGGGAACGCCGGTAGCCTAGTAAAGAATTGTTTCACGCCGGATCGTGACAGGTTTCACCTGACAAGCTTTTTGTATGCCTCCTAGTCTCTGAGATGCGCGATTGTGTGTCGCACAATCCTTGGGTTCTTGACAGCGGACTCATCTCCCGCAGTGTTGTCCGGGCGTGCATGGTGCGGCGCTCGGCCGCCGATTTGAAGCGCCGTCCAGTTCAGACCCTTGCATTTACATTTCATACACCATGGCATAAGTTGTTCGAGAATTTTACGAGAATGTTACGCTGTGCTGCTTTCGCTGATTTTGAATATTCCCCAGATGCTTCCGTTGCTGTACATGAGAGCGCTCAATCCCTCCGCGTTAAACGACAGTGTGCAATCGCGCTGTGAGTGCCGCAGAGCTCGTCGAAGTTAAAGCTATCCTGGCTTCGCAGTTCTCGCACGTTCATTAAGTGGGCCTTTCCTCCAGCCGTAGAATATCTCCATAAATGTTGATATGATATTAGCTGCCCACTTTGCTTACCACGAAGTATTCGGTAGTGCTGCTCATCTCTTTTCATTGCCAATTGTTCTTTCCTTGCAGCTGCTCCTGTGACGGTGGCAGCAGTGCAGGCTCCGGACGTCTAGCCGTGCTTCTTTGGAGTCTCTGTTGTGAAGAAGGCCGGCACCACTAATCAAGCTTTGAGCGACCAGGCCGTTTTGCAAAGTGAGATAACATGAACCCTCTAATATGGACTTATTATTTTTATTTTTCTGGTGTCTGGATCAGCAACATCGCGACCGTATCCGGCTACGTCTCCGAGATCCTCGCCATTCGTACGGCACAGGCGCATGTCCAAAATTCGCGGCCGCCATGAGCGCGGAGGATGAAGAGCTGCCGAGCTCAAAACAGGTGCTCTCAATTCTCTGAATGTCTCCATGCCTCATCCGTGTGTGCACGTACCGGAGGCTTTCGGTGCCGCCCTCTACCCGGCTGGTCGGGCGGGGGGTTGAGTGATATCTTTTCTCACCCAGGCCGACGTTTTCAGCGTTTCAGAGCTCATGGTAGGTCCTGAGCGCATCTCAGATGGCGGATCCTGCGGACACCTCGCCCACTTTGAGTCGCTCACGCCTGAACATCGCACCATTCGTGCGGCGCAGCTTATCTCCCGGAGGTGGTTGACGATGCCTTGGGAAAGACTGACAAGGGTCTTTTCGGTGACAATTGCAGACGTGTTGGGCGCAACTCCTCTCGTCACCTCGCAAATAGCACGCCAGCCCGCCGCAGGACCATTCCTTTTGATCGCTAATGTGTATGTGATTCCCCGCTGTACTATTTGCTTTTTCTCACCCAGTCCGACATTCACAGGTACGCATTCGCACACGATGTTCTACACTTCCCCGTCTTCACCTTGAACAGCGTTCAACGACCCTGCCATCCTCTCCGCTAATGGGTGAGGTTAGGGTGTACGGCTGTGATATCAGTGATTTTTGATTTTCAAGCCGTGCATCGTGTCTCTCCGAATAGTATTAATTCCCAGAGATTACCATGTCAGCAGCAGGCCTCCAGAATACTCCTCATGAAGGAGTAGAATGTAGAATTTTTTCAGCTAAAAAATTTGGCGGATCCAGATGTTCCGCTTCACGGTGGACCACCTCGTCATCGGCCGCGCTCCGCTTGGAGAAGCACCAGTCACGAACATCGCAACCTTCCAGCTGTCCTGGTACGCTGACGATGATCTCGAAGCGGTCCTGTGACAGGCGTTCGACGTCGCTAAACTGGCTCATGCGATGGATACCCGCGAGACCATATGGAAACAAGATTCGGACTTTCCGGCGTACCTCAGGCTGGCTTGTGCGATTGTCAATCACTGCAGGCAGGAGGAAAATAGGGCTCTGTGCTAGCGGCATGATACTATTCTACTGCAACAAGGAGGGAGGGGGGGGGGGGTAAGGGACACTTGAATCGAGACGCGACGAGGCCAATTCACTGGATCGAATACCATTGGCCCGGTGGACGCACTGTCCTGTCCTTCATACCACCACCACTACAGATCATCTACTTGATTATACTTTCAGGCGACAGACAATCATCTCAAAGCTTTACGATAGCAAGGCAGTCCCAGATATTCATGTGTAAAACATCAATGCATCCTACATGATCAGGTTTAATTAATGTGTTCGTCATTTCACGCGATACATGCAGAAGAGTCAAAAACGATGCGCATACAGATACAGTGGCCAGAACATGGTATCCTACTAGAGATGCATGGACTTCTTACTTCATAGGACATAGTACTACACTTCGTTGACCGAGTCGTGTTAATGCTTCAAAGGATTGACCATAATAGTATTATTTAGACCGTATAGGCAGGAGGTGATTCGGCACCGGAGACGCTGTCGGCTGCAGCTTCTGTACCCTTATCCACAGGAATCGGAGGCAAACTGTGTCGATTAGGCTCGATGTTCCGGATAGGAACCTCGCTCATCTCGACCTCTGATTCTGGTATACGCACAGTAGATGGCCCCGCTACGGGGAACGGGATCGAGGAGCGACGATGCAGTTCCACAGCCGCGGACAAGTGCCCGCTGCGGCGGTGATGTTGACTTTGACGACGCGACATGCTCTGCCCGAGTGCAATGGGGAAGCCCTCGCCAGCATGGGAGGCGCTGTTCGGAGTCCGCGAAGGCGATGTAGGCGTACGATCAAGACGCGGAACATGTTGTACTCCGCTCACCGTCGCGGACGTATTGCGGCGGACAGTACGTAGGTCCGTGTGGATAGCAGGCAACGGCTTGTCGGACTCGGGACGCGGAATCGTGATCGGGAGCAGAGGCGAGGGAATCTGCGTGCGAAGGGTCGGCCGGAGAGAAACTCGGACCATCCGAGGCAAGGCGATCGTGTCGGAAGAGCTTGCCGCTTTGCTCGGTGACCGAGACTGCTCGAGCAACTGAGCCTCAGAGCCCATCGCGTGACCTCTTTCCGTGAATCTCACACTTTTCTTGCGCCTGGGTACCCAAAGAAATCAGAAAACGGAGACTAGACACGTAGGCGTGTACGCACAGAAATCGTGAGAAAATGAATGCGAGCAGTATCAGGGCAACTACAGCACCCGCTACGGCACCCGCAATGGCGGCTGCATCATTGGGTCTGTTGCTGCTGCCGTCACTCGTACTATGAGCACTGATGGTGGAACTACTTGCAGGCGCCAATGACAGGCTAGTCTCTGTGGAGGGAGTCTGTGATGCCGTCACAGTCCCTCCATTGGTTGTCGAGGATGTGAAACTTGTGGAGGTAGTAGAGATGATCGAAGATGAGGGCGATGTGGTAAGTTCGGTTGAGGTTGTAGCTGAGGTTGTTGAAAGACTTGTGGCGCTCGAGCAAACAGTGCCGAAAAGCGTGGCCGTAGCCTGAAGCTCTGTAAACTGAACGGCGGAAGTGATTGGTACTCGAATAGTACTTTCACCTCCTTGCGTTCTAGTCAAAAAAGGATTTTTTTACACAGTATATTCGTCATCCATACCTCCTATCGTACTGACAATCTCCTCGCAATACGATATGGTCAGAGGCGCTCCAATGTCAGTGACGCAAGTCTGAACAGTAGTCAGCGTTGGCTCTATCGACGTCACACTCTGCGTGTACGAGGTCAGAACGCTAGTTGAGGTGACTGTCGTATATTTCGTCTTGGTCGGCGTCGAGTAGCACGACATGGTAGTGACTTGGTGGACCGTAGTGGAAGACGGAGCGCGCAACTTCACAATTCTTCCAATGCTTTAGGCTAGCCAAGCCTCACAGCAATAGTGAGGAAGATGTGAAGAACGCGACATAAACCCTGAGTGCACGTTTATGCAGAGTGGGATCTGCATGGCCGCTTATGACACGCAACCACTCGTGAAACGCGTGAAGCAGATGAAGGGCAAATGAAGTGCTCACTTCTTGCACGCCAGCGATCAATCCAGAACCGGCAGACGGCGCGAACAATGCTCGTATCATTAGGTGGACGGTCGCGAATGCCGTGGTTCCTTCATGTGGTCCACGCACATATGGAAACGACATCGCGAGGAGGTCCATTGCCTGCATTGACGCATCATCACGGTCAGTCAACACACGTTTACCACTACCGAGGCCCACGCATGGTAAATCCACAGTTTGATCTCGAATAGAGGTGCTGTTGGGGTGTGCCTGAAGCGTCCTAGGCCGATACAGGCGCCAGCATTCGGTGAGTTGACAATAGGCGCCCGAACGGTTCGCGAAATCGCAGACACGCGTGCGTGTAGAGCAGAACTAGTATCGTATTACTAAAGGAGTGTATAGCCACAGGCAACAAAGGATATCAGAGAAGTACCGTCCGACGATCAGCATACGCAAAGGAGCGGTCAATAGCAAAAGTCAGGAAAAAAGGGTATCATGAACATAACTCGCCGCTTCGAGGCCTCGCAGGAACGACAATCGCTCGTGCACTCTATGCACCGTGGCTCGCAGACCTGGGATTGGTCTGCTCCTTGAGTGCGAGCAGCTGTTTTGAGCGGAAGGCCTCGTAATGGATCTGCGCGGTCGTCTCGATCAGGTCTTGGAGGTGTGTTCTACAAGAGAGCATTAGCGTGAAGCTCATGATAAAGAGCACCAGAAACAGACCTTGTGAGGAAGTTGCGCAGATAAACAAACTCGCAGTGTGTTTCATCTTCGACGTTGACGACACCCCAGCGGTTCTTGCGTCCTCGCACTGACTTGCCGTCGATGATGACGTTTCGCTCAGAACCGACCACTGAAAACGGAATCATGCTCTATGAAAGGAGTAAACAATCGGACAGCACGTTACATCTGCTGGTATTTACCCTGATGCTCTCGTTGAGCTGTACTTCCTCCTCGTCATTCTCATCCGTGTCGAAGGGATAGAGACGGATACTGTGGTACTGGAGCTCAGCCCGGATCTAGACCATCCATATATGTATGAGAACCACAGAACATAAGCAGACATGCACACACCGTCTGCTTGAATGCTTCACGCTCCTCCAGCGTTAAGCTGTCTGATTTGGCGATGACGGGAACCACGTTGACGACCTCGCTAAGCTTCTTCATCACAATAATGTCGATAGGACGAAGCGAGTGGCCGGTAGGGTTGATGAAGAACAGGCAGCAATGAATGCGGGTGTCTTGGATGTGGCGATCACGCTGGGCTGTAAGTTCCTTCCGTAGATAGGCACTGTGCTGGTCCTTGATGTACTTCACAATAGGGTCCCAACTGTTTGAGGTACGTCAAACGTCTGCCACGAAGAACTCATACAGCAACACACCAATTCTCATTGTTGATCTGGTCGCCATACCCTGGCGTGTCGACGATGTTCAGGCGAAGCCTTACGCCATTCTCCATAATGACTGCATGTGGCTGTCAGAACGACACTCCTCGCATTATTCGCATACAAAACGGACCATGGGACACGGGATGAATCTCGGTCGTCTGTCTGACGGGCTCATCCGCTTCCTTCCTCCCCTTCGAGTCAATTAGATGAGAGGCGAAGATAGTGTTGATCAAAGTCGACTTTCCAAGCCCAGTCTGACCTGCATAAGAGCCCACGTCATCCATGAGCCGCGACTAATAGTCACAGTTTCGCGCAGTGACCTACCGACCACGATGACATTGAACTGGAAGCCACGCTTCAAGAGCTTGTGCTCAATCTGCTGCGTGATGGTGTCGAAACCGACGTATGAGTTGGCACGGATCTCCTCGACAGCAGCGGCAGCCATGGCAAGACGAATGAAGCGAAGAGGGTGAAATTCAGGAAGGAGCTAAGACGGTGAGCTGGTCGTCGAACGAGCGCGAGCCAAACCGCCAACAGAGCGCAGTGCGAGCCACGTGGAGAACGCCTAGATATTTTCCCGCGTTTAAGAGGGCAAAAGCAACTCCAATATTAGGGTAGCCCGCTCTCGCGTCCTTCCTCCATTCCTCCATCATTCAGTACCATTCGCGTTGTTCAGGATACAAGACCATAAACAATGCCATTATCAACGTCAACGGTGAAGGACGGTATGAATCCATATGATTGATAGCGCCTCGCAGTCTTATCCTCGAACCGGAGTTCGTTCACGCTAGTTTTCGACCTCCGACTACTCTCCGAATGCTGCCTCTCGGTTCCCAGTTTGTGGCAATATATAAGGGCCTGTCACCGATTCATGTCCGCCGCTGTTCGCAAGTCCGTTCAGTCATCCTCGCTGTCCATCACGATGCCGTACGTACCTTGAGGAGTGCTTTGTGAGGATTGCTGATACACTATCATGTTCATGCAGGACGATGTCCATTGTGTCTCCCAAGTTTCCGCAGGAGCTGGTAGACATGATCATAGATTACCTCTGGGATGACCGTCCGGCGTTGATGGCGTGCAGTCTGACGTGCCGCCCTCTTTCGAACGCAAGTCGGACGCATCTCTTCGGCGAAGTATGCCTTGAACACGAAGCCGCCTGCACTAGCTTCGAACAGCTTGTTGAACAGTCTCCGCATTTCGCGCTACATATTCGCAAGCTGTCCATCAAATGCCGGCACTTCTGTCACGATCTAACGTATCAACCGAGCTCGGCGTGGGTTGCTTGGATTCCCGCCCTCATGGCGAAGCTCCCTAGGCTTGAAGACCTGGAGTTCGCATTCTTGGACTGGAGCAGATTGCAATTCGACGCTGAGCGTACCAAGATGCTTTCCATGCATCTCGCGAGGCTCAGACGTCTTGCGCTATCCGATATTCATTTTCAACATCCCAGTGACGTACGCGAAATTCTCATAGCTGCGAGCAACCTGCAGGAGCTACTACTATTCCGTATCTTCTTCACGTGCTACGGACAAGGAAAACCGCGATCTCCTCCCGATGTTCCCATCGGTCGTAACTTGCAGCGCATTTCCTTACGGGCGACTGTCTTACCGCTCTTATTGAAGGACTGGCTTCTACTTCCCGAATACCCGCTCAACCTACGTTATATTTGTGTACAAGGTCGAGACGAAAGCACCGCAAACGCCCTCGGCGGGTTTCTTCGGTCGTCAGCGGCCAGCCTCCGACACGTTGACATAGAGTTCCCGAGTGGCGCGGCATCTATAAGTGAGTTCTGATAGCCTATTTGCATGTTCTTGTGTCGCTCAAGATGTAACTTACAGTGCATGACGAGGTGGACTTGTCACCTCTCACTGAACTCCGCTCTTTCAGCTTCGGTGGCCTCATTGCGTCCGAAAGCTGTGCATGGTTGCTCATACTCCTCTCACAAATCACATCAAACCATCTCGAAACCGTCAAAGTTTCCATGCTCGCCATAAAAGCGCAGGATCTCTTGGCATTAGACTGGGCACAGTTAGACGAGACGCTCTCGCATGCTCGCTTCTCCCGAGTCGAATTGACGATGTACATCAAGCTTTCCCCCAGTCGCAGGATCGAGATCGGGATCGAGCAAGCGCATAGAATCGTGACGACTTCGTTGCCACATTTCCAGAAACATGGGACTTTGCGAGTGAAAGCTGAATGATGGGTTGTGCTAGGAGATCTTTCTCCGGGCAGTCGATACTGGAATTCAAGATTTCTTGACTTAGCACGTATCACCAATAGTGCCCTGGTATGTGGCTGATGGACCGCATGTTTGCCAAACCACGTTCATCTCCTCCGAATGGCTTTGTAGTGATGATAGACAACCTTTGGGATGACCATCGCGCAATCAGCATGCAGTCTGGCATGTCGTGGTCTGATTCTCACCGTGAAGGCGCGTGCTCCGCAGTAAAAATGCATCTTCGGGTGCATCGGGTTCCCTTCCTCATCGCAAGGCTTCTTGCTTTTTCGGAGCCTCGTTGACATTCGCCATTGACCTCCTCATTTAACCTTCTAATAAATACGAAGATGTATGTCAATTCGTGGAACTCTTGCCGAACTATGAGATACGGGTCGTTGTAGGCGATGTATGATGATGACGAACAGATAAAGCGCAGCTGTGCAGTGGATATAGAACTGGTCGTGTGAGCTATTCTCCCGTTATTTCCCAGCCAGCCTTCGTGGGGGTCACTGTGCATCTCTGTTCCTCTCGTTTTTCTTCGCGGAGTGAGGCTCCTTTTACTATGCAATGTTCATTCCCTCAAGGTTCCGACGTCGAGCGATTGCTCGACGTCAGTCTTTATTCCTTTCTAAACGTTTAAACGTTTCAGTTTGTAGACTACATCGCAACTTGAAGTCTCCATGGTGACACGACCACGTGATTGTGATTCTGTGCATGACCACGAACCAAATCGGCGGTCTCAGCATAAAGTCCCTGCGGACGACGGGCACGACTCTGTCGACAGCGACTCCTCCTCCTCCTCCTCCTCCTCCTCCTCCAGGCGTCTTGCTGCTCGTACCCCATGGCTCTAGCTTGATCTGCCTCACGTTCATATCCAGATTCTGGTAGAATGCGTCCGAGGCGCCCCGCCGTGCGGGCTCGACACCAGCAGCTCGTCCCATCACTACTTCTCCGAGACGATGGCGACGGTAGCAAAACTACCGTCACCTCTCTCTCGACCGAGGTCGAGACCACGACAGACAAGAGCGGCTCGACCACTCTCTCGACGAGAGTGGTCACGTCGAAAATAATATCAACCATAACGTCGAGTTCTTCGACGACTTCGTCCTCGACGACCAGTTCCTCCAGTTCATCGTCGGCCTCATCTTCCAGCAGCAGTAATTTGAGCTCTTCCGCGTCGAGCAGGTCTTCTTCTTCGAGCGCGTCGAGCCGGTCCTCTGCCTCTACCGCCTCCATCACGAGTGCTTCGGCTCTGCAAGCAAGTACTTCATCCCCTCCGGGTTCGTCCTCCACTTCAACGCCTCTCACGTTCGCGAGTTCAACTGGCTCCTCCACCGCAACCGGCAATACAGCGACCTCTTCGACTCAGTCCCTCTCGTCGTCGTCTGGTTCGAAGATACTTTCCACCGGCGCGATAGTCGGTATTTGTGTCGGCGGCGGCGCCGTTGTGATCGTTTTGCTCATTTTCATCATTCGAAAACGATTCCTTCATCGTAGAGAGAAGCGTGTGAACGACTGGCTCGTCGAGAGCAACTCCGGACCTGACACAGGGACCGCGGAGAAGACAGGCACAGGTGCCTCAATAGTCTCTTCCACCGCGATTACTCCCGACCCCCCACCATCCGCTGTTAGTCGCAATGCGAGCATCAATACAACCACGAGGAGTATCCCCACGGGTCCGGCCGACGCTCCCATGCCGCCGATGCGGCTGTATGCTCCTCCACAGCCACAAAATCCGTATGGGAACCCTAGCCCAAGAACGGCAGCACAGCAATTGCATCCTGCGTCGGTTGCCCAGCCTCCCTCGATGATGTACAACAGCGGGTCAATGGCGCCCTATGGCAACTCGAACCCTCCCGTTCCCTACGGCAACCCCGTGCGAATCCCGCCTCCGGCAGTTGCGCCGTACGCCAACTATGCTGCGCCGTCGGCTGCTCCCTCGGCACCACCAGCAGCCCCGTCTTCCCTAGTATACCCCGCCTCCCTCACGCCCGCGCGATCGCCCGAGAACAGCGTGTCCTTTGCGCTCGTGCGCAACGCGTTTCTGCCTGGCATGCCTGATGAGCTGGCCGTGAACGCGGGCGAGATGGTGCGCGTGCTCGCAGAGTACGATGATGGCTGGGCACTCTGTGCGAACCTCCGCGGAGAACAAGGTGTCGTCCCGCAGGAGTGCTTGCAGCGCCAGCGAGCGAATCCTCAAGCCAGTATGAGGAGTCGCGATGAGCGGATTGCGTTCATGGGTGATACCAGCAGCTCTGACAGAAGGATGACGCGGCAATATGGAGCTCCTTCTGCCCCGGGTGCTTCTGGAATGCGCTATCAATGATTGGTATGTTAGTTTTTATAGCCCCTGCGTGGCGTGCACTAAGGATAGTTCAGCCTCTTGTAGATGGTGTCCGGAGATGTCAAAGTGTGTTCAAGCAGATGAACTTTCTACAGAACTTTCTACCGTTCGATAAGTTATCCTTGAGCTATTGTACGCTATTTTCTGAATTTCGTTCTTTTCGTCGCCCTTGTTCATGATCGTCATAATTGTAATTTGTCCGGCTTGTATTCATTCGCCTTCAGTGATACCTTTGTTCGCATTACCCATACGATGTTGTTTGCTTTGGTTCTCTTTCTCCCAAGGGAACTCTTGTTTGTTCGCTTCACGCTCCGAACTTTTTACGAAGTACATGTCCGACGTACAACAGCTGCGTTTTTACACGATGGCGAACGGGTCCAATGTAAAGTAGAACACGTTATATACAATGTGTGATTGTCATGGCACGTACTCGTCAGAATCGTCGTCGAACGCTGCGACGCGTCGCTTCTTCTGTGGATGTCTATTCGAAGGAAAAGGAGACGTCCCTGCAGTTACAGTGACATGACTGGGTCCAGCGACAGACGACGATCCAACATGGCTCAAATCGTCCATGGGCTTGACCGTTTTCTTCTGACCTCTAACGTCCTGCTGGTGTCTCGGCAAGGTCGATTGAGCATTCGCATCTACGGTGAATCCCGTCTTAGCAATGACCACACCATCAAACTTGAGCTTGAGGACCCGTCTCTTCTTGGGAGGTCGCTCCTCCGATGTGGTGATGGTTTGAGATCTGGATGGACCAGTGGTTGGCTGATCAGGTGCTTCCTCGTCGGACCCGAATCTAACAGCTTTCCGTTTTACTGAGCGCGGCTTTTTGCCTTCTGCGACAGATTCGGACGCAGTACCAGCCCCAGCCGCGTCCTGTCTGGATGCCGCAAAATTCGTAGCGGTGGCATCGAGTTCCAAGGCATCCGGCGAAGAGGTCGCGATGTTGAACAGTGGGATATCGAGCTCTAACCTCGTGGAAGATGCCTCTTGTAGGAAAATCGGATTCTGCATAGAGCTTTGAGACTATATGCAGATACGTACTTCCGGACGCGACGTACCGCAATAAAATCCCGCATACTCAGATCATCCAGCATCTTGATCTGCTTGCCGCCTCTCTGCTTCAACGCTTCCCGGCGCGTCACCATGGCTTCCTCTGCCGTGCCGCGGATGGCCAAAGTTTTCACTGTCGTGTACATGTGAGATGCAGATCCTATGTAACTAGACGACGCGACATACCAGTGACTGGCTTTGTCTGACCAATTCGATGAACACGCTGTTGGCTCGAAGTCAGCCGAGCTCGTTGACGCAGAGTCATCCTAGTTCACCTTGATTGCTTGCGTTTCGACGTCTGCCTGCCAAACAGGCTCACAGAATATGACTCGCGATGCCGTGACTAGGTTTCTGCATGATAATCAGCATGAAAGAGATTCGGCGCAAGTCTGAAGGACGCACAATCCACGCGCTCCATGTTTCAATTCCATGAGAAAGACTCGATACAGCTCCGAAGTCTCGAACGTCGTGACGAGATGTTCGCGAACTCTTCGTTGTCCTTTGAAGTACAGAAACCTCGTCCGGGTCAGCTCGAGACCCTCCGCTACATACGCCAGCGTGAGCGGCGACCGAGAAAAAATGAGAAATTTCTCGGCGGAAGAATATTGATGAACCTGAGCGGTTTGGTGCGTCAGTGACTGTTTGTCGGAAGAGTGCAGATGATGATCAACGGACTTCGTTCAGTATGTAGTCAAGTTTTGATGACGTGGAATTCTTCAAGCGCATAGCTGCCAGCGGAGAAGAGGACAACAGAGGCGAAATCGTGCCTGATGGGACAGTCGACCCGAAGCAATGATTAGGAAGTGTCTGATCACTATCATCCTGGTAGTACGCGAGCAGTCGTTTCTGAGCCGCGTTGAATTCTCGTTGAACTTCCTCTCGCTTTTCCTGAGTATCTATTTGCTTCACGACTTGCTGCTCTTTCTTTCGAGGAGTGCTGTCTTTCTTCTTGGAAACTTTACCTTTGGTTTGCGAATGCGGAAGCTGGAGACGTTCAAGTTCCAGTCGGTGTCTCTCCTCAGCGTGAACATCTCTCCCGTGAGCGACCAGGTGATAGATCTGCGAAAGTGGCCTGTTCATGACAAGGGTTGTGAGCTTTTGCAGCCTGTCAGATGCCAAGAACGTGATCGATGACGAGACAGGGTGTTGGGGTAGCATTGTCCATGCTTTGTATACCTCGAGCGGAATATTGCAGACGCGATGTTGGATATAGAAGTTGGTTTGGAATGCTCGCCACACGTGATCATTTGCTGCTGATTTTCTATGCAGGAGATCTTCAGTCATATGAGCGGCGATGGTACATGACAAAAGGAACTTACACGTGAACCATTGCTTCCTTCAGTAGAACTCGATCTCGATCAGTCACATTCCGTGTGCCGGCGGTACGCAGGTAACTGTCTGCGTTGGAGGCAATCTCGTCGACGTTAAACATGCGTTCATCATCGCAGTGCCAGAACATCACTCTGACGATCAAAGGGCTGCTGAGAATCACGAGCATGCATCAACTTGAGAGACCTACTGTGACATATTCTCGATAGTCTGCGCTAGCATTGCTGCATTCTGTCTCCATTGTGATGAGCGCGAGCTCAAAATATATGGTGGACACACGTACCCTTGGGTGAAACAAATAGTCCTGTCACAGAATTCAACGTCAGCGGGAGATTCTCGTAAGACTACACAGCGAAGCGCACCCGATCGATGCGCTCTGAATCCACAGCATTGACGATAATCGCGGCTTGCATGGCATTGTATGATTTCAGCGCGTAAGGGTCGAGATCTAACAGAACAGTTTCCTGCTGCAGCAATGGGAGGAGTACGTCTTGTTCGACATCCTCAATTCTGCGCAGCGACATAAATATGAGGCGGTGGTCACCACGCACGCTAGACATGCTTACCTATGACGAATCATAACAGATTCCATGACCTGTGTGAGAACTTTGATTGCACCGGGGCAAGGGGTTGGGCGGTTCATGAGTGGCTGGATGACATGCGTGTCAAAAAGATGAGCTTCGGCTGCGAACTGCCGCATTCCAAGGAACTGTGAGATCATTATTGACAGTTTCCGTAGATCTTGCCGGTCATCTGCAGTCCACTGTCTCGCAACGATGTCAGGATCGACAGACTCATCGAACGGCGTGTTCTCTTCTGACGATAGCGTCGTGTCGGTCGGCGGATCGTCGGGGTATTGCAACTCGCTTCCTTCGCCAAAGTGGAGTCCCAACAGGTTTGCTAACGAGACACAAGTGAGCAGGAGTTCTATGATCATTTTCTCAACTCACTTGTTGGCGTCCCAGTGACGATCCATCTCCGTTCGACACTCAGAGCCTTTGCGAATTGCATGAAACTTGTGTCTACTGCACCGGAGATATGGCCTTCATCTACCACCAGTCTTTTCCACCTAACTTGCAGGAGGGGTGATGCAGAATCCCGTTTCGCCTGCTCGCATGTGCAGTTTGGGACACGTGTGCCCCCATACCCAGGGCAAGTGCATACTGCCCATGAATGCAACTTGGTAACATCCTTCTTGGATGCCTCCCGAGAAAACCCTAGTCATCTGCTGTTAGACAAGAAGATGGTGTAAAGTATATTGCTTACAATCATAAGTCATAAGGATAATCTGTAATGCTGATTGTAAGCATGTTTTGTGTGAAATTTGTAAAACTTACATCAAAACTGGAAGCAAGTGTACAAGCATCGGATAATGCGGCCTCAGCCCGCACCTCCAATACCCGTAGAATGTCATGACAGTGCTTCATAATTTCACTTCTCCACTGCAAGAACAAATTTGCTGGAACAATAATGAGAGTTGCACTGCTCAGAAACATAGTCCTTGGCCCTGGGTCCGCTTGCCTTCGCATGCCGTGAGTGGTATCCGGAATCATGTCCTTGTACTGGTGGTAAAACGGTCGGTTCAGCGAAAGAGGTTTCCAAAGGTGCTGCTGTTCAAGAAGCTCTTGATGCTCCCGCATTTGCAGCTGGTCTGGCTGTGTCTGGCAAAAATGTAGGAGACATTCTACAAGGGTAGGAACACCTGGTGAGGAATTAAGTCTCTGATGGCTGTGTATCTGAATCCGCTCTCTGGCATCAGCATATTTCTCTGAAGGAAAATGCCTGAATGCAATGGGTGTCAAAACAGGCCTAGCATCAAGGTAGAGGGACTCTTCCGGCTCAGGTAGCCGGTCAAGGGTCATAAGAATGAGGGCAAGTATCATAACAGTCTTGCCAGTGCCTGCAACATTCAATAGCACATATGAATATACTGAGACATCATCATAACAGACACTTCACCTAGCTCTTCACATAATATACCACCGCATGGTGGAGTCCTCCTTGGGCACTCATGGAGAACCTCCATCGTTGCAGGTTGTAGATAGAAGCAGGACCCGTCAATGCCCTCCAACGGGATGTATAGTGGATCTGCAATGCTGCTGCGAACTGACTCTCGCGCCAGCATCGCAGAGACAGACTGTTGCTGGTATGGATACAGACCGCTACGCATACCATGAACTTGATGGACGAGGAACTGTGGATGCGACTGAGGGGAGTGCAAGTCACTGTAAATTTCCGCCATTCTGCGGTTATCCTACAGATTTAAATATGAGGATTACATAAATGCAAAAATCATGGATGTTACGGACGAAATCTGATGCGAAGAAAGGATGCCTATCAGGAGATGTAGAGGGCTCTGCATCCCATTCGCAGTCATCCTGCACGGTCTTCGCCAGTAGGACTTTCATATAACGTCTTGCCGTAGAATCTTTGTCACGATTACGCAATTTGCCGTTGACTTTTGCAAGGTCCCATGGGATCAAGTAGATGCGTATGTATAGAACATCCCCAGCTTTCGCGACAAGACAAGTTGCGGCGATAAAATGATGTTTCAAGAGGAAACTCAGCATATCCGTCTTCGACTTTTCGTTTGTAGAAACGATTGATTCAAGTGCCTCGCAACCAGGAAACTGGTGCCAGCCGTCCTGAGCATGGGAGTGCGAACACGGAAGCTTTCGATAATTTAGGGCGAATGTCAGTGTGCCGGCGGGAAGAAAATCGCAGAGCGCCTCGTAGGGATTACTTGGTCGGTCCGCAGATGGAAAAGAGGATGCTTTTGCAGCGCACTCTGTGCAGCACGTAGAGCACAAAGCTTTTGGCATTTTTTTGGTTTGATACGAGTGCTGCGGTGAGTTACAGGCCAAGGAGTCTGCAGCACGATCGCGCGCGGCGCGTATACCCACGGACGCCACAATCCGTTCACAGCTCCTACCACAACCTCCATCCATGGCTAGCGATACGTTGAGCGAATTCGAATGTTATGATGGAAGTGCTGTGACCAAATCCTACAACCTCCTTAGCCAGTACGGTCTCATCAACGCAGCATCTGCGCAGGAGAGGGAAGGTTTGTCGATCAATGACTGATCCCCACATATCGCTGACCGGCGGCCATCAGAGCTGGCATTTGCAGTCATAGCATCGCTGCCTAGGCCAAACATCGCATCTTTACAATGCCGCATCGAGCCTTTGCTGCGACTTGATGTCCTTGGAGTACGCTGTGTCAGGTCTCGTCACATATGGGTGCTGATCGTTACATTATGGCTTAGCTGCTCCCGGACGAAGTAGCTCTACAGGTACTATCCTATCTGCCCTGCGAGGCCCTTCTAACCTGTTCGCTGGTGAGTCGAAGGTGGCGTGCGCTTGCAGATGACCAGTCGCTCTGGCGACATCTATGTCTGGCTCGTGGGTGGCGCTGGCGGACACCTTTGGGCGGACAACGACAGACGAATGAACGCGAGTTTGTCGCAGAGCGTGTTCTGGGAGATGACGACGACGAGGGGATGGGTGACGATGAGGGCTCTGGAAACTTTGAATCTCAAGAGCTCCTTGATTATTTGGGACAGCCGTCAACAGTGCCCTCCTGTCTTCAATTGCCTTCTGCAGCTCCAGCCACCGTAGGACGCGATATGTCCCTCTCAGCTGAACTATCCCGTTGCAATGGCTCCGTCCCGCATTTTCAGGCGGTGTCCTCAGAGTTCCTTCTCGACGCCATCCCGGACTATAAACTTCTCCATAGGACGCATCTGAAGCTGCAGCATCGCGTGCTATCTGGCTCGTACAACCTATCCGACCTTCAACACGGGTCGCCAAACAAACATTCCAGTACCATCTACTGTCTTCAACTGTACACGTATCCGGAATCTGGCGAGCAGGTCCTGTTCACGGGTTCTAAGGATCGTTCCATCCGAGAGTGGCACCTTGCGTCGGGAAAGGTGACGCGCGTACTCGAACGCGTCCATGAGAGCAGTGTCTTAAGTCTGTGTGTTCGCGATGACCTGCTTGCCAGCGGAGGCAGCGATTGTCGGGTCGTAATCTGGGATCTTCGGAACGACTCAGAGTTGAAGGTCATTGAAGATCATTTGGACAGCGTGCTATGCGTGCGCTTTGATGAGACACGACTCATTTCCTGCTCCAAAGGTATGTACAACATCTCTGGCATGCAAAAACAGCTTAACAGATGACCCGTCTCTCCCTCCAGATCAAACCGTGAGGACGTATCTACTGCCAGATTTCAGGCCGGAACACGTGTTCTACGATCATCGCGCAGCCGTGAACTCTGTTGCCATTTCTTCAGCACACATCATCTCAGCCTCCGGAGACCGGTCGCTCAGGCTGCGGGACGCAAAGACTGGCGCCCTGCTACGAACGTATGAAGACCATCATGATAGAGGGTAAGTGAAGGCACTGCTGAGGCGTCGATAGGTCGTCTGATATGTAGCGTTCCAGCATCGCGACTATAGATTTCAGGCCTCCTTTTGTTCTGTCCGGCTCTTCAGATAGACACCTGTGCTTGATCGATATCACAACGTCCAATGGGTGGTCAACGTCTGCCAGTGCATGTGCTGCACACCGGGGTCTTGCCAGGGCTGGAGGCACGGAAGCGTCTAGTGTCGACGGAAGGACCATCTCCAATGGAGAGAGCAGACGTGGAAGAACTCGGCTTCGTGCACACGAAGATTTAGTGAGGAGTGTTGCGCTCAGTGACGACATAGTTGTCAGTGGGAGCTACGATCACACTGTCAAGGTCGCCTCTGCTCATTTGTCATCTGATCCGCGTTCCATTAATCTGTATCGTTTCAACAGGTTTGGGACCGTAAAACAGGCGCGCTGATAGTAGACCTTGCTGGCGGACACACTGGGAGGATATTCTGTGTAGCCTGCGATGCAGCCAAGGTTGGTGTTTCATGCGTGTTCGCGTTGCTTCCCAACAATAATGAGATCTCCGTAGATTGTTTCGTGCGGTGAGGACCAGGTAAGTCCTCACATCGTCCCGTTCTTTGAATTGTTTCGTTGAGCGGTCGACAGAAGATTTGCATATGGGACTTTTCTCATGGCATCGATATTTCGTTTATCGAGTTTTGATCCAACGCGATACCATTGCTGTCGTTCAGTCTATCACTTTCACCATGGCTACCTGCTAAGATCATCATGAACGTATAGCCGACTGATACGAGCAGCAGGTGTTAGCCGATAGGTGTGATTATGGATTTCGATGGTTTCATACTGTGTATCATGGAAATGAGGTGCCCATAGCTTTGACGTCTCTCAGAAGAGTAAAGATTTGATGAGAACCCGCCTCGCCGACCCTCGCGATGCTTCGTAACATAGATTACTCTTGAGAACTAACAGTCTCGCGCGCAGTATTCACAACTATGAACTTGTCGGTACGTCTTGAGAAGGTTCGCCGTTGCCGCGAGCGTGGATGACGTGAGAACTCTGCAGGCGCGTGTTCTCGCTCATGATCCGGCACTCACAGACGAGGCTGTCGCGAGACTCGAAACAAGGCGCAAGACAATTGGATGGACAAGCGCAAAATATTATCGCACTGATGCCAACGCGAATGACAATGTTAAGCAATATCGGATCTGAATTACCGTCAGTTCTCCGCTGATCCTCCCACATCTGACTGTGGCCGCTTTCTGTGCCAAGAATTGATGCCACAATGCAAGAAGCACGGAAACGACCATATCTAGCCCCCGGATTGTTCTTCAATCCGGCGCATTCTGTAAATCTCGAGGCCAACATATCTGGAGAGGTAACTAAGCACCCTTTATCTTTGTGAATCTTTTCGCCAATCTCACCAGATTGACTTACCATGAGGTCTCGATAGTACGAAGCTTGGGAGCCCAGCTATGCAGCTAACGCAAGCGACACGGCCCGCGACCTCGGTCAACTAACAATGTCGATGATGGTTTCCTCGAAGGATATTTCTCCCCGTGACTCTTGGCTGATGAGTCTTTGTTTCAGCTTGAGACAGATCCCGGTCGTCGCAGGGCGGTTAGATCTTCTCTCGGTGCGTCCGTCTTGTCGTGGCCGACACTGGGGCTATTTAAATCTCACAAGTAAGCAGGAAGGTCACTCTTCAGACTTTCCGTCACATCTTACACCACGTTCTAGTTCATCATGGTCGTTGCACGAACCATCTACCCTTCCGCCGATACTTCAGACTGTTTTATACTTCCCGACCTGATCTCATGCTGTTCCTTCCCTCTTCGTCGCCATCCAAAAGCTGAGGCGGTCGCTGCTGCATCCGATCGGTGGCTAGACACAAACTGCCCTGGGCTGTCGCCGAAGAAGCGCACCGCCCTCTATGCTCTCAAGTGCGGGATGATCACAGCTCATTGCTACCCCGATGCAGATGAAGAGCGCTTCCGAATCGTCGCCGACTTTCTGGTTTACCTCTTTCATCTGGACAATATCTCCGACGAAATGGCCATTCAAGGCACGGAACAACTAGCGGATATTGTTATGAATGCACTGTGGTTTCCGGAGCGGTATATGCCGACGCATCAACCCGGGAAGGAGCATCCACTCAAAGAGCCCAGTGTCGCCAAACTGACGAGAGAGTGAGCTATCGAGAATTTTTCTTCACCGTCTTTAAATGACCAACGATGACCTGCGCGAAGCTTTTGGTCTCGTTGCATAAAAGACGCGAAGGCAGGGCCCCAGGCACGCTTCAAAGAGAACATGGGGCTGTTCTTTGCTGCTGTCCAGCAACAGGCCAGCGACCGGCACTCTGATAAAATCCCTGATCTTGAATCATATATCGCTGTAGGTTCTCTCGCCGCGTACTGATCGGTGGCAGAGCTTAACCTCTTATGTGTTGTTGTCATAGATGCGTCGAGATACAAGCGGATGTAAACCTTCGTTTGACCTCATTGAGTACGCGATGGGACTTGATCTACCGGACTTCGTCGCGGATCATCCCACATTGAGGGCACTTAATCAAGCTGCCAATGATCTGGTAACGTGCGTCAGTCCCCGCTTGCGATAACTTCATATAAACTTATGGCATCTATAGATGGAGTAATGTGCGTCTTCCAGTACCTTTCTTTCCCTCGACCACCCATAGATAGGACCGCCCACTATACATATCAGCAAATATTCGCCGCTTCCTTTCATACTGCTCCATCCTCTGTACGTGGCGCTAACTCGTGTTTCTCAGGACATATTCTCCTACAACGTTGAACAAGCTAGAGGTGACACGCACAATGTACGTCTAAAACCGTAGAATAAAATCCTCTTGTATCTAAACTACGCCCTCTTCAGATGGTCGCTATTCTTATGGCGCATTACGGAATGAGTGTACAAGCCGCTGTCGACTTCGTCGGTGACTTGTGCAAACAGACCATGGACACGTTTGTGCAGAACCAGGAACGGCTGCCATCGTGGGGCCCGGAGGTTGACACGGAGGTCGCGCTTTACGTCAAAGGGTTGCAGGATTGGATGGTTGGCTCGTTGCATTGGAGCTTCATGACGGAGCGCTATTTCGGCAAACTGGGCCCGGAGATCAAGGAGCACCGTATCGTCAAGTTGCTTCCCAGGAAAGTGAAGGCGTAAAGTGGCGGCCACTCCTCAGTTTCGTTTCGCTGTGCTTTTATCAGATTCATGCCAAGTAGTGCCGGTCCACTTTCTTGTTGCTGACGTTCTACGCTGATTATGGTGCACTAACCAGCGCATTCACTAGACAATACTCTAGACTCCTTAGATTATACTCCATGACGTATATTAGACTCCTGTTCTGATATTCTAATTGTATGATAGATCATGGGCATTTAATTACAGTAGTTCGTAATGTCAGTCACTTTTTTGACGCATTGCTTCCGCCACCATACCAATCTTCCGAGACATCAACTTCTTCCAGATGAACGTTAACTCTCATGCTCTTACACATGTTTCAGAAGCTCAATATATACGTATGTCTCTATTCATAGAGATTTAGAGGCGCTAAGGTAGTCATCAGCTACGTCACAGTGAGATGAAGGTCGGGGAAGTTTGTTCGGAAAGTCAACATCGACGCATCGAGAAAAACGACCTGCCGTTACTTTTGAAAAAAAATGTTCAAGAGCTGACTAGTAGAACGCGATCAGCTTATAATGGGTATGCCGACGTACCAACAAGAACACCCATAGATCGAGCCTATCATCTTACGGGATCAGACGTGCAGAATCATCTCTATGCATTGAGATGCTGACATGGTAAGGGGAGAATTACATCCGTTCTTAGATAGTATCCAATAGTAGGGTTGATACAGCACGATAAAGAGATCTAGCGCCCTCGGCCGGAAGATGTGTCTCCAGAGATTTGCGCACAATCATCTCTACCGTGGCGGGAGGCAGCACCTGCTCGTTCTCCACAGTCAAGGACTGAAGAGCCTCCGAAGCTATGGCCATCTTCTCGTCTGCAGTGAACGGGACGAAGGGAAGAACCGTAGTCACACGAGAGAGCAACGATGCCTGCCGGAGTGAGCATGAATTAGCGGAAATGCTGGATTAGACCGGCATGCACGCACTCCTAGCTTTTCGGATACGTGAGGACGCAAGGCCGTCATGAGATCGACGTATTCCTCTCGCGTCACAGCAGACTCTGGATCAGCGCGTTTGCTCTGGTGCTCGAACACGAAATCGTGGCCAATGTTGGAAGTACCCAACCAAATAACCTTAGAGACGTCGACGTGGCGGTGACCAGCCTCGAACGAACACCGACCTGCATCACAACCGTCAGCGTGCTTCTCTGCACAACGGGCGTTACAAACGTACCAAGCTCCCAAGGCATAAGCAACGATGATAAATACTTCTCATCTTCCGCCTTTTCAATTTCCTGCAGAAGAACTGTGAGCCTGTATACATATTGACATTATGGGTACTCACGTCGAGGACAACAACACAACGTTTGCCCTCATTGGCAACCAAGAAGTCAGCAAGTGTACATGTCGAAAGTTCCTGCGACACGGTGAGCGAAATGAGAAATGCACGGATTTTATACATTACTTACCTCATAGGGGCTCATCGAGTAGCTACGCCAGATATCATGCGTAGAACGTAGGGTAGTCATATTTACAGTATGCGTAGGAACGTCGAGGAGAGAACCGACTGGAGATGTACGCGTCAGTAAGCTGACAGGTCCATAGTAATAAGCAAGCACTTACATTTACGCGCCAGCAAGCTCTTCCCGTGCCCGCTGGGTCCTGTATACGCTGCATCAGCAAAGCCTCTAAGAACGCTACTTAGTACGTACCGCACAGGAGGACGACGATCGGGGCCATTGACGGCATGCTTAGCACACGGAACAGTTGTTCCAAGGCACGGTCCTGCCCGATGAGGTCATACCGAACTCTTGCCAGAGGACGGAAGAACGACCGATGAATCAACGCCGAGGCACGCCTGGTCTGAGGTGCTTCTGCACGCTTGACATAATATCTGGTGGCCGGGTCCAACCCCTCTACAAGCTTCGATGGCGAAGTGGCTTCTGGACCAGACGGCAAGATATTTCTGAGAGAGGACGGATCAGCTCCGTATGCAAGTAGAAGCTTGACCATTTCCATCCTGTGCTTCAACTGATTAGATGTCAACGTAAACGCGAGTGCCGACTGGGGTCCAACAATGTCATTCGGTGTTGCCTCTCCGCTTTCGAGCACCCGTCGCACCTCTTCGACGTTGTCGCTCGCGAGAGCAAACATCAACGTCGGACGTGGTGTGGCAATTGCATGAGGCGGGGAAGGGGGGCTGAGCATGACAGACGCGAGAGAGGACGACGACCTTGTGACTGCACCACCGTACTGATCGATAGCCAGTTCAGCGTCCTCGTCTGCCTCGTACAGCACGGCAGGCTCGGAGGCCCTGCTTTCAGAGCGATGTAATCCATCGATGTGCGAGTACCGGAGGGAAGAGATACTTGAAAATCTAGAGCTTCGACGGCGCCACGAAGGTGTTGCACGTGCCACAGCGGGAACAGAGTAAGGAGTGTGTTGCGACAAAGGATCGGAAGGTAAGCTCAAAGCAGGAGAAATGCTGGGCACTATATTTAGGGTATGGTTCCGGGATGCTGTGAGACTTGAACGACGAGTTGATAGCTGCAAATGTTGCGTGATTGACAATCGGTGAATGGGGATTTCTGAAGGACGGCTCACCAGTGGATTATTAGATAATGAATATTCTGATGATACAGTGGGCGATGCAGGTGTATATGCTGCCATCACATGTAAGCAATGACATACTAATGTGGAACGCAAGAGATGCACGTACCAGTTGTTGCAGAAGTAAGAGGTGGAGGATTGCTAGATACTGAAGTAAATGTAGATGATAGTGCAGAAGGTGATGCAGAGTTGCTGACAGCCATAGACTATAGATCGCAAGATCATCCATGTGCTCTTGACCGCATGCTAAGCGACTCACCAAGTGCAGGGGCCGCAATTTACGAGATTCCTCTGGGGAAGACAGCTGCTGATCATGGAGTTGCAATGAACCATATGGCTTGGGACTGAACCCCACCAGCACAGGCGGTCTCGGCCTGACTGTCCCGGGAGTCCCGAAGTCTTTAAGCGAGGTCGTCCTCCTGATTGTCACGTTATTGATGCGTTGTCCAGCCGCAACCCTATCCACGCTCTGCCTCCATCCAAACGGCACTTTCGTTGACGTGCGATTTGCCCACTCGCTACCTCTATCCCCGAAAAGACTGTCCCGCGACGAATCCTGAGTACTCGCAGTCCTAGATTCAGGACGCGACCACGGATTGTGCATATCCGGTGGTGAGCGTTCGGGCGACTTGCCCATTTTTTCGGTGGTTAACGTACGCGGAGGCTCTTCATGATGAGGCGCATGATAGCTGGATTGTGGGAGCGACTGGCCTGCTGGAGTTGACAGGGCTGGCAGAGAGCGTCCACGTGTATCGAGGAGAGTGGGTTCCGTCGCAAGCCTGGGAAGAGCTCGACGGCGGGCTTCACCAGAGAGATCGCTCGGAAAGTGGCTGGAAGACATGGTAGATGAAAGCACGCTCGCAAGAACGGAACCATGAATCTCGTGAGAAGAACACGATCCCGAGACGCTATCCTCCTCTCGGCCGGAGACAGACGAGCTTGCGTACCGGTCGTAGACTGATTGCACTTCTGAAGCATCCTCCTCTATGCTGTCAAGAGTGAATGAGCCAAGGCCAGGCACCACGCTGATGTGAGCAGCTATGCCCACGGACGCCTGCATCGGTTCGTTTGCAGGCGTCCGGGAGTAGCCTGAGGAAGTAGCAGAGGTTATGTTACCTAGCAGCGGAGCATCGATGACAGTCCGGCGAATAGGACTTTGGCGAACATCCCTGTCCGTGTCGGTGGAGACAATGACCACTGGTGACGCCTCAGATAACGCGGGAGATGCTCCGAAAATTACAGATGAAAGCTCGCGTACGTCTGCACTAGTGTATTCCGCCTCAGACTCATTCAACACGGGCGATGCCAAGGCCATAGAATCACGACTAGCACTCGAACGTCGGCCCGAGAGCGAATCCGCATCCTGGAACTGGCTTGGCGAGATTTCATCTGCGATCACGGATCTTTCACTCCTCGACGTCAAAGTCGGCCTTGACAATGAGGAGCGCAAGCCCATGCTCGGGCTTATACGGTCAGTAGTTGAGCCAGACCGTGACGAGAGTGTCGAGAGCATCGACACACGTCGCGGGCTGCGCGGCGGCGATGTGCGGAAGGTGGATGGCATGATGCGTTCGTCTTCATTGTCTGAGCCGACCGGAAATGTGCTCTGCACTGACTCTCGCTGCTCGTGCATATATGAAGCAGAGGATGCAGCAGGTGGGAGCTCAATGGGAGGTGTAGCAGTGATCTCGATCGGGGAAAGCAAACCCGACGGGAGCGGCAGAGACTCTTCATAGTCATGCGACTGCTTGATAGACCCTCCGTCCGGATTCGCCTTGAGATTTGCCTCCGACTTCACACTAGCGGCAGTAACACTAGCTCTGGTACCACCAAGAGCAAGTATGCAGCTAAGGCGAGGTGTAGCAACGCCAATGTCAGCATTGCATTGTCCAACAGAGGATGCTTGAGACCCAGTAAAACGGTGGTCCTTGCGAGGAGTATCTACACGTGGGGACGCTGTAGCTTGAATTAAGCCATCCTGGTGGAAGGAAGAGCGAAACTCAATAGAGTCTGATGATCCGGCGCTTTCATCTATCACAGGAACTGGCTTCTGAATAACAGTCGATTCGCCAACCAAACCGGCAGCCTCGTCGTCAAGAGCGTTTTGATTAGCACTCGACGAACCTTCGTACTCGGTGGAAGCGTCTCGTTTGGTAAGGTGTACAAAGATAGAGCTTCTCCTTCCGTTCTCCTTGGAGTATGCAGATCCTATGGAGGCCGATGCAAAGTCACGCGAATCCGCTACGTGGGGAGCGATGGTGGTTACGGAGGCACCTTTCAACACAGCGGGTTCCTCAGCAAGAGGGATTGATCTCTGCATAACGGTAGCGTCCCCGAGAGAAGCAAGCGAGCCAGACCTAGATCCATGCGTACGAGCGACCTCGGACGACACAAGTTCTCCGGGTTCCTCCACTAGAATGGCTGAGCCTGTAACGGTCTGCACAATAGCAGTGAGGAGGTCCTCATCATCACTTTCAGAGTCTTCGATGAACTCTTCATCCCCGTCTTGCTGAATTGCATCACCCAGAGCCAGCAATAAGCTGGACATTCTGGGCGACCGAGGAGGAGAACGGAAACGCACGAGTTTGGGAGTCATGCCTTGACGTCGTTTACGAAGTATAGGCGTCGGAGGCGGTGAGGGTAGTGGAGACTCTGTCGCAGCGACAATGACACCTTCAGATGGGTGCGCCTTGGCGGTATGCAGGAAGTTGCACGAGTCCGCAAAAAGACAGCGTCCTTGTGAATAGAACGGACATGGACGAGCTAGGACGCCTGTAGGTACTGTGTTGTCGCGGAAAATGACACAAGCACGTACTCTTCTGCTTCCATGGAGGGTCAGGAACGGTCATTAGGGCTATGCAATCATGAACAACGCATAGCTGTTAAGTTACGACCGGTGACGGGGTTCAGTCATGCACGCACAGCTTTTGAGATAACACTCACAGTTTGGGCAGCTCCGGCTGTTAAAAGAGAGGCAGGTACTTGCCTTGTCGTTAAAAGAGTGTGGAAAGACGCAATGCAAATGACGAAGAAGGAAGAGAAAAACCGGGACGGCCGCGGGGCGGTTAGTAAGGTCGTCGACCATTGACATCGTTAGTGGTTGCCTGCCTAATTCGGCCCGAAGCGGCACAGCCAATCACATCAAGGCTGTGATCTCACGTTCATTTTCCTGCCAACTTGGGTCACCGGCACGGTCTCCAAGGGTCTCCATGGCGGGCGCCGCATACTTGGCGACCTGCGCATCTTGCGCGTATCACCGTCACAATTCAAAGTCGACTGAGCGCGCGTATGAAACAGGGAATTAGGAAGCGAGCCGAAGGACACGAAGGAGTTTCTGAGAGTTGTTCCGGTATGACATCAACGGAAGTAAAATTTGGTCCCGAGCGAGACAAGTCGTCTGTGATGCCCTATGCACCCAGATGTGGGTTGAAAGAGTTGAAGTGGGTTGCAGACGAATCACTGGTTTTTATACCGTCGCCACAGAAGATGGCGCGGAATCTAAAATTTGACAGCAAACAGACTTGCTTCGTTTGGCGAAACAACTGCCCCTTTTAGCAGATTCATAGGCGAGATGACGACGGGACTAACCAGATCTAGATCTCGTGACAGAAGGTTCCACGTGGTATCATGTCTAGTTCGACAGTTCTGCCTCGTTCTCTCTCATTCCTCCGTGATTTCATTTCGCTAGCAAGGAAACATCTGAGCATTTTAATACAATACTGTATTCACTCATCCGCTGACCATTCGGTGCATGTTATTCCTCAACGATCTTTGATGAGCACGTAAGTTCACATTACGTGTTTTTAAGATTTTTAGACTGCTGACGCTGCGTGCAATTAGTTCTTGCACCCTGTAAGGATATTACACATATCAAACAAGCCTTTTAATTTGCGGAAGAGCCACAAGGCGGCGACATGCACGCCATGTCCCGGACGATTAACATCTTCTCATTTCCAACTCACCCCTCTGAGAAATTAGCACCTTGCTCGGCCTTCCATCGCCTTCCTCCAGAACTGCGCGACATGATTCTCGACTTCCTCCACGACGACTGCCCTGCGTTGAAATCGTGTAGTCTCGTTTCTGGCGTTTGGCTCCCGACGACTAGGTCGCATCTTTTCCGTTCCATCCAAATTCGATCCACCGAATCCTGCGTCGAATTCGTCGAATATCTTGACGCGCTGGATACGTCGACTCTTTGTTCGCTCGCCGATCTCAGACTTCACGTATGCAGGGTGATTTTCGCGGACGTGCCCATCATAAACGTGGACATGCTCCAAACCGGACGTTCTCTCGCGAGGTTATCAAAAGTTACCCATCTGGAACTTCGCCGCTGGTCTACGGTGGCTCTTCCTCCAGACTTCGCCTCAGGATTGTCTCTCGCGTTTCCTCGTCTCACGTCACTGCATTTGAACCGGGTCAAATTTAAGGATCCACACACCGTACTGTCTCTGCTACATGCATTTTCGCGGCTGTCCGATATACGTGTCCTCGACTATCGCAAAAGCCCACTGCATATGTATGGCCCAGGAGATAACATCGACTTATTCGTTGATAACATGACCTCTTCCGAATCAGTGGGACGACAAAAGCCCCAAGGGTCGGACCGCGTAATCGACACCGTATACCTCGTAGACACACCATTCGCGGCGATCATAGCGAGACAGCTGACTAGTTGTCCATTCTCTCTGCACTTGCGTCAACTCCATCTCTCCTGGAATCGCGAATACCACAACGTCCTCAGTGATTTTCTCAAGTCGGTGAGAGGCTCCCCACTTGAGGACCTGCGCCTCTCATTAGGACGGTTAGAAGGAACAGATTACCGTGAGTACCAATCACCACTATCAAGCATCCATAATGAACAATATCATCTATCATTTACCTCAGCGATGCTCTTTTACGACCTTTCCCAACTCCCCCTCACCAACCTGAAGCATCTCCACCTAGGCGAGACCAACCTATGCTGGTGCCGGCCCAGCGCCGCCAGCGACTACGACTACCTCTGGATCGTCGCGATGCTGCACATCATCAACGGAAACAGCACCTGCGCCTCACTCGCGCGTCTCACGATCAGCGTCGACCCGAACATCGCGAAGCCGCCCGCGCCCACCGCAGGTGAAGACGGGATCCTCAGCGTGCCCGGCCTCGGCCGCCTCCCGTGGCATCTCATCGACCGCAACCTGGCAGCGTTGCTCGAGAAATTGCCCGCGCTCGAGGTGGTGTTCCTCGTCAGAGCGCCGAATGAACTTGAAGAGGACGTGGCGCTCGCACATTTCGTGCAGCATTTAATAGCCTCCCGGCTGCCGAGGTCGAGAGCCAAGAGCGGCAAATGTACCATTCGCCATTCGATGGATGGGAGCAATACGGTGCAGTACACTATCTGCCCGGCGTTTGGCGATGCGGAAGCGACAGGGCCTTCTTTGTTCTGAGATATTTATCGGTCAAATCGTTTCCTATTTCCTTCTTCTATCGATCTTTGTCTCGCCAGCGTCGGTTTGTAGCCTTTTCGTTGGTATCAGACTCGCGCTGCAGGAGCCTTTTCAGCGTAGTTCGAATATTCGAGCCGACATGTGTCCATAATTCATTGCGAATACTTCCATGTTCACACGAATAACAAACTACAGCTCACAGTTCGAACAAGTACACCTGGCATGAGGTGCACTTCGGGAGGGTTCGAAATTTATGCAGAACACCCTCCCACCTCGACGTGAAAACATGGTGATTAATCAAGCAAGAGCCATTGAACATCGTTTGTAACTCACGACTGAGCACAGAGCAAACGCGCTATTATGCACCGACCTAAAATGGGATACATTTCATTTATAGCACTCTTCTAAAATCAGCACAACAGACCCATCGACGAAAAACGTCCGAACTGCTGCTCTACACCGCATCTCTAACCCATCCGGACCAACAAGGGAGAAGCGACGTTGGTCGCACATCTACCGTGGCAGGAGCATGTTCGTCACAGCTCGGAGCCCAACCTGTAAACGTACACCAAAAGAAACAAATAGTCAATTCCGTGTCGCAGGAAATGTACAGTCACTCGTATAGATAGCGCATGCAGAACGCCGCCACGAGCACAACGAAGGCCAATATCACGATGATGTATTGTGAGTATGGATTTGCTTTGACGGCAGCCGGGGCTTTTTTGGCATTACGCTTTGGGGAGGATGGCGAAGGAGGGGGAGGGGTATATGGGAAAAGCTGCACGTACCCGATGGATTTGAGGCCGTGGATGCTGTCGGAAGATCAGCACTTGTTCTAGAACGGAGGGCGCGGGAAACTCACTAATATCCTTGCAGGTTCCGCGTCGTCTCCTCTTCCATGCCAAGAGGCACGCCGGACAGTGTCCAGGTCACCTTGGTAGAATCTGAGCCTTGCTCAAGCCTCGTCGTCAACATCGCGACGTGTCCTAATCCATTCATGAGCACATCAGGTGCTTTAGATAGCTAAGGCGGCACGTACTATCAGGCCATGCCGGGCTCTGCAACGCCCAGCTCTGCACGATCTCATTTGCCGGCGTGAGGGAGATGTACTTGCCCCTGACACTACCACCAAACAGGCTATACTCGGTATCTGGCTTCGCTACAGACTGATCAAAGGGGGATGTCAGAACTTCAATCGTAGAACAAAGGTATTGAACCGTACCTGAGCCGGGGCACGCGTCCAAGCAGGTATCCTCTGCTCGTTTGTCAAGAGATCAAACAGATCATCCGCGGCAGCCATAAAGTGCGCGTCGACAGAAATCGTGGCCGTGTTCACTGAGCTTGCAGCCTTCTTCACGGCTGGCTTGATAACAGCTGCTGTAGAGGACGATGCAGACGCCTTGGAAGCAGCGGAACCAGTAGGAGCTGGTGATGCCTGCCTGCTGGGCTCAGCGCTGATCGTCAGATCCTTGCCGTGGGTCTCGATGATCGCGGCAGGGAACTCGGCAAACTTGGTCTCCAGAGCCGTTGGAAGACGCGCCCTCGCGAGCGCGTACAACGCGTCGACCGCAGGCGAAGACGAGGTCTCGAGACTCCACTCGTACTGAGGTGCTCCTGCATGAACACTATGCAAGGAGCTAATTAGATCACTGAGCACGCACCGCATAGTCCGACAACCGATCCAGCGTGACCTCGTGCGATACCTCCGGAATAGTCAGCTTGCCCTCAACTTCCGTTCCATCAGACGCGGTACCCGACCACTGCAGAACGACCTTGCAGTCGTAGATAGTGATCAGCCTGGTGCGGGACCGATATCATTCAATGCCGCGTACGGATTGCGAGACAAAGGAGCACATACTTGGACTTGCGCTGCCCGAGCTCGACGTCCCCGTCCACGTCCACGACCTTGGAGATAGAGACATTCTCCTCACCATCTCCCTTCACAGAAATGGTGGGCAACTCGCGCTCGAACCAAGCTTTCGCCCATGGCGTTACGGTCTTGTTCTTCCAGTGCCAGTTCGCGGTACTCGCTGGCATTGAGGGTGGAATCGTCGCCATTTTTGTGATGGAGGTACACTGGTGCTTGTCAACCTATTCGCAAGTTCGTGAAAGCAATGGACGGGACGAAACGAAAGGGCATGGCTTGTAATTTATGGAGGTCGCTGTCTCCCGAACCTTCCAGACCTTACCCAATACGAGGGCGCCTCTGCAACCATGCCTTGGGCGCCTACACGTTCTCGGGGTCACCTCCTCTAAACTACTTCGAACGTATTCTTTTGCACGCGTATTGCGATCTTTACTCACACCCTGAGCAGTTGCTTTCCTCTGTGTCTAGCTCTACGACCAAGTGCGCGTAGAACCATTCCCTCAGAGCTAAGGTGTATTGTAAGTGTAACTGTAGTTCTTATCTTACCGTGCTTCTGGCTCGCTAGTATTCTCTAGGAGCAGCAGCGCGATGCACTTGTTGGCCGATATCAAGGTTAGATGTATCACACGAGTACGGAGCGTGCATTTATGGATGTGCTTCTGGCCTCATAGCTAGCAGGGTCTAGACACAAACCTTCCAGGAAGACGTCTTATCAAAGTATTAGCTTTGCGCAGAAAGCTGCATACTGGTTGATAATTGCAGTCCTTCAACGGTCTGATCCGCATTACAGGTATCGGTGTATACAACAAACTGCCGTCTCGCTGCTGTATCACGAGGACAATTAATTACTCATATCTTGTTCCTAGACGTTGCAATCGAATGCTATACCTGTCTTTGTATTTATCGGGACATCTTCATATATGCAAGACATCGGATGTGCACGTTCGGTACCTCGCCTGCGAGAGCCCTATCGTCCACCATGCCTTAAGCGCGATAAGCAGACTCTTGCCCTCGCTCTACGCAAAGCTAATGTTGACGCAGCCGTGGTAGCGGTTCGGGTCACTGTTCCGCACGATAGAAGCTGTATCTTTGCAGGCATTGGCGAATATCGCAAAGTTATGGAGACGTACCATGAGTCCCAAGGATTGGGACCAGTGTTTTTATGGGGGCGACGGAGAGGATCTGCATCACCATCATGGCTGCAGGTGTTGTCCGGAGCTCATAAGGACTACACAAGTCGATCAATGTCACATCTCTTTGATGATCCTTCTTGGGGTTCTGTTCTCGCTATGGCAGGACGAATCTCAGGAAACTGTAGCTGAAATTGCGCACGGCACCGTGACGATGCCAGAGATTGAGTGCTGGATGTTGCATATCGCACCAGTGATCAATGCTGTGGTGTTGACGTAGGCTGGGTTGCAAAAGCGCGTCTGTGCTGAGGGTACGCATGCCCACGTCGATATTGAATCTGCACCGGCTCAAGCTCAAGCTTCGATCGGCCTCACCAGTCACCAGGATGGTTTCATGAGCGCAGAACAGAACGCCTCTGGAAAGGCTCTTTTCAACTGCACCTCCGCCAATAGGAACCCGATAGAAAACAGATTCTCATATGTTCATGGAACATCCTGTATATAGTCCAAGCATAGTATTAATAGAATTAGAGCCGAGATATCGAAAGGCTTCCTACAAAGAGCGATTTGAAGACGGCCAGAAACATTGCACATGTCTGACTATATAGGCGGACAAAGTATTAGTACATGAATAGAAACCCGGATGCGTGCGTAGTCCGTGTAGTATGAGCGGCGTTTGACAGCGAAAAATTGTGCCGAACTTCCAAAAACCAATAGATACGGAACCAGGATGCCTGCGGCCCAGTATAGGAAGATTTCGATATAAACAAAGAATTGCGGACCTAAAATACACAAAGTCAGTCTGAATGTTGCGCGAATGCAGCAGTGAACTCACCAGATTCCAAAACACGTCACATGAACAACTCTAGCTCCTCGCCTCAATAGTCATCCTCCCAATCATCTTCTTCCTCCCAATCTTCTGCGGCCTCTTTCTTCGCCTGCCCTTGCTCCACATCGTTCTCGCGGCCTTGTCCAGAGGGTCCAGCCTCCATGGGTGCCTCAACTTCCTGTATTTCGCGATGATGGCGTTGATTCGAAGGTCCGGCGATCATTGCCTCGTCCGCAACACCGTTTGCCTGGTTGGCGGTGGCTACGGAAGGTTCCGTCTCTGGGCCGATTGCAGGGTCGCTGTTTGAGGCATCAGAAGGGACCACAAGGCTGTGTCCGCTTCAGTCTGCACGCCATGGCCTGAACGCACAAACGAGGGAGTATCGGATTGCTCCCTCTGCGCGGCTCGGGCCGTTTCTTGGATATTTAGCAAAATACGGGAGATAAGAATTGTACTGAGCCTATAACATGCATGAGTATCTGTTGTGATGAACGTTGATCCTGAAACTTAACGGTGTCCCAAAATTGTCGATAACGTATAGGGCATTCTACATAGGAGGTCAGAATTTCATGAATACACTCACCAGCATCAGTATGAGAGTTGACGGACATTTGGGTCACTGACCTGGCCAATAAGCGATAGTATGCTGATGCTCAAATTCAGCAGTAATAACGTTCTATGGCGATGTCTCAGTTTTCCCTGCAATTGAAGGAGTTGGCCACATACACGAACTGAATCGTACCTACATACAGAAAAAAGATGACCCAATCAGGATCCTACAACATAAGCTTTACTCACCGTCTCTCAGCAACAATGCCACCAGTGAAGGCCTCTGGGAAAACACTCCAGTGGAGTTCTGGCTGAGTTGTTTGTATAGCGTCCTCCAGATGACACCGAGGGCTACAACACTGGGGACCACGGAAATAACAAGAATGACAATTGTTACTATGAAGTGACGGTCAGTGTGGCTCATTTGGAGAAGAGAAAGTCCATGTAATGAGCTTACGCCTGGTAGTTGACGGTTGAGAATGAAATATAAGCTGTCGACAGAACGGGTTGCTTACTTCGTGTAGGTGCTCGCAAACGAATTCTGTGGGAACGCGTAGCAAATTGCCGTAGATCCTAGAAGAATTTCCCCGGTTGATTCGTTCACGAAGTCTTCTCACGACAAGAGAGTCAGTGATGGAAAGATGCGTTCAGTCCAATTATCGTAGAGAGCGTACCTTTGACAATATCGAGCCCCAATACCGCAACGGCTAGCAACAAAATAGTCATGGTAGGACGCCAGTCACGATCGGTCACTGCATATACTCGTAGTAACGTGACCACTGTGATAGGATGTCAGTATCTAGGTGAAACGTGGTGCACGTAAATTCACCTTGGGACATCGCCACCGTTGCGAACTCAAGACTGTAAAGCGCATTATCTACTCCTTCACAGCTAAATGGAATGAATTTTAACAGGTTTTCCAACTTCGTGAGCTAGAGGACTCGCAGAGAACGAACCTCTGACGTGGCATCCTGTCAGACCGCCATAGTCAGATTGAAGCTCCATCAAAATACGTACAGTTTGTGAGTAGATATTCGTTGATCCTGAAACCGCTAAAGCGCCATAAACGAGAGCCAGCAGTCGATAGATGAAGAAGAGGACTGCGGGGAATGATCTTTTGCCCCAAAAGAGTCTGAACTCTTGCTTAAACGTCAAGATATGTTCGTAGAATATGAGAGCTGGATCGGGTCATTGTTGAAATGCATTACAACATTCAACTACGATCACACTCACCTGCTGCGGACGCGTAGGCACAATTCGATATGAAACTATGCATGACAGACCCTCGGAATTAGCGAACTGGTTAACAGTGAGAAATGCAAAGTCCACCTTGCCTCCAGCAGCTCGATCGGCCCAGAGGTCACGCTCGTCATGCTAGCAATAGAGAATTGAAGTGAGTAACAAAGATGTGAGTAGCAGCTCGCTCTGGGTAGCTATTTGACAGATGCAAGGAAAAACGAATTTCCGGATGCGAAAGTACAAGTACTCTTCTCTTGTTCGAGTGAACCAGTCGACTGAGGATTCTGCGCAGTTCTCACTGTACGATGGGCTCAACTTAGCTGATATTCTCGGCATCTGCGACTCACACCGAACGTGCTGACTCCGTCGCAACCATCGCCTCCAGCGAGCGGGACTGATGTCGAGCACACCGTTGTCATTTGAGGGCTCCCGCAATGCAGGGTACATGCAACTATCTTCCCATAAATGGGTCGGGACCTATATGATACGAGTTGAGCCAGCGCACTCGTTCCAAACCAGAAGATGCCTGTGCCCTGTGCACTACGACCGTCAAACGAAGATGATCCATCGCAGCGCTTGCGCAGAAGCCATCCATAGTGCGAAAAGGAAGACGCGTTGCCAGCGCATCTGAGCTCCCGGGGTGCTAATGATGAATATATTGGTGATCGCGTCGCCAGCCGCAGCTGCAAGGAGGCCGCACAGCCTTGTGTGATACAGGATGAAACAGGTCGTTCAAAGATGCCCGCCGTAGGCACTGATTTGACACTAGGTGGTTGGATGTTGATCGATGCGGCGGTGCTTGACTTTGATGAGTTCATCAAAGTTCCAGTATGTTCTTGTAGCCAAAACGCACACGTGTTGAACGTTGATGTTCAGAGGAGAATTACTATCTAAAGCAGGATGACGTGCAACAGGTACTGTTTGTTCCTCGGTGGAAAAAATTACAGAGGTTGGAGTCTGCGAGACTGGGCGCTCTCGGAAATCTTCAAAGCGTGCTGTGATTGGTGGCCACTATATCACGTGACCTTCGTTGTCAGTGACTGCAGTTCGATTGGCTGAAGGCTTCATGAGCCGACTCAAACTTAAAGTACCAGTGGCTTCGCTAATTATCCTACTTCGACGGAAATGACGGACATCCTTTCGCTCACCCGAGTATTCCAGTCAATAGGTAGTCATTTACGAGAGCTTATGTAAATTCATAGTACGCGTGCCAAGTACGAAGTACAATTACATTGAATGTTCATCACCGACGCAGGACATACGACACAGGGCACGGGACGTATCAGGAGATGACAGCAAAGGAAAGGCCCTAGAATGGGTGCGGACGGCGCCGCGGATATTTCGTCGCAGGAGCGACATTAGAGAATGGGACTTGAACGCTGACTGCACAAGGTAAGGGGATATATAGTTGAATGGGACGCAATGAGATGAGTGGGCAGAAGCGGAGAAGATGCAGGGTGGGAGGCGATTGGAACCATCGCTCAGTGCTGCGCCCAGTCGATGGTGCTGATGTCAATGTCGTCCTAGACAAATGATGGGCTTACACCGTAAACCACGTGCATATGGATCATCACTTGACTTCCAGCTTTCGAAAGTCGCCGTCGTTCGTCACTGATAAGCAACGTGGGTGAAGACAACTCTCACGTCATAAGAGTATTAAGGGGCGAGGGGCAATCTCTCCTCACGGTTCACCCGGTGAGCGTTCCTCGCGGACGACTGTGATACGCTCGTTCCCTACTTCTCATCATTGCTCCAACCAGTAACACTTCCCATCATCCAGCCGACGCGTGCCATTCCCCCTGTCGGGGCAGCCTTTAGTGTAATCAAGGACATTCGCGGTGCACCTCAGTCAGGGTTCGTCGAACAAAATCCCACTCTAGCCCTATTAGTGAACCTTACGAGACAAAGCAGCAGGAAGCGGAAGCCGCACGCGCAGAACAGCAGAGGTTAGAAGCTAAGAGACAACGAGCGGAGGAACAGCGGCGACTAGCCAAAGAAGAGCGTGCCACAGCAGAGGAAGAGGCCAAGAGGAGGGAACGAGACAGGATGCTTGCCGAGGAATCCAGACGGATGGCGGAGGAGTCTGCCAGGAGAGCTGAAGAAGCGATGCGCTGGGCAAACGAGGATAAGCGCCAGGCGGAGGAGTTCCGCAGGCGCGCTGAGGAGGATAGATGGCGGGCTGATGGGGACAGATGTCGTGCTGAGGGAGACAGACGGCGGGCTGAGGGAGATAGGCGGCGGGCTGAGGAGGATAGATGGAGGGCCGAGGAGGATAGACGGCGGGCTGAGGAGGATAGGCAGCGCGCCGAGGAGGATAGGCAGCGCGCCGAGGAGGATAGACAGCGCGCCGAAGAGAATAGGCAGCGCGCTGAGGAGGCGAGACGGCTTGCGGAAGAATCTGTCAGGAGAGCTGAGGAAGTGATGCGCCAGGCAAACGAGGACAAGCACCAGGCCGAGGAGTTCCCCAGGCGCGCTGAGGAGGATAGACAGCGCGCTGAGGCGGAGAGGGTTAGGGCGGACGAGGAAGCCAAAAGGGCGCGCGCCGAGCAAGAAGCAGCCCAGCGAGACAAGCCTGAGGCATCGATTCGAAAGGAGGACGTTGAGTGCAAGCACTAGTAATTCTCCTGTGTCTCCTGGCCGTTCGACGGCCATGAACGACGGTGTCGGAAGCAAGATTGATGTAGCACGAGAAAAAGAGAATAATCATGTACTACGTACCACTAGATACAGATATGTGAGCTCAATGTTAATGTCTGAGCAGAAAGGCCTAAGCAGTGCTATCCTTGTCTTGTCACGGTTTTTCCGCGCCACAAGTCTCAAGCGCCCACGGACCATTATTTATCCACCTAGTTACCATATATAGAAGATACCGCTACGCCTCCACGTATATATCATAGTATACCCACGCCACTCGGACATCCCTCGGACATGTATCAGTCACGTGACCCTACATCATAGTGACATCATAGGCCTGGACTCCATAGACACTCCTAGACTTAGACGGACTTCACTAGGCCTGAGCATGCCATAGCACGCCATAATGATGTATTATTACAAACCTAGGGTACGCAGGGTCCTACACCCGGTACCAGGGGTCCAGCCCCTCCTGTATATATACCCGCTCGAGCTGAGGCCTACCCCTCAGTTTCGAGTTGGTCTTTACTCCTCCACTTAAGCTAAAGATCCCTGACGGGATAGGCAAGAGCGGATCCAGGAGTTTTTGAGATTTTTCACATAACTCGAAACTACTCTCCATAGTCTGTGGGCACCGGTCGACGCCTCAGACTGCTACTTCACTGTCGATCAACTCCATCCTCATCGTACCCAGTCAGGGTTTCTTCCACATTCCTCGGGCTTAGCTGCGCCCTGCTGAACCTCTTCGGTGAAGCGAATACGCGGATTGTTAGTCAGGATACATAGGCCCTAAACCAGCCTCCTGCGAAAGTGGGCGATATACTACAGTCCCAAATCTTGCCGCGACCCCAGGCGTAAGGGGACTTTCCACATAAACCTAGTGGTTAAAACCGCATTAGGGCTGTCAAGAAGGGCCAGGAGTGCCTGTTGACATCAGCACCTCTAGGGGAAAGGGACGCAGTGCACCTTAGAAGGGTACCACGCGGGGTGAGAGCGCTATAGCCAAGGTGCTGCGCCATACCCACTGTGGGGCTGCTCGTCCATAAAAAATATCCTCGGCCTAGCTGCCGTGCTATACGGAGGATTTATCCTCTAACGTCGCCATCCTAGCCACCAGGTCTAGGGGTAGCAGACGTAACAACCGCAGACAAGGGAGAACTTGCGGGAGGAACGAGTCACCTTTGAAAAGGCTCTGAAGCTGTAAATCAGCAACACTTCTGGACCGCTTCGGCGAGACCTGCATAACCTCGAGTAGCAAGGGAATAAAACTACTTGCTCAGTGCTAAAAGAGGCACCAGACACGTATTCAACCCCTGCGCAGTTCTGACTTACTTAGGGGTTTAGTTACCGGTACATACGTAGACAAATAGTCGTTTGGTGTGGGACGAACTCTCGGAAAGCTCTGCTGGAACGGCAGGTGGACCAAGGTTACATCCCTTCAGAGGTAGTTGGACACTGGTGGTGAAATAATCAAAGACCACAAAGACCCCTCTGCGACTGCGAACTGCACCATTCAGGACTCCGTAGTAAATAGACCTACTAGGAGTAGCAGGACTCTAAAGCTGCGTCTGGGTCATTACGAGGCCTAGTGAAGAACAACTCGTCAAGCACGCGAGTAGATAACAACATCGAATGCAAAGGTTCTCGTTGGAAGGATACACCCATATCTATACCATATCACCAGGACCCGTGGAGTGGGATCAGACTTACGAGCATATTAGCGTCATCTTCCGGGCAGACTTCATTTATCAACCTCACGTCGCCCAAGCTCGTTTCATCCTTTACCGTTACCAGATCATCATCGACTACTACGAAAGGCTCGAATACCAGCCACATCGAATAATTCAAGAAGCACCGCACACTCTTGAACCAGTCGAAGACGACCAGGAGCTATATCATCTCCTGTTCGACGAGGAATACGGTATCTCCTCCGACGAAGAAGAACCTTTCTGAACAGGTCGTCAAAACCCCGACCAGATACCGATACCGAAGATGGCCGGCATCGCACAATCTGAACATTCCGTAGAAGGACACCTAAATCCTGAAGGTACAGAACCCCGGGCATCCACTCCACCATCCTTCAATGACACCAACATCCTCGCTCCCACTCCCCGCTACTTCCTAACTCCAGCCATGATAGAAGCGCTCCCCAGAAGGAGAGGGCCTTCCGCCAGGCTAGTAGAGGAATTCGCCGCTCTCTACCCCGATGAGCCAAGAACAGGGAGGCGATTCCATCAATGGGAGTACGATATCCGAGCTCGGGATCACTCCGAAGAAGATCGACAGCGATATCGGATGCAACCAGTAGATGTGGTGGCAAGGCACGGAGGAGCAGCAAGGGGGCAGGACTACGTCTGGTCGAGTCACGCTTCAGGAACTCCACCAGGGTACGAGCGATACAGGCTCCCCGATAATAGGCAGAGCTACTACCTGGCGCGACCTGGCCTTCCCCCACCAACGGAGGAAACCCCCAGATTCTGGACACAACCTGTCGATATGCGGTGAGCTTACCAACATCTCCAGGCAGACTACGACCGTCTGCGTGGCAGGCTCGACACGGCCCTAAGGGAACTAACGGAAGCACGGGAAGGATGCCTGGCGGTCGAAGCGACCCGAGATCGCCTCATGAGGCAGATCAACGAGCAAATGGCCGGAGCAACGGAGCGCGGCAACCAGCTTCACAAACTGACAAGGGAGCTGGAAGACTTCAAAAGGGCGCTCCGATCCAGTGAAGAAAGGGTAAAGGGTTTAGAAGAAATTAACAAGACCCAAGAAATCCGCATTCAACTACTGGAAGCCCTGAGGCGTCCGCCCCCACCTTCTCCAATACGATCGCCTAAGAAACTGGTCGATAAGGGCAAAAGAAGGCAGGACTCGGGTCAACAGGACATTCGAAATTGGGTAAAGGGAGTCAGCGGACCCGCCGGCCCTAGTGGGCTCAAGCCGGCACACCAGGCAAACCCTGAGCAGCCGCCCTCTAGGGTGCAGACGCCCCCAATAACCCCGGCACACTCCTACGAGGGAGACCAAGATGACGAGTTGGCAGGGGCACATTTTGCGTTCCCCCCAGAGCGACCGGTTCCACCATCAGAACGGGATCGTCGCTCTGCAGCCCCGCCACCGGCATCCTCGGACGAAGTACACAGGAAATCGTTCCGAGGGCCAAAGGTCAACCTCCCGGAGCCATTCGACGGCACCAAGGCAAAAGCAAAGGCATGGCTTGTCGATGTAATGAACTACATCGTCATGAAACCCAGCGAGTTCGAAGACGAACAAAGTAAAATTCGCTGGGCAATGTCATACATCCGAGGACCACAAATCGACCATTGGAAAGCCTCCCTTCTGGAAAGGATGATGGGGGGCCCACCAGTATATGCCACGCTCCAGGACTTCATCGCAGATTTCAAAAAGATGTATTACCCCGCGAATCCGGAGTTGGAAGGTCAACAGATGCTGCGCAGCATGCAGCAAAGGTACAAGCCTTGGGAGGAATTCGAAGCCGAATGGGAACATTGGGTCAAGGTCTCGGGGTACAAGGATGAGCAGCTGCTGCTCCAATTACTAAGAACGGCCATAAGAAAAGAACTCTGTGATAGAGTATGGTCGTCCGAAGGTATTAGCTGGGACGTCAATAGCTACAGCCTATGGAAACAGGTTGCGGCCCGGCTGGACCTTCAACAGCAGCAGCAATGGGCATCCACCTTTGAAGACCGAAAGGGCAAGGGGAAAGTCAAGGACTCCAAGACCCGACAAGTCCACCAGGAGGAAGGTTCTACAACGGCAACGGTCAACGCGGTTAGGACAACGGGAAGGGCGCCCATCAGAAACGTCGATGAGGCAGGAAAGGCAGTGCCACACAAGGAGACGGTAGGCATCGAAAATGAATGCGACAAGCACCGAAAGTGTGGTACCTGCAGAAAGGAACGGTCGGAAAAGGGGTCGTGCACGGATATATGGCACACCCATTATTACGACGGAAAGGCGCAGTGCTGGCGCAAAAAGGATGCCCAGCCTGCAGCTCGGGCCAGTACGGTAGAAGAAACCGAGGCCGTACGAGCATTCAAGGCGGCCATTGCGGCCAACCCCGCTCTGCTCAACCAGGCGGGTTTTCAATTCGGCAAGGCTTAAGTACGCAAGTCTTGCAGGACTCTCGACTCGATCCGGACAATTTCATTTCCCCGACCAATAACGTGCATTCCTCGGTGGTGGAGGCCCAAAAGCCTGAGAAGCGCCCTGGTTTACACGGGTCACCCCTGACCATTAACGGCCATTCCATGGTCACGGAGGTCGCGAGACCTGAGAAGGGCCATGGTTTAGACGGGTCAACAAAAGGTAGGTCCCCGAGGAGAGTCGAGCTGATGGTGGTGGAGGCAAAGCCTGAGAAGCGCCATCAAGCCGTACCTGAAAACACCTCGGAGGGACGTGGGCAGGAGGGTCTAAGCTCAGGAAAGGAAAAATTCAGTACCCCTGACGCAGACGACAGGACACCACCACTCCCTAGTGGATCTCGATTTTCTATTCTTTCTACTCTCAACTGTACTTCTAGCACTACGTCGGACAATATGGGTACAAGTAGTGGTGCCCACTCTAATGTAACAGTAGTAGGAGCGAAAACGGGGTCTCGGGATGACGGGACCTTAGCGGTGCCTGATCGAGCTCGGCCGGATCAAAAAGCATCGGTGCTTAATTCCGTGAATAGCTCAATTTCTAACTTTTCTTTAGTCCAGAACACAGACGGTTTGCAAGTGGAAGCTTCGACATCGGCAAGGCGTACACCGAAGAAGAAGGCACAGAAAACCACTTTGCGTGTATTTTTAGACCACCCACAAGCCATCGTACCAACCCGCCAAACAGAAGGTGCAGCAGGGTACGATCTGCATTCGGCGGAGGAAGTGGTCATTCCCGGACGTTCCCGTCTTCTCGTAGATACCGGCCTGAAGTTGATGATACCCAGCGGATGCTACGGACGCATCGCCCCGCGCTCAGGTCTGGCTGTAAAACATGGAATAGACGTAGGAGCAGGAGTAATAGACTCTGATTACATTGGTCGAGTCAAAATACTCCTAATTAATACCCTCGATACCCCGTTCCAGATCGAGTATGGGGACCGAGTCGCCCAGCTGATCCTAGAACGAAACAATACCCCGATTACCGAAGTCGTAACAGAGATAGCAGAAACAGCAAGAGGGACTGCTGGCTTCGAATCGACCGGTACTAAACTGCGAGGACAATTCAACGTCCGTGCAGTACGACGACATCGCCAGATCGATATACCTGTAACAATAGAAGTTGAGGATAGGAATATACCCGCCAAAGCCCTTCTAGACTCAGGTTGCACCGGGTGTTGTATCGACGAACAATTCGTATCTAAGTTCCAGATACCTAAGATACCGTTCGATCGACCGCTCTGAGTGTTCAACGCAGATGGGACCCCCAACCGTGACGGCGATATGACGCATTATGTATTATTAGACATAGTTATCCAAGGCCATAGAGAGCGCCGATCATTCAATATAACCACCCTCTTGGACCACGATATGTTCCTCGAATTCGATTGGCTGGAGGATCACAACCCTGACATTGACTGGGCTAAACGCACGCTTTGCTTCACGCATTGTAACTGCGGGGAGCTCAAGTTGGAAGATGGGGACAAGGTGCTGGCATTGGACAGCGACTACATTCGGAAGCAGTTTTCCGAATACGAACACATACGAGCCACCAAGGCCACTGACCTAGCCATTGCTCAAGGCAAAAGCACGAAAGCTAAGAGCATGCAAGAGGTCATTCCAGAAGAATACTGGGATTATAAGGGAGTCTTCGAGGAAGCTGAATTCGATCAGCTCCCTGAACGCAGAGTATGGGATCACGCCATAGAACTAGTAGACGGCGCGAAACCCTTCTGTGGAAAGGTATATCCAATGAGCGTAAAGGAGCAAGAAGCTCTGGATATATTCCTTGAAGAAAACCTGAAGACTGGTCGCATCAGACAGTCTAAATCCCCCTGGGGCGCCCCCTTCTTCTTTGTCAAGAAAAAAGATGGCAAGCTGAGGCCGGTACAGGACTATAGACGGCTCAATGAAGTAACCAAGAAAAATAAATACCCGCTCCCTCTAATCAATGACTTATTCGACCGGCTTAAGGGAGCCCAGTACTACTCTAAGCTCGACATCCGGTGGGGTTATAATAACATACGAATCAAGGAAGGCGATGAGGAAAAGGCCGCGTTTGTCACGAACCGAGGTCTGTTCGAACCTCTAGTGATGTTCTTCGGACTCACTAATTCACCATCGACATTCCAAATGATGATGAATGACATCTTCCACGATTTAATCCTCACTGGAAAAGTTATGGTAAACCTGGACGATATCTTAATATTCACCAAGGACATGGAAGAACATCGCCAGGTTGTAAAACAAGTACTTAGAATACTCCGGGAACACAAGTTGACATGCAAACCTGAAAAGTGCGAGTTCCATGTCGAAGAAACTGAGTACCTAGGTCACATCATTGGCCATGGGAAGCTTCGCATGGATCCTGCAAAGGTTGCTGGCATTGCAGAATGGCCAGAACCCAGGTCCAAGAAGGACGTGCAACAGTTCCTCGGGTTTTGTAATTATTATAGACGTTTTGTAAAAGGCTTCGGCTCCTTGGCCAAGCCTCTTTCGGACCTTACGGGCAACCGAGAATGGGAATGGACGGACACTGAACGGAGTGCCTTCCAAGGTCTCAAGGACCTCCTTACCTCGGCCCCAATTGTACATATACCTACGGACGAGGACCCGTTTATGGTAGAAGTAGATGCTTCGCAATTCGCCCTCGGGGCAGTTTTTATGCAGAAGCAAGATAATCTTTGGGTACCAGTATCTTATTATAGTAGGTCATTCAAGGACGCCGAGAAGAACTATCAAGTGTACGATAGAGAACTTCTCGCTATTGTAGATTGTCTAGAAGAATGGCGACACTACTTAATACACGCCAAGCATACTGTACAGATCTTTACTGATCACCTTAATCTGACATACTTTAGGAAACCCCAGAAGATCAACCCCCGACAAGCACGATGGATGTCATTCCTCGCTGAGTACAATTTCGAACTCCATCATATCCCAGGCAAAAAGAATAGCGCAGCAGACGCTCTTAGCAGATGACCAGACTACAACGACGGTATGGATCACTTGGATAATCAGGTCGTACTACCTGCCGAGTTGTTCCGGAGTACCAAAGTTGTAGGGACAGACGCCATCCGCGACCTCTGCGCCATACATTCCTCCGAGTATTTATTATGGAAAACTTTGCCTCAAAAGGAGCTCGAGTCAGCCGAGGACGGCACGCTCTGGAGGGGGGGTGAAATTCTCATAATCCCAAATAACCAAGAAATAATCGGCAAAGTAATACAGTCCCACCACGATGCCGCATTCATGGGACACCCCGGAATAGAAAGGACCATGGAATTAATCAAGCGATCGTACTGGTGGCCGGAGATGATCAAAGATGTTACGGCGTATGTGAAAGGTTGTGGGACCTGTCAAAAGGCCAAACCTAACCGCCAACATAGATCAGCACCATTAGAGCCAAATCCAGTTCCAGATCATAACTGGCAGTACATCTCCACGGACCTTATTGTAAAACTACCTACTGTAGACGGGTACGACTCCATCCTTGTATTTGTAGACCTGAAGTCAAAAGACTTCATCGCTATACCCTGCACGGAGTCGATTAACTCGAAGGACTATGCGGACTTGTACATTAAGCATGTAATGTCGGCACACGGACTAGCAGAAAGGATATGGTCTGACAGGGGACCACAGTTCGTATCCTCGTTTACTAAGGATGTATACCAACAGTTGGGCGTCCAAGGGAATCCCTCTACTGCCTACCACCCTCAGACGGATGGGCAGACTGAACGGATGAACCAGGAAATAGAGACCTACTTGAGGATATATACTTTCTATAGACAGGACGACTGGCCTTCCAAAATACCCCTCGCTATGTTCGCATACCGAAACCATAGACAAGCAAGCACCGGTTATACCCCATTCTACCTTACGCACGGATACCATCCCTATACGGGAGTTGAAACCAGGAAGGAACCCCGTAACCAATCGGCTGAAGAATGGACGAAAGAGATGGAGGAACTTTCCAGGGACGCAACTAATCACCTTACGAAAGCAAATGAAGAAGTACCACGATGGCAAATACCCGGACCATGCGACCTATACCAAGGGCGATCTGGTACTATTAGAAGGAACTAATATTACAACCACTCGACCAAGCAAAAAGCTGGACGATAAACGTTACGGACCATTTAGTATAGTAGAAAAGGTCGGGAAGTCGGCATTCAGACTCAAGCTTCCACCCGCTTGGCGTCATATACACCCCGTCTTCCACGAATCCCTATTAATACCCTATCACCCTGCACAATTTAGCGTACAAAAGGACGATACTACTATACCCGTTCCGGAAGGCGAAGCCCCTACCATTAGCCAAATCCTCGACAGTAAAAAGTCCAAGACTGGACTATTATACCTGGTCAAATGGAAGGGGAAGGACGACACCGAGAACACCTGGATACCCCGCTCTACCATAGCAAGGGATTACATCCTGCTACTTAATAACTTCCATAAGCTACATCCTAAGGCGCCCAAACTGCCTAATCTCCTCACTATACCCGGTGGTCAAAGGATCCGCGCTCAAGAAGACGAAGAAAGCGACGATGAACCGGACAGCAAGGGAGGGAAGAGGACGGAGGAAGAAGAAGAAGAGTGGAAGGAAAAGATCTACTGGGATCACAAAATGATACGATGGTATACGCGCAAGTTCCAAGCCCATGTCGTACTTCACGTACCCCTCGATATCCAGATCGGCCTAGAAATAGGGCTGCCTGAGAAGTTCGACATCGTATGCATCTGGCTAGCGAACCCAGACCACTATATCCATACGGTCTTGTTCGTAGGAACCCCCACGTCGCGCAACCATCTATTTGTATACCCAGTCAATGCCCAGTGGATCGTAGAAGAAAGGAAGGTTCAATGCCCGGAGCGCACTCACGGCTACTATTATCTCGACGATGCACCTATACCCTGGCAACGTATGCGTTTCAAGGATACCCCAGTGAGGGAAGAGGACGTCTCCAAATATACCACATACGACTCGGAACGTACTCGGACACCGATACCCAAAACTAAATGGAACCTACAAGCCGTACACCCGCGCATCTACGACTAGAATTCAAGCCTCGTGAGGACACTTCGGCCTGGAGGGGGGTACTGTCATGGTTTTTCCGCGCCACAAGTCTCAAGCGCCCACGGACCATTATTTATCCACCTAGTTACCATTTATAGAAGATACCGCTACGCCTCCACGTATATATCATAGTATACCCACGCCACTCGGACATCCCTCGGACATGTATCAGTCACGTGACCCTACGTCATAGTGACATCATAGGCCTGGACTCCATAGACACTCCTAGACTTAGATGGACTTCACTAGGCCTGAGCACGCCATAGCACGCCATAATGATGTATTATTACAAACCTAGGGTACGCAGGGTTTTACACCCGGTACCAGGGGTCTGGTCCCTCTTGTATATATACCCGCTCGAGCTGAGGCCTACCCCTCAGTTTCGAGTTGGTCTTTACTCCTCCACTTAAGCTAAAGATCCCTGACGGGATAGGCGAGAGTGGATCCAGGAGTTCTTGAGATCCTTCACATGTCTGACGTGTGACGTGACATAGCGTGGTCACGACCTTGGACCACAGACGAAGTTTGGTGTCTCCTCATCAATCACGCTGAGGGTAAGCCCATCGGAGCGCTATTCGATGTCAATGTGCCTCCCGCAGCCAGTGTCAGTAACTTGAGGGAGAAGGTTAAGGAAAAGCTATCACCGGTCTTGACGGCATCGCTCTTAACGAGCTCGCAGTGTAAAGATGCACGGATGAGACAATCTTTTTCGATGGTGAAGACCGTGAAATGCTGCAGGATCAAATCAGCGAGGCCTTCTGCAACCAGAAAGTCAAACAACTTGGCGCGAGGCGTACGATAGCAGATCTAAAGCTCTTGAAGCAAGAGACTCTGCTTGTGCAGGTGCCCGGTGCGTCGCGTGCAATTGCTTTTTATGCTATCTTCAACTGATTCGTCATCGCAGATGATATGCAGAGCAAGCGCAAGATGACGAAGTAGAACAAGTCGAAGAAGATAGCAGTCTTCTAGGACTGAAGCTTCTGAAGACGGCGCCGTCATCCCTAACTCTTTCTGATGAATTCAGCAAGATTGCGGGACCTACACATGCCTTTGGCTGCAACCGTTCGACTGAGTACGACACGCTCCCTCTCGTGTGCACTCGTGGTTGCTGTTGGCAATATCCAAGCACACTACAACTCAATCGAAGCCGAGGCCAAGGCGAATCCACCCCCATCAAAGCAGTACGATCATCGTCTTCAGAAAGCTCGTGGATATCCGTTCGTGACGTCCTACAAAGACAGCGGAAGGGAAATCAGGTTCACGTACGACGGACGGCTTGATGAGCAAGAGCTCGTCTTCTCCGCCATCGTCAACCACCCTGACTCTCGCGAGTGCCTCGTCAAGTCCACATGGCAGTATTCGGAGGCTGCGCATGACTATCTCGCATCCCGCGGTTGGGCGCCGACTCTCCGGCAATGCATTCGAATCTCTGCAGACTGGATTGCAGTCATCATGGACAGATCGAAATACCAACCGCTCTATGGTCTGAGCCTCTCGAAGGCTGACCAGGAAAAGGTACGATGCAAAGTAAAGAGCATCGTCCGCATGCTGCACGAAGGAGGATTCGTTCATGGGGACATTCGGGATACCAATCTTCTCATCGATCCTGAATCGCTTGCATCTGACGACGTGATGGTTCACCTTATCGACTTCGATTGGGCCGGGCGTATTGGAGAGGCCAAGCACCCGGTTGGAGTCAACAGGAAGACTGTCAAGCGTCCAGACGGAAACAGCATGACCATGATATGGTATCTTATCTGTTCGCATGCCCATAACGTTTTCAATTACTTGAATGAATAATCGCCGTGAATACGAAGAATGAGGGAGAGTGTGAAGACGACTAATGCTGATACCTGCATGCAGGTATCGGTGTAGGCAGTATCTAGAGACAAACGTTCTAGGAAGAGACCGTATCAACGTATTAAGTTTGCGCAGAAGGCTGCATACTGGCTGAGAATCGCAATCGTTCTGTGGTCTGATCCGCATTGCAGGTATCGGTGTATGCATCAAGCTGCTATGCAGTTCGCCGCTATATCACGAGAACATTCAATTGTGAATCACACCTTGGTCCTAAACGTTGCAACCGAATGCTGTACCTGTCACTGTGTTTATTAGGACCTTTCCATTCATGCAAGACATCGGGCCTGCCAGAGCCGTATTGTTCACCACCAATGATGGGTTTATGTCGTACGTAACCTGGCATGTACATATCGATCATCGCCTGGCTTTCAGCTTTCTAAACGCGCTATTGTTCGTCGCTGACATTTGGCAATACACCGGACGCTCGTCCATATGCACAAAGTTTATATGCAACGTGGGTGAAGACAATCTTCACGGCACAATGATATTAAGGGACGGAGGCATTTTCTCCTCACCCAGTCAACGTTCCTTCCTCCTACTTGCGGACGACTGTGATACGCACGTTTTCTACCCTCCATTGTTGCTTCAACCAGTGACACTGTCCATCCAAGCACTCACCGTCCAGCCGACTCTCGAGCATACGTCTGACCGCTACATCCTACGCATCAACAGTGATCGATGGGTGGCGTTGTCTCCGCCGTTACGCGTGCCGTTCCCCTTGTCGGAGCAGTCTTCAGTGTACTTGAGGTCATTCGCGGGGCATCTCAGTCAGGGTCCGTCGGACAGAATCCTACTCTAGCGCGACTAGAGAACCTCGGGAGACAAAAGCACCAGGAAGCTGAAGCCGCACGTGCAGAACAACAGAGGTTAGAAGCCGAGAAACAGCGAGCGGAGGAACGGCGGCGACGAGCCGAAGAAGAGCGTGCCAGGGCCGAGGAAGAGGCTAGGAGGAGAGAGCGGGACAGGATGCTTGCCGAGGAAGCCAGACGGGTGGCGGAGGAGTCTGCCAGGAGAGCTGAAGAAGCGATGCGCCACGCAAACGAGGACAAGCGCCAGGCGGAGGAGTCCCGCAGGCGCGCTGAGGAGGATAGGCAGCGTGCTGAGGCGGAGAGGGTTCGGGCGGACGACGAAGCAAGGAAGGCGCGTGTTGAGCAGGAAGCAGCCCAGCGAGCCAAAGAGGCCTCAGACAGGGCAGCCGCGCAGGCTCAGACGGCACTCGAGAAAGCCGAGAAGGACCTGAGGGAGGGTATCAAGCCCATCATCGTCCCGAGTCCTGAGGAGCTCCGGCAGAAGAAGAAGGATCTCCAGTATCGAGAGGGACTCTTCCACTTCGCCATCGCCGGCGTCTCGGGCAGTGGCAAGTCATCGCTGCTCAACGCATTCCGCGGTCTGCGCAACAAAGATCGGGGCGCTGCCGCCACTGGCGTAACCGAGACGACGAGCGTCCCGACTCGATACCCGGATCCTGATCCTCAGAATCCATTCGTGTGGTACGACATTCCAGGGGCAGGAACCTTGAACATCCCGGATTGGGTGTACTTCAACGCGCAAGGTCTTTACATCTTCGACTGCATCATCGTGCTCTTTGATAATCGTTTTACCGAAACGGATGTCGCGATTCTGAGGAACTGCGCGCGGTTCAAGATCCCTGCATATATCGTGCGCTCAAAGTCCAACCAGCATATTCGAAACCTCGCAGACGACCTGGAACAGGGCGAAGATGAAAGCGATGAGGAGGTGTTGGCGAGGGCCCTCAAGCAGTATCTCTTGGAGACTCGTGAGAGTGTGGTGCGCAACCTGGACCTTGCGCAGCTGCCACACCAGCGCGTCTACATTGTTGACAAAGAGATGATGGTACAGGCCGTGAAGGGCAAGCTCCTAAGAAACGCCCTCGATGAATGGGAGCTGCTGCGGGATCTCCTCACTGAGGCACGAAAGAGGCGGGTGACCAAGTGAACTAGCTGCGCGTTGGAACCGCTTATCTGCCGCGGGTTTTCTTCGTTGTCTAGTTCGTTTCGTGTCGCATTTTTTCCGAGGCCGTGCATGACGGGGATTCTTCATCTGCGAATATTCCTGTATTCCTTGACGTTGTTCTGTCAGTTCCTTCCTTGTACTATCGCCACGCTTTCTGTCATGTGAGGTGCGTCTGTCGATACAGAATGTAAAATGTGACCATGTCTCTCAACCGCCCATGTCGTTTTTGCACGCTTCTCCAATACTTGAGGTCGACGGAAGCTTGTTAGTGCATCTCGCACGCCCAGCAAACTCATGGACCGACTTCTGACCTCAAGGTTTGACTTGATTTCGACACGACCCTACTACAACCGTCGGGTGGGGATATAAGGTTTGCACAGCGAACCGCACACGGGGCGAGGATCCCTTGTCTTCCGTGGTCTTCTGTGGTCTGATACACATTGTAGCGGGATCGAATGAGTTCCCCGTGCATGCAACCTAGTTTGCCGTTCGATGGCGGGAATATCACGAACACATTCTCTCCTTTATGGGAAGTTCCATGCGATGTTAAAGACCTGTCATGGTGGGTTTCATATCTCTCCGGTCTTGGGACGTGGCGTATATGCAATGTCTTCCAAGCCTTGCCTGCCACTACGAGCGCACCAATCATCTGCGATCATGGGCGGCGATAGTGTCATAGCCAATGCACACCCGGGTAGTGATTACGGCAGCATTCAATCGCCTGTCGTCAACGCTATGAAGAAATGACACCGAACATTCGTGCGAGCACGCATGCACGGTGTAGCGTGGATGAAGACATTCTTCACGACGCAAAGATACAAAAGGGATAAGGGCCGCATACCTCACTCGCTCAGCGTCCTCCTCCCCTACATCGTAGACATCTTTTTGAAGTATGTATCTCAACTTTATGGTCTCCTACTGTGGTGACATCAACCATTACAGCGCTCAGCGTCAGTTCGACGCTCAAAATCACTTTGAGCTTCTAGATCACACACTGCGATAACCAACGATGGGCGGGCTTTTCTCTCGGCGTAGACATTCGGAGCACAACGATACAATGACGCAGATGGAAGCTCAGGTGAGAGCCCATCAGCAGGACGCTGAGGCCGCGCGGGCGCGACAGCAACAGCTGGAAGCCGAGATGCGGCAAGCGGAGGAACAACGGCGCATAGCTGACGAGCAGCGTGCCAGAGCAGAGGAAGAAGCTAGACGAAGGGAGGCAGAGCAAGCGGCTGCAGAAGAGGCGAGACGGCTTGCAGAAGAGTCTGCTAGGAGAGCCGAGGAAGCGATGCGCCAGGCAAACGAGGACAAGAATCAGGCCGAGGAGTTCCGCAGGCGCGCTGAGGAGGAGAGGCTGCGTGCGGAGGCGGAAAGAGTCCGGGCGGAGGAGGAAGCCGAGAGGGCGCACGCCGAGAAGGAGGCAGCCCAGCGAGAGAAGGAAGCGTCGGAAAGGGCTGCAGAGGAGGCAAGGGTCGCACTCGAGAAGGCAGAGAAGGACCTGAGGGAGGGCATCAGGCCCGTCGTTCTCCCCAGCCGGGAAGAGTTTGAGCAGAAGAAGAAGGAACTGCAGTACAAACCAGGAGTCTTCCACTTCGCCATCGCCGGCGTCTCGGGCAGCGGCAAGTCGTCGCTGCTCAACGCGTTCCGGGGCCTACGCAACAAGGATCGAGGTGCCGCCGCCGCCGGCATCACGGAGACGACGAGCGCCCCTACTCGGTATCCCGATCCCGACCCCAACAATCCCATCGCGTGGTACGACATTCCTGGGGCAGGAACGCTGAACGTCCCCGACTGGGTATACTTCAACGCTCAAGGCCTCTACATCTTCGACTGCATCATCGTGCTTTTTGATAATCGTTTCACCGAGACGGACGTCGCGATCCTCAGGAACTGCGCGCTGTTCCGGATCCCTGCCTTCATCGTCCGATCAAAGTCGAAACAGCACATCCGCAACCTCGCAGATGATCTCGAGTGGGGCGAGAATGAGAGTGACGAGGAGCTGACGGCGCGGGCGCGGGCGCAGTACATCTCGCAGACTCGCGAGAGTGTGGCGCGTAATCTCGACACTGCACAGCTGCCACGCCAGCGTGTCTACATCGTCGACAAGGAGGCGATGGTGCAGGTCGTCAAAGGCAAGCATCCAAAGGACATTCTCGATGAGTCGGAGTTGCTTCGAGATCTCGAGACGGAAATGACGAAGAGACGGTCGATTGAGTGAAGAAATTGTATCCTGCATCGTCAAGGCGCTATGTTGTATAGATCCGTCGCATTTTCTCCCAAGATTGTATGGATGGTGGCTGCCCCGATCGATCCCTCTTGTGGATAGTGAGCACACCCAACCAGTTGCCTTTTTTGGAAGAGTCACGATAAGATAGTGTTGCCACGGTTCGGTCACTTATCCGCTAGCCACCTGCGCCGGACCGGAGGTAGCCACGCCGAACCACCAATCGGCTTCACGGCTGCATGAACATCGGCTTGGTCATGTGCTCGTGATGCCATCACCTGCGGGCCATTTCTTCGTCAATGATTTCGGTGGATTAGCTTTTTGTGACTTGACAGAATGCTTCGCTTATGCCGCTGACTTCGTTGCGGATGGCTTTGCAAAGATGTAAGTCTATGACCTAGGTGCCAGAATGACATACCTTTGCCATGTGCGTTCTGAGATTTAGAGTTGGTCTGAGATGAAAGTTAGAGTTGGCCCGAGATGATGTTGGAGATGAGAGATGATGAGATAGACTGAGATGAGGCCAGTTTTCAGGCTGAGCGACTTTATGTGATCACATGACTGACACGCCTTTGCGCCAAGTTGCGCTCGCGCAACACCATCCATGCTGTTGTCTCTCGACGTGCCTGTTGACTGACTTTATTGTCCTGTATATCTCACTACTCATCATTATGCCTTCCTATACCTGCTTTTCTTGCAAAAAAACCTGCAAAGATGCTCGAGGTCTCACTATACACTATAGCTTATGCTCATCTGTCAAGGCAGCAACCGTATCATCTGTCAAGAAGCATGTGGCAAACATGAAAAATGCTAGGGCTGCAAAGGTTCCAAGGGCTGAGAGGGATGGAGTGGCTAGCAGAGATCTGGGAGATCAGAATGAGTTCCGGGATGATGAGGTAAGTCATGGTATGTCTGAGCGCATGCACGGTCAATGATTGCAGCATCACTTGAATAATGAGCCTGCACCTGAGTTCACGCAGAGGTCATCCACAGGGAGGGTAGCAACACCAGAACCTGCACTGTCTCTCAGCCACAGCGGCCGTCAAAGACGTGCACCTCATGCACTCCAAGACTTTCTGCCATCATCTACTCGTGGCCTTCCAGCACACATACCCAGGCCTCTCATAAATTGTCCTACAAGATCTCACACCATCTCATGTGAAGAGGTTCCCAATGAATCTCAGCCATCGATTGAAAATGTGCCAATATACGACACCACACCAAATGAGTTTGGTGTGTTCCATCATTATTCCTCACCTCCCTCCTACCCTCCAACTGATACCACTTCTCTTGATGACTTTTGTGACTCTCCGAGTCTCAAGAAGGTGAAGGAAAAGGAGAAAGCAAGGCCTTGGTATCACCCGTTCGATAACGCTACTACTGCGCATATTGTTATGTGGAGCACTACAGGGCCACATAACAAGTCTCTTGCTGAAATAGATCGACTTGTGAATGAGGTTATACAGTATGTGCAGATGACTTTGATCTCTCAGTGTTGATGTCGCAATGGTGTACTGTGACTCAGCTATTCCGTCTAGACTCTGCAGATGACGAAAGTCGTTTCTCTCACCCTGAAGGCTGGCGACAGTGCTCAGTAAAAATTCCTGTACCTAAAGAGAAGACAAAAACCTTCGAAGACGATGCTCCTACCTTTGAAGTGGGAGACATTCACATGCGATGGCTGGTTGATATCATTCAGAAGGTTTGCGAGGATCCAGATGCAAAGACCTATCACTGGCAGCCCTTCAAACAATTCTGGCAGCAGACAAATGATGACACAGGATCGACTGAGGATACTCGCATCTACAGTGAGCTTTATAATTCAGATGCCTTCCTTGAAGAAGATGCAAAACTTCGTGCGGAAGCAAAAACATCTGGCGACTCTGATAATATTGAAGTCGCCATTGCTCCTATCATGCTCTGGTCAGATTCTACATGTTTAGCCAACTTCAGAATGGCATCATTGTAGCCCATTTACATCTCATTCAGCTTTCAATCAAAGTACACACGTGCACGACGGCGGTCTGGGGCATGCTGCCATTTCACATATATTTCTAAAGTATGCATCATTAATTTATGTCTTCTGAAAGCTACCTGATTTCTATCTTTCAAGTTACCCAATAATTTCCAAGACTGGTATGAAGAAACGTATGGTGAACTCACTAGCATGGACATTCTCCGGTTCTGCAAGCGTGAACTATTTCATGCGATATGGCTGCTCGCACTCGATCTGGACTTCATGCACGCTTACGAACACAGAATGTTGATCCAATGTGGAGACGGAGTGCTGCGGTGAATGTTTTCTAGGTTTTTCACTTACTCCGCTGATTATCCTGAGAAGTATGTATAGAATTGTTTGCATTTGTATCCTTCCTATGCTAATATTCTCGTCAGAGTTCTTCTCACTTGCATGCGCTATCTACCACAGTGCCCATGTCCACGTTGCCTCACAAAGAAGACTGAC